TGTCTGTGTAGCGTGTCTGTCTGTGTGCGTGCGTGTGTCTGTCTCTGTGTATGTGGAGCGTGTGTGTCTGTTTCTGTGTGTGTGTAGCGTGTGTCTAGCGTGTGTCTGTCTCTGGAGCATGTGTGTGGAGCGTGTGTCTGTGTGTGTCACCTGTCTGTGTGGCTCTGAAGCACCTCCTCCTTCGTTGTCTTCTTCTCCACTCGTTGCTGCGCTTCCGTCAGTTCCTCCAGCGGGTCCCGCAGGTCCTGTGCGAGGAGGTAAAGGATAAACGTGACGTAAAGACACTTCAGCCGCCGCCCCACCCTCCCCCCCCGGGGAGAAACCAAAGTACCTTAAGTGTGGTGAACTGGTACGGGACGTGACCTTGGAAGGCCTCTCGGATGCCCGACATGGCGCGGGCCGTCTTCTCCCAGAAGTGCAGCAGAGTGGTCTGCGGATAAAGACGGTGTTGTTGAGTAAAGGAGCAACCGCCCTATCAAATGGCAGCTAAGCCAGACGTGGACGGGTGGAGATGCTGCACCGCCGCCCACCTGGTAGGTGCAGAGGGAGTGGGAGAGCATGTTGCAGCGGCTCGCTCCCAGCATGTCCACCTTCTGACACACGTCGTTCTTCAGCTTCTCAAACTGGCCCTTGGTCCCGCGGACCTGCGACTGGACCTGGAGACGGACAAGACGCGAGGATGAGGAGGAAAAATGCTGGGAGCATCTGGCAAAAAGACAAAAACAGGCGTCCACCCACCTTGCGGAACTTCTCCAGCTGCTTGTAGGTGTCCGGGTCCAGCTCCTGGGAGACGTCCTTCATCCAGAGCAGCGCCCCCCGGTACTCGGTGCGCGCTTTCTCCATGCGGCCCACGGTGAGCAGCGTGTCGGCGATGGCGCGCCGCCGGAACGTCTCCACTTCCTGGTGCAGGCGGTGCAGAGGCGGGCGGAGCGCCATCCTGAAGGAGAGGGGAAGAAGGAATCATTTCTGGGAATCCGGCACCGTATCTCGGTTTCCGGCGGCGTCGTCGCCGCTGACCTCTGCTTGGCGGAGGCGCACAGGGCCGCGCTGGTGGCGTCCATCATGTTGCCCGCCTTCGTGCGGTCGCGTTCGGCCTGGAAGCGCAGGAACAGGCCAAACTCGTTCTCCTCCTGAGACAGGCCTGTGGAAGAGCAGTCCTCAGAGGGCTTACAGGGGGAAAACTACACCACGGTTATATATCGGGATCCGGAGGCTTCCATCAAATCCGGTTTGTTTATCAAAGCAAAGACAAAGCAAAGACCTCAACCACAGGAAGTAACCGTTTTAGAACAGTGAGCAAGTGATGAGTTTCTATATTTGACTTCCTCATACCATAACAGTGTCGGTGAGATACTCCTGTCTTTGTTTGAATATCACTAAGCGAGGTGGAAGACAAAAAATCTTCTTTTAAAAGGGGACAGTGTGTCCAACCTGCGTCTTCACTGAGTACACCACAGTGAAACGGGATTTTAGAAAGGTGTGCGGATTTAAAATGAAATTCTTTGCATTTTATTGGACCACTAAATATCCTGGTATGAGCTTCTTTTTTTTAAAATATATTGTATGTATTTTTTAGTTAAATAGGTGCCCAGTATTACCTGCATGTGAATCCCAAACTGCAAACTACTACACACGGTACTTTAGTTGAATGTTTTGATCTATCTGACACCACTTGTATGACAGTGAAGAGACGTGTCACTCACGTGTGATCCTGTGCTGGTACTTCTCGATCACCTTCAACAGCTCCGTGCACGTCAACTGAACCGAGCGGAAGAACTGCAGACACAAAAACGCTGAGTTAAGAAAACGCCACGAGATGAGGGGTTGTCATAGCGACGCAGTGGCAACCATTAAGAGAGTCGGTGCCATGACGTGACGGCTGATTCCATTTAGCTGCTCCACCTACTGGGTTCTGGTCTCGGCCGTGGCTTAAAAAGGGACACCGGACTAGAAACCAGATGTTCAGTAAGCAGCTGTTTTACCTACTGTGACCGGTCTAAACGTCTGCTGGGAAAACTGGCGGATTAAATGGCAGCGGAGCCAGATGTGTGATGGTGTTATTATGGATTTTGTTCTAATCAGTTGCATAGATTCAAACAAATAAAGTAGAGCGCACTGCAGGCTGTGACTTGTGGAGTTACTGATTAACTCCAGAATAAACAGTGAGGTCTGTGGCCGTGCGTGCGGCCGGCTCCTCCCTCACGGTGCGCCTGAGCGCTTATTCCCGGCCTGAGCAGACACATTCGTCAGGATGGTGTTTAATCTAATGTCTGAGTCACAGCTGTACGGCAGAGGGGAAAACAAGAGGCCCGAGGACATCGACAGACATCTCTGGTCGAGGTTCTGTCTTTTTTTTTTCCCCCCGTGAGCGATTCAGGAGAGATACGGGTCGCTTTCAACCAAAGACACTGCAAATGGTGCCGACGGGTTGAAAAATGGTACAGAAATGTGTAGCGTATTTAGACAGAATTGGATCTGCAGGTCACAAGTCAAAAGAGATTCAGAAAAATGGAACCTGCTCGGAGGGAATTTAATTTAGAAAAAAAAGAAAAGAAAATCAAGTTGGCTGTTAGAATATGAGTGAAGATGAAATTCTAAAGAGGATTTGGAGGGAAGCAAAAGGGGGTCGACTAAAAAGAAACTGCTCTCGATCTACTGTGTAAATGTCCAAAGTGGGTCTCCTGACACCGCTCAGACTTTGTCTCTGTCTCACTAGGGAAGGACAACGAGAGCAGGAAGACAGACAAAGTCTGGTCTTGCATTCAGAGCGAACAAAAGCCCTGCAGTCCCCCCGGATGAAACCCGACCGCCTCACGGGACCACGCGGGCTGTCGCGGCCAGATGCCGACCCCAAAACTGTCCGCTCTAGTTTACTGCGTGCGCCCGGGATCCGTCATGTTTTACCTCGAGCTTGGAGTCCAGTTCGGCGTCGGATGCCACCACGTACTCGTCCTCCTTCTTGCCCGTGGCTTTGATGAGGACCTGCTTGGTCTTCCAGAACTTCTTCTGCATGCGGGCCATGACCGAGCTGTCCTCGCCGATCAGGGCCCGGCCGCCGCTCAGCATGTCCCCTGCAAACCTGGAGCCCAGACCGTCGTCCCCCAGTCAGCCAGCTGTGCTCGTCACAACAGAACGATGTGAATGGTCTTTACTAAAGTGAACCCGGATGGAACGTGACACTTACCCGTCCATCATTGGCGATCAGCCTTTCTGTGGTTCTGAAAAGAAATACAGAGGGTGATGTTCATACAAGGACAGCATCAGCAGATTTGAATGTTGTTTAAAAACATTTTTTATTAAAGAATCCAAGAGAGTTTGATTTTGTTTCCTTGCTGGGGATCTTCTCGCAGAAAGACAAATCCTGGTTCCAGACTGCAGATGTTGTTAGATAGCATCTTAGCACGAGCAGCAGTCTAATGGAGACGCACGGAACGATTAACGAGATAACCGACTGTTTAACGCCGCTGGGCAGCGGACAGCTGTTCCCTCCGGGCTGAATTACAAGCTGTTATCGTGGCGGGTGATCTGTGGCTGGAGGAAAACTCATCGGTGCTAAGAGCTAAAGCTAATCTAATCTAATCTAATACGGACCGCAGAGCGGAGAGATCGGACACCTGCGACTGGAAGCGAGTCCGGACCATCGGGAGCCTGCGCGCGCTGCGGAGCAGGTGTTCGGTTACAGCAAAGGAAAAAAGAAACAACAAAAAAACAATGACATTCTGAAATTCGCCCATGCGGTAGAAAGCTAACTTGAGGTGGATTAAAAGTAGAAGTAAACGTAAACGTGGCGGGGGGTTAAAAATGAAACGTCAGTGGAGGAGCTCTCATGCTAGCAGCGGGCTAGCTTGTAGCGAGCGACGGAGCGGCAACGTTTAACCCAACGACGCGGCGAACGAACCAGTCCGCTGTCCCGCCTGCGCTCGGCTGGCTGGCTGGCGTCGGAGGGGGGGGGGACGGCGTTACCTCGCTTTCGGCCCCGTCCGGCGGTTCGAGCATCCGTGCGGCGCCGCTCTGCTAGCCGACTCCGCCGATAGCCGTTATAATGTGAGTCAGAGAAACAGGATATGCAAAGTTCCGTTGGCGCCGCTCGGACACCAGGGGTCGCTGCTGCGCGGCTCGCACCGAAGATCGTCTATTTAGAAGTCCGGGAGTGATAATCGGCTGAGAAAATTGACAGACAGCCGGTTGGAATATCTCGTAACTTGGGTTTAATGTTTTGCGGTTTTCACACCAGAAGAACACGTGGCAGATGAGCAGATGCGTGCGTGTGAAATCAATGAAAGCAGTGCTATCCACATTCACCGGGTTTTCAATGAAATCCTTACTTGGATATTGTGGTGAGCAAAAAAAACAAAACTGAGTGACACATCTTCATTTTAATTCCTCTCTGATCAAACCGGTCTGAGGATAAAAGTTGTTCCCCAAAAGTTTTTTTTTTGCTAACCAAAAAAACAAAGACGTTGATAATGTACATTATTATACATTGTGAAGTATATCTGACACATAAACAATGATATCCCGTGACAATACAATTGTATACCAAACTATGATACACTTCCATCATCATTATTCGCAGTCATCAAACAAAGCGGGGGGTAAAGAAACAACCAATAACAATCTAATACAATACTTTAATAAAGTTTGAACCTTTTCTGGGCATTTCTCATTTGATCACTGTGGTTTTTGGCATCCTATAAGGGTAGTTCACTATTGCCATCATCAAAATATAACTAATCAACTATCTTGCAATAATGAATGAAACGTCAATAGAAGAGACATTTTAAGAGACAAAATTAATTTATAGTTTTTCTTGGGTGGGATGACAAAACAGTTGATAAGAAAATATGTGTCAAATTTGAGAGGGGCTAAAAACAAACGAATTGTCGCCTGTTACAACACTGATAATGTCCATCATTATGTCCTCGTCGTCCAACCTACGCGCCGGCATCCGTCGGACCGGCTGAGCATCTGTAGGTGTACAGTTTGTTATCTGCACCTCCACTCAGCATCAGCTAAAATAAAAGGAAAGAAAGTTACACATTGATTTCAGTGTTTTCCGTTGCTGAATGTTCTTGGCGTTTGGGATCGTCTTTGTTAATAACAAATCTCACCCCGCTTTCTGTCCAGTCCACACAGAACACTTTGTCCTCGTGGGCTGCCAGGTCGTACAGAGGAGCCTTGCAGCTGGGAGACAGGGAAGAAACGTGTGAACTTCACTCGCCCAGAAAGGAGAAACACTTACCAACCTTCAGCACCAACCAAAGACAGATTTGCGTGGGTGTAGACTGAAGAGACTTTGTATGAACTCCATTTTATTCTGACAAAGACAGGAAGCCTCTTCAGACAACGAGGAAGTAACCCGATATCCTGCTCCACCGAGGGCCTGACAAACAAACTGCCCCTTAAAGTCCTTGTGTAAATAAGTTACTGACTTCTTTGCAGAACACAAATCAAGTAACATATTGCCGTGCTTCACAGACCTTCTGGTGTCCCACAGTTTGACCAGGTTGTCAAGGGAACCGGAGACCAGCTGGTACTCGTGCGACGGCGCCCACTTCACGGCGGTGACCCAGCCGGTATGGGACGTCAGGGACAGCTGCACCAGCGAGCCGTCTGTAGGGCGGGGGGGGGGAGAGGAGACATTTGTAACGCAGGGGAAGGACGGCTGGGAGAGACGCCGGAAATCTCCCGTGATGGAGTGAGCGGTACCTTTGGTTCGAGGGTCCCACAGTCTGATGTGCCGGTCGGTGCTGCCGGAGGCCAGCCGGCGACACAGAGGGGAGTAGGAAATACAGTTGAACACTTTGCTGCCCGTCTGTAGGAAGGATGACAACGTTGTTGTTGTTGTTATTAAAATAAGCAATGAAGAAAAAAACCCATCAAAATGTTGTTTCTCGCAATGTTACTAATATACTGGGGTTTGGTGCGTTATGCTTCATGATGTTCATTTCCTGTAACGTATAATTCAAATGTGACTATAGTCCAATATAAACAATATGTTTTATACACAGGGTAAAGGAAGCCGTTTAAACGCGGGGAAAATTGAGTTCCTTTACTGAGAAGGAGGCAACCTTTAGGTGGCCTTAAACGTGCATTCTCTCCACTGGCCATCAGGGGGCGATTGTGTCAAAGCCTGAGAAAATGACCCTACTTCTCAGATGTTATTTACCTCAGTAACTTTCACTCTTCAGTGTGTGCTTTTCTTTTGTTCGTATTGACCGTGTCGGCTTGAATCCCAAACTCAAGACTTCCTACAGGCCAACTACAAAAGTCCCTCTGACCATGTCCCCTTTTTACATACGGACCATGTCTGAAATGTGTTTCTCTCACCAACGTGGTCTTCATTCCTCCAGTCTCAATGTCCCATATGCGGATGGTGTGGTCCCATGATGCACTGCAAACTTCCTCACTGTCAGTCCACAGGACGGAGGACACTGCCTCGTTGTGTCCGGACAACGTCATCAGTGGGGTCTGAGGCATAAAACACACATTTTTTGTTTATGTCCCTTCACATATGCATTGACTTCTATGTGATATATTCCACTCACCCTGGTGAGGCCGAGCTGTTGAGTTTTCTGCTTCTTCCTCGGTCTGTCGGCGGGTTCTCCGACCTCGTCCGCCTCATCCGTGGGCACTGCCGAGGGGGAGGAGGGCTGGATGTTGGTTGGAGATCGCTTGTCATTTAGTAATGCTCAACATGGATTCAGTTGCTGTGGCGACCTACCTGCCGACCAGATCTTCAGCATTTTGTCCCAGGAGCCGCTGCAGAACTGTATGGGGAACCACACAATTGCTTCAACTGACACTGTCAAATCCCTTATATTAGTCCCTCAATAAATACTGTATTGCATTTTAAAAAGATGGAGAGTAGAATTTTGTAATTAACAATGTATCAAGAATTCTGGACCGTTCTGGGAATCACGCCGTCATCATCAGATCATAAGCATGAACCCAAGAGAAAGTTTTGAATATTTCGGCCAAATTCGACTGTTGAGTTCACAACCCGCATCCTACAAAGTCGCGGTCATTGTGCATCCGTCCACACCATCCGTCCGGTCTTACCCTTGAGCCGGTGGGGTCCGTAGCAACCGCGTCGACGCTCGCCGTGTGTCCCCTGCAGCAGTGTCGGGCTTTCACCTTGTTTTGCTCGGAGTTCCACTCCCACAGCAGGAGGGTCTGGTCCAGAGAGGCCGTGAGCAGCAGAGAGGTCAGACCGTCTGCGCGGAAACGTCAAAACACTGGTTTTTAGGAGAAGGCTGCCGTTATGCCGAGCCGAGCGCTTTGCCCGCCACTCCAACCCCACACGTACCTCTTTTCACCCAGGCCACGTCTTTCACCACTTCAGTGTGTCCGGCCACAGTGATCACTGCCTTTCCCTCCACAGACCAGATCCGGGCTGTCTTGTCATACGACCCTGTGAGGATCCTACAAACAATTTGTTTTAAATAAAAAGGACAAGACTCAGCCTGGGCAGGTTGTCATGTGATACTCTGCATGTGTAATTTTGTACAATCATTTTATAGGCTTTTTAATCGGCTCCTCAAAGTGTCAGTGGAGAAGAAAAAGTTCTGTAGAATACAGGTCCATTTCCCAAATTCAACTGTTGTGTATTATACACAGAGAGGCGTTTCCATTAATTAGCCTACGGTTTCTGATTTAAGAAAGACGTGAGAAACACACAGTTGACCTCTAAAAGAACATCACTACACATTTGCTCTGTTGATCACTGTAAACTTGATCTGGGTAACTAATCATGTATTGACCCTTTCAATGAGTGTCCTGAGGATATTACATGTATTATATATTACAAATACTTCTCGGTTTGGGGCTAAATTTGTTATAGTTTTTTCCTCTCAGGTCTCTTTTCTAAATGTTTTCAGCAATCTACTTATTTGTGTGTACCATTGCAATTAGGAGTCCATTAGCAGTTCTTGACATGCGTGTTTAGATCGGCCGTGACTTGGGAGAAGAAGCCCAAGCAAACATCAACAAAGAGAAAACGGCGTAACAGGACGCCCCTCTCCATCTTGTATGGGACATTTTCGTTGCCGGTGTAATGCTAATGGTAATACTTGAGATCACTTTGACAGTGTGGGGCGTGTGCCATCTTACCATTCAGCATCTGCATCCACGGCGCTAATCCAGTCATCGTGCATCATGCACTCCTCCGCCTCTGGTGCTGTGATCCGCTCAACGTACTCGATCTCCACCACGTCTTCCTGAAACACAGACGCATAAATATCAACACAATTCAGACGAGACGATTCAGTCCCCATTTGTGCTTCTGCTGGATTAGTCTTAAATTCCCCCAAAACTCTTTCTCTTATGCCAATCTCTACATCATTTTAAAATAAAGACTATGATGAAGTGGGGTCTGAGCGCGACGCTGATCGTACCGTTGATATGCCTTCGGTTTCCATGTGAGTGGCCAGCGACGTTCGCAGGAACTGACCCCTGACCAGGAAGTCGAACTCCACTTTGCTGTGAGACGCTGTGAAACAACAAGGTTTAAATTAAAGTTTCCTGTAGATCGATAGATGTACTTGCACGGATCTAAATTGTAATAACTCATAAAATTGATTTGAGTACCAATGGATCATCTGGATATATGAGAATTAATAATACATACAGGTTATTGTTCAGTTATTGTTTATTCTTACCATTCTTGGCCTCCAGTAGCTTGTTGATGACATTGCTGAGTTCCAGCACTTCAGAGGCAGCAGGGATGGAGAATGGGACGTCATCTACAACATACCTGTACAGACAGGTGTGCTCTCAGGTTACACTGTGGGTTAACAACTTCAAAATACACACACCCACCAGTTACCGTATCACAAAACGGTGCAAATGGGGGTCGTTAGCATTAGCTAGCTAAATCAAATCAACTAACGTTAAGCTACGTTAGCTAAAAAAGGCTGCGACGTGCAAGAAGCGAACAGTTGAAAAGAGGCCAAGACTGAATGTATATTATACATGCGTAAGTAACTGTAAGATTAGTGTCTCACAGGCATGTAGTCAACATTAGTTTAGTGTTAAACTACAGCTTGTTAGCAACCCGCTAGCAATCCCTCTACTTCTTGAAGGGAACATGAGCTTACCTTTTATTTTCCGTGAAGAACCTCGCTTGTAATTGTGACATTTTGGTAAATGTATATATTTCCCCAACGTACCAAAAGCAATAGAAATCTGGGATATGGCTACCTAGTTAATCTGCTCCTTCATAACACGAACGACTCTCGTGCAGTGAAGCCATGTGGTACGAAAACGAGGAATTCCAGTCGAGTACGGTTAGTCAATCGATGATCCAGATCGACGCTCGTCTAGTAATGCCTGGCGTCAGCAGCGACCAACAACGCTGCGGGATAGCGATACATTACACACGTGTGTCAAAATGAGTGTTTCTACCTAAATGCACTTCACGTGTCAAAATTAAAAGCAGTTATTATGGTGTGATGCGTGAAGAATGGACGCTTTCAGTGTTTCAATCCTTCCTTCCATTATGCAGTATTATCCTCCATAAACAGCTATCGTTGTGTAGCTGAAACTTGATTATATTTATCAATCAAACCAGACGAAAACTTTTTCTTAAGGGACATAAAATACTGGATGACCTGCAACTACAGCTATCTAATGATTGAATCACACTAGCTGGTATTTCCTTGCCCGCAGCACCACAGATATTTCAGATATATCTTTGCTGGAACTAACTCATACATGACATGTACATTACAAACACTTCCTTTTTCCATACATATAAATTCTGCATAATTTAGCTTCTCTGCACTGACTTCCTGTAAAATTCCATTTAAAATCCTAGTCCTAGTCTCAAAAAGTAGTCTGGGAGTCAAAGCCTTCGGTTTATCCAGCTCCTCTCATGTGAAAACACCTTCTGGTTTGCCTCTCTCATCTTTGTGCTGCATGTTTTAATAGATCATGGCTGTTAACTTGCCAACTCCGTGTTAACGTCCACTTTGACTGCCATAAACCTCATTGTGACACTCGACAGCCAACTCTCCCTGACTCCCAACATCACCGCGACAACACGATCCTGTAGATACTCGCTCTACAACATCAGGAGAACACGTCCCCTTCTCACTCAGAAGGCAGCGCAGGTACTGATTCAGGCTCTTGTCATCTCACGCCTGGACTACTGCAACGCTCTCCTGGAAGGTCTCCTGCTACCGCCATTCGACCTCTGCAGCTCATCCAGAATGCAGCAGCTCGACTGGTCTTTAACCTTCCTAAATTCTCCCACACTCCTCCACCCTCTTCACTGGCCCACATCCAGTTCAAAACATTGGTGCTCACGTACCGTGCTGTGAATGGATGGGGTCCAGCTTACATCCAGGACATGGTCAAACCCGACATCCCGACCCGCACTCCGCTCTGCATCTGATAAACTGCTTGTTCCTCCTCACTGAGAGCAAAACACTCGACTAGATCACCACTCTTTGCTGTCCTGCTCCGAAATGGTGGAACGAGCTCTCTGAAGACACCAGGACCACAGAGAGCCTTCACATCTTCAGACTAAAGACACACCTCTTCAGACTCTACCTCCACTAACACACTAACTGTAGCACTTAAAGTGTACTTGTAACGCCACTTATCTATAGCAAATTGTAATTTGGCTTATTTGAGGAAATTGCACTTGTTTCTTGTTCTTCTGAGTTTGTATCCCTGTGGTTGAATGCACTTATTGAAAGTCGCTTTGGATAAAAGCGTCAGCTAAATGACATGTAATGTAATATAATGGCTACACCTGGACGGTGGTCGTGCCTCCAGCTGTGGTCTTTTTGACACCCTGGGCAACTATTATAATTCCAAGCTACACTAAGATGTTCATTCTGTACACATGACATCTATTACATGTATATATATATATATAAATATATCTGTCCATCCTGAGGGCAAGGAGCCCCGCCTGTGGCTCTCCCTATGTCCCGGATTTTATCTTATATTTTATTTCTCTTGCTCTATGTTGTCTTGTCAAACTGTCTGCTGTTATGCACCAACCACCAAGTCAAATTCCTTGTATGTCTGACATTAGAATAGTTTCCTGATTACTGATCTCATATCTGTTCACATTGTAGAGACCTCTGAGGCAGTTGTTTTTGGAAATTCAAACTCAGACTGTTAAATCCTTTTGGTAATGCAATGGTCTGTGTATACTGCAAACATTTACCGTAATTGGTTGTTGGAAAAACATGTTCAATATTAAGTCTGCGCTCTTTCGTAGAGGTACATGGTGCACCGGGTCACCTGATAATCACTGTTTGAGCGTCAATGGTTGTATTCTTGTGGTGCCAAAGATGATCGTTTACATACATATTCCTGCTCCAAAAGACCTTTGAGTAGGCTGGCACATGACTTGTGGAAACTGTCTATACATTAAATATGTTTTGATGATTTTACACTGGTTTTGGGTTAGAATGCTTAAAATATAAATCATTTGTCCATGAAACTGGGCTCCCTGTATGGAGTCTGCATGGTCTCCCAGTGTCTACGTGGGTTCTCTCACATTCAAATGACTATCCATGGCGTATTAAAACTTGTCTTACAATCAAATTCATGGATTAAATTGACTTGTTTGACCAGTTACCATCCACTGCAGTTTGAGTCCTTTATGAAATACTGAGCAAAATTGTAACAAAAGACGTTTATTACACCAGGGCTTTGTCACAATAGAAAGGGTGATTTTGCTGAATTTAATACATGTCTAATGCAAGTTTGTTTATATTTCAACCAAAAATGTCAAACCAGGATAGAACTTAGTAAGAAAAATATTTACATTTTCCACTTATTCAATAACTGGAAATCTACTGGTTTTAACCGCATATTGCGGACGTTTATTAAAAGCTGGATTTTTTTTAATGATCTATGGAAACGGGCAGCTATACAGCATTGCCCCTTTGATATAAATGTATGACACAAAAGTAAAAGGAGATAAAAACTAAACTAAAATGAAATATATACAGTCGCCACCATTTCAGTCATCTTCTTCCTCCTGGATTTTCTTTTTCTTCTTCTTTTTCTTTTCTGTTGACTGGAGAGACAAAAGAAGTCAACACAACGAATGCCGGCTGTATTCCAAACACAGGAAAGCTCGTCGGCATGCTGTGTGGACCAAGCTTTAACAGATCCCTACCTTTGTGACGGCTACCTCTTCCACTTCTGGTTCCTCCTCTTTCTTGACCTTTTTCTTCTTCTTTTTCTTGGGCGTCTGCTCTTCTGCCTCCTCCTCTTCTTCTTCTACTACTAAAAACACAGCGGGAGGGAAAACATGGTTAGCATCATGATCTCCATTTGTGAGTGGGTTGCCTCTGCATGGTATTTTTTTTTTTATTCTACCAACCTTCTTGTACGGTTTGCTTTTTTGCCTTTTTGGATTTGACTGCCGGTGTTACGGGCTCTTCAGCCTCCTCCATCTCCTCCAACTTCCTCTTCTTTGAGGTGGAGGGAATGGTAGAATCGCCAGATGGATCGTAAATTCTCACTTCACTGTGGAGAAACGAAAGGGTATTTAACGCCGTTCATGTTTGTATGTGGGGTTGTGTCAGGAAAGGATCCGTGGAGTATTTACCTCTTGTGCTGGTATTTGTCGGCCTTTGCCATTGCTTTGCCCGTTCCGCTGATTCGTCTGATCTGAGAGGAAAAAGCAATCGTTATGAAACATAACAGCATACTGCAGACATCCGATACCTAAATATTGACTAACCCGTTTGTAGGGCTGGTAATGTGACAATTTATTATCTTTCAATGGAATCATATTGTGATAAAATGAGACAATAACATACGGTCTACAGCGACATTTGAGCCCCAAATCTGACTAAAGTAGGAGACATCCTTCTCTTGTAGTTACACTTACTCCTTTCTCCTCCAGATGGCGCAGCCTGATCTCCAGCTTGGCTCGGTTCTCCACTCCCATCTCTGCATTCGTGTCTTCTCCCAGGGCGTCGTAGCGAATGGCCAGCGCCGCTTTAGCTGCCAGCATTCTGGAGATCTGGATACATGAAGAAAGAAACACCCATGTTCATTCTCTAATCCCTGGACAGGATACATACGTAGTCCTGACACACGTTCTCCTGGACTTACCTTGCCCTTATTCTTAGCACTGGTCTGGCCCACCAGGGAGGCATGGTAGATGAGACCGTACTTGGGTGTGTCTTTGCGAGTCTTCAGGGCCCTGAACAGAGCCTTCTCTGCTCCGAGGATCTGCACGGTGGAGGCTGGATGCTTGGCCAGATTCAGAAGGGAACCTGGCAGCAATAGGAAAGACGAGTTAACGAGCGGCTCTCACCGGTGCCGGCTCGCTGGGCCGGTCTACACGAGCTCAGAAGAGGTAGTGACTTAAAAGCATCAGGCTTGTTCAGTGAAAGCGACATCATGTCGTCATCATCACCGCTCGGCAGGTTTTTATGCTGCCTTTCCTCCGAGACTCACCTGCATGCGAGATGAGACGGGCTCCGACCAGCTCTCCCACCATCACGGTCAGGTTGGGGGCGATGGCCGTCATTCGGTTCTTCAGGTAGTCGTACAGCTGAGTTCGGTACTCTGTGATATCAATCACCTGCAGAAAAGGAAAAAAAAAAAAAGTATACGACATTACAACCGGTGGCAGGTTATTGGTCAGAGCGGTCGTGGAGATGAGAGCAGGAGCTGCGACTGTTCAGATGAGGTAGTGACTGAAAACCCACATGATTTGTTTCAGGGTAAAGACAACAAGCCATTATCATCACAACGGTCGCCCGAAAGCTCAGATACAAAACCGTGAGAAAGAGACAAACCTGATCGCAGAGGTGCCTGATGTTGCCGATGTCCTGCTCAGACACTTCGGTTCCCATGGAGATCTCCGCAGCCAATTTGACCTCTGCCTCGATTTCCTCTGGGAGGATTTCTGACAGATCGGAGCCGGCAACGTTTGTGCGGTCACCTAGGAAACACGAGGGACATGTTGCATCAGACACTGGACACGGTTTGCCCCCATTAGTGATTTAGCGTAGCAGACTTTGTCATTTTCAATGCTTTAAATCCCCATAACGTTGCAGCTGTGCCATGCTCCTTTAACTAGTTAAATAGCGCAAATTATTTTACCTATTTTGCGTACAGCTTTGCAGTAGATCAAGTTGTCAGTCACAACCTTTCCCAACTCTGGAAAGTGCCATCCGTACCACTCTCTGCAGCGCATAATGTAGTTGTTTAGCTCCTTGTCCAGGTCATCCAAAAGAGCTGAAGAGACAACAGCAAGAAATATTGCATATTCAAATACACAACGTTCCGTCGACAATGAAGCTGACTGATAGTTGCCTTATTCCACTAACAAAGGATCTTTTCATTTAATAATAGAAGTGTGGTTGGTAAGTATTGTGCTTTTGATGCCTTATGAATAACACAACTTACAGATGGCCTGCACAATCATAGTGTCCACTTTGTCTGGACTGAACTTCAGCTTGTAGCGGGATAAACTGGAGAACATAGAAAAGAGTTAGTTATTTCAGACGTCGCATCGCTTTTCAAATTCCTGTGCTTGCGTGTAAATTGCTGCTGTGGGCCACTTACCTGTGAGCTAATCCAAGGGACATGGCGCTAATCTCCTTGGGTGGGAGCCCAGTGATGAGGTTCTCCATCTGACCCCTGATGCACCTCATTAGCTCAGCCACAGTAGAGTTGTGGACACAGGTGAGGTCCATCTTTTCCTAAAAACAAACACCCCAGCCATTTAACATCAGGAACTCTGGTGACCTGATGAATTCTGTTGATTTGCGTAAAAATGTAGTTACTGACTTTAATGACACCACCAAGCTTTGCATCGCTGATGGCCAGCTGCTCGTGAGCATCCTTTGCCACGACCTTCTTCAACACTTTCTTCAAACTCTTGCCAATTTTCCCTTCGGTTAGGGCCGTGGCAGCTGGGGTTTGGAACACACATTAAAACATCAAAATAAGCAAATGGATAAACTCTGTTGAATAGAACTAAGGTGGAATTGTTAACATCTGATTCATTTGTGTTAGTCTACTGTACTATTCGCAAATCACGTTACCTGCTAAGGCCTCTGTGGTGTCCTGAAACTTCTCAAAGTGCTTCAGTTTCACACTAATGGGGCACAAAAAACAGACATCAGACATCCAACGTGTCACACGAGTACACAGAATCACATGAGCTAACGTTAGATTCTGCACCTACATTTTGTTTGCCTTCTCGGGAGTTAAAAACTCCTTGTAGAGGCTGTCAACTTCTTGCAGCCTGGCTTCATCGAGGACCTAAAATAGAACAGATAATCAGTTTCATTCATTCGATTTTAAACAATGGTCTGGAAAGCACCTAAGACGTCTTTAGATTTATTGCTAAAATGATCCCCTCGGAAATTGGCAGTGATCATACATAGGCACGTATTTTTTTCTAAAATACTTTATGGATGTGAACGCTGTCTTGTGGGAAGCAAGACACGCTTAAATTCACTCAGCCGCTCCTTGCACACGTGGTTACGGGGCCTTCACACTGCCGAGCTGCTTAAGTTTAACGCTAAACGTCACGAAAACACTCATTACGTCACAAGGAAAATGTTAAAAACTCCCGTTCACGGGCTCGAGTACCGACAAAAACATTACCGATTATATTTCACTACCGTTAACGTTACATACAAGTGAAGCGAGGTGCGCGTGGGTAGCTCGCCACGAGGCTAAGCTAACGCGGATTGCTAACGAGTAAAACAAGTGAAAACGGAAAATACATTCATTCAGTACGTGACACGAGACAGAAGAGTATACAAATACCTTGAATATCGCGTATCCAGCGGCGGTCTCGAATAAAACGAGCATTTTGGCTGCAGCTCGGTTACTTTGCAGAATCTTAGCAGCCTCTGAGTGGAGCGCGTGCGGGCTTCTGAGACTCCACGCCGCTGCGCCGAGAGGAGGGCACCAGGAAGCCGCTGGGTTGCCATGTCCCTCGATTCGATATCCCCCGAAATCACTGTAATGTTTTTTTTAGCTGATTTTGAAACAACCCAGTGTGGAATATGGTTTATAGCAAATATCCACTCAATAAGTATTTAATAATTTAAACCTGCATGTTGTATATGTTACTAAATAATTAACGCAAAGTAAAACAATCAGTGGATTGGGTGCCAGAAAACAAGCCACCTACCGTATGACATTAATTGTATGATTTATTTGGGGCGTGGGAGGGTCCAAACAAATCGTGAGTCCAGTAACTTAATATATATATGTATTAAATAAATTCCACGCTGTTTTTTCTCCACAACCTGGCAACCTCAAATACGACAAGTCAAATCTCGCGAGAAACCTCCGACGCATACTGGCTTGAGGAAAAACTACTTTTAATTAAACCTAAAACCCACAAAAGGGTTGTAAAGATCGTTGCAGTGGAGCACGGTTTATTCGACTTCGAGACAACTATAAGATAGTGGATGGCGTTCATTTTATTCTTTTGATTGTGTTCATCTGTTTTATGTACTTCCTGCTCGCGCGGAAGTGACGTATTTGAAACGCGAGCAAAACATGCACATGTGAGAGCAGCGCGGCAAGAAAAACCTACAATTACTTGAAATATACTTTATCGGCGTTGCGAAGAAAGGCCTCAAGCGCGAAGTATGAACGACCAGGGGCACTACCCTCCGCCGGACTTCGGCTGCCCCCCCCCGGGTACCATCCCAGACCAGCAGCAGCACGCGAGCGGCTTCCACCCGAGCATGTGGAGCTGGGGCGACACGTCCTCCGAGCCCGTCTGGGACCACAGCGGCCAGGCCGGCTGGCAACACGGGGCCGCCGCGGGGTTTGGTTCCCCGCCGGGTCGTGGAAACTATGGACATAAACGTCCACACGGTGAGTTGTCTATAATGTGCAATGGTCATATTGAAAACACGGGGATCTGCAAATATCACATTTACATCCCAATCAAAAGGCAGTCTGGGTGTCAGCAATATCCCACTGGAGTCTTTGAGTGTTGTCTGTGTTCGTATTACAACTATGAGGAATTAATGTGTCTCCCATTATGACCATGTTAGTCGTGACTTTTCATAGACAAACCAATATTTTAAAACACTGTGGGGAATTATTAAAGGGATGATCCTGCAATTTATTGTCAAAAAATGAGACACACCAAGCCCAAGCTGAAATAATGCCGATGACTTCTCAATGACACCATCAGGGTCACGGGGGGACCGGTTCTCCCCGTACTAAACCAAGCTTGATGTGTAAAACTGTCGGAGTTCCCCCAAGATTGAACAGGTGATGTTTTTTGTTACGCTGTCGTGCCTCTAACTTCACCCCTGTCTTCAGGTCAAAACTTTGGTCGCGGATGGCATCGAGGGGGGAGACAGGGTTACGGACCTCCCAACAATCATGGGAAAAAGGTACTTGGGACATCACCACTTAAATCATGACCTTGACTGCAGTAGCGTAGTGAGAATAAGTCCAGCTACAGCTGATCCTTTTGTAATCCACAGCAGAAAAACAAGAAAGAACCAGAGTATTCCTATTTTTGCGACACCTGTGACCGCGGCTTCAAAAACCAGGAGAAGTACGACGAGCATGTTTCTCAACATGTCAAGGTAATTTAATACACCTTTACAAAATGATACATTATACAGAGATTACTGTTTAGTTGCTGATTGTGTATACAATTCCATTGACTACCTCCATCAATTGTTTTTCGTAGTGTTCTGTGCTAGACTGCAGCTTCATGGCTCATGAAAAACTAGTCAGCATCCACTGGAAAAACGTGAGTGAAATAACTCTCTGTGAATCTGAAACTCTGTGTTTTCCTTTTGTCAATATATCAGTCGTTTTTTTTTTATGTCTAATCGTAGAACCATGCACCGGGCGCTAAAAGAATCAAGCTGGACACACCGGACGAGATCATGAAATGGAGAGACGAGAGGCGCAAGTCAGTATTCTGATTCCATTGTTATTTATCCCTGAACTACTTATGAAATTCTGTTGTGGGGTGATCCACATTTTCGATGTGGTGTTTGTACATAGATTGTGAATAAGATGCCTACTTGAAATAAGAAAAATTGCAATAATATTAATTTGACTTTACAGGAACTATCCAACACTTCAGAATATGGACAAGAGGAAGAAAGTGATGGCGGAGCGGGAGGAGACGGGAGCCGTTCTGGAGACGGCTCAGTTTGGGTAAATGTACAAATGCATGGTGCCTTTTCTAGTGTTTTCTCTTGTCGTTAATAGTCAAGAGAATATTTTCACTCGCTTAGTGTAACCGCTCTAAATCCTAACCTTGAATATTTGACCCGCAGGCGGATGAGAGGCAGAGGGCGGGGCCGTGGCTGGGGCAACAGCGGGCGTCACCCTGGAGGCCCTCACCCATCCGACACCAGTGCCACGGGAGGACCTGCCCCCACCGCCCAGCCTCAGAGGGACAGAGATCCACTGGCAGCGCTGGCCAGCAGTGATCATGGTGAGTGACTCATCTGATGTGCAGAGCGCAGCCATCAAACGTAGGCAGTCAGCTATCCCCAAAAATATGTCATATAATGTGGAAATAACTTTACCGTAGAGGTAATTAATGTGTGTTTCTCGTGTGCATCAAGATTCCGACCGAGAGGACCCGGGCCCCGAGTCCAGGCCCGGCGGCATGGTCGTGGCTCCCAAAAAGATGAGCTCCGCTCTGGGCTCTCTGGTAGCCAACTATGGCTCCATGAGTGAAAGTGACGAGGAACCTGAAGGCAAGTTTAACGCCTCCCTAAAAACAGACCGTTAGTTATCGACGGTCTCTCTGTCCGCCAGTGGGGGTGTGCTCACCTGTTGTGTGTGTGTGTGTGTGTGTGTGTGCGCATCGATGCGGAACTCATGCGTCAACGGCATGCGTGATACAGAGGTCAGGGGAGAGTTGTAGACGCGTGCCCATGTAGAGACAGAAATGACATGCCGTTGTGTAAATAAGATGCATAACACATTTAGTTTCTTTGCTAAAATAACAAGGTTTAGACCTGTCCTATGGGAAAGACTTAAATGACTTGTGATTGGGTGCCATCTGACAGTGTGCCGCCCCAATATAACTGTATAGAAAACTCTACAAGTTTATGTTATGTCTTCTTGCGCAGCAGTGTAATGTTCACAAATAACTACCACTTTGATGATTTTTGAAGTTTACAGACAGAAAAGATGGAAATTACACACATTTACCCGTGTTATTAACAACTGCAGTGAAACATCTCTGGTTATAACGTTTAATTTTCAGGCCCAGAGAAAGAATTATGGGGTTATTATGATATTAAACAATATTATAGTTAGACGTTTTGTGTTCATGGAAAGACGATATCCAAATTGGGATATAACATGTAACAGGAATAAAATACACTTAAAATCGATCATTATTCTTTTTCTTGTATTTCAGCCTTCCCTATTATTCAGAGAGCCAAAGACCTTGTGCAAGAAAACCAGGCTCTCCTAAACTCCAAACCACACGGGTCTCAGGACAGAGGGCCTTGTAGAGGCCCAGAAACCTCCTCGCAGGTTACACAGGCCCTTCACACTCCTAACGGCAGAAGAGGAAGAGGACGAGGGGGGCGAGGACGAGGAGGAAGGGGAGGACACCAAGACCCGCCGCAGTCGCGTCGTCCCACTCTACTCGAGATGGTATTATTTCACAAACATTACACAGGATTCTAGATGACGGTAATGAAGTGATTATTTAAATGTAGACTATGCAGATAATGCAGCTTCTTTTTTCTTTCCCTCTGCTTAGTTACTGGCCTCAGATATCCGCCACGAGAGAAACGTCCTCCTGCAGTGCGTGCGCTACGTAGTCCGAAACAAGTTCTTTGGCCTGGAGAACGGACCTCAGGACCAGAGGGCGACAGAGGATAGGGTCACACCGCTGATCTCAACCGGCGAGCGTGCAGAGAGGCAGGAACAGCCGTCGGCTAAAACCCCGGCTCGGTTTGCTCCTCCACTTAGCGCGGCGAGAAGTTCAACAGATGATGGGTTTCAGGAGGACTTGGAAGCGAGTGCGGCTGTCGTAGTCGAGCCGTATCTGCACACGTGCACAGAACCGCGTGAGGATCGTCCCGTGAACTCGGCAGCAAGCGCGGAGGCGGCTGCCAGACGCTTCATCGGAAACGCCGAAGAGACCGCTGTGAGAGACGGCACCAATTCCACCGGCACTGATGAAACCAGATCTGCTTCTAATGCGTACGATGATGAAATATGGGAGAGCCCCGGTGCTCTTATGTCCTAGCAAATTATTAAAACAGTGTTTTTGTTGCAAGGCATGCAAGTGGGACATTTGTCTTTCAAAGGTTGATAATACTTGAAATTGTTATTTTTCAAGGGCTATTATTTTTGATGTGATGTTAGTTTGCCTAACAAAATCAAGTTATATTTTTGTAACATGCTTTATTATGATTTTTTTTCCTGTTTGAAATAAATGATATAATCTTGATCAACCAACTGTAAAAATGTTTGTTCTATATTATACGCTTCATCTATGGATACGGTTGAGGTAAAAATGAAAGAGAATCCATGTTAATTGCGTATTTATAGATCTTGATTACATGTTGAGGTGCAACACTAACATTCGCAGATTAAATTCCAGAAGATGAGATTCAAAACAATATGCAAATTGTTCTATGAACTTTTTTTTTAAGGAAACAGTTTCGGTACAATGATACCCGAATTAAACAATTAAACATTGAAATAGTTTTATAAATGTTCAACGTCACTGCTCATCGTCGAGAGCTACTCCGCCCACCGGTCTGCCCGGGACTGTAAAACGAGCGCTACTCCGTCGCTTAGAAACCACTTGAACGTCTCACCTCTAACATTTGGGTAGCAACAGTAAAGTTGACTATCGCTATGCGAGTCAGTAAGTGGATACCAATAGACGACAACAAACGTGTTACGCAAGGTACATTTCTGCCAAAGTTATAAGTCGGTAGTAATCGGAAGGTGAACTAACCTCTTGTCATGGCTGGGAGTTGTGTTCGAGTTGACCCCCCGTTTGTCGAGTTCAACGGTGTGAGCGTCGGGCAGGTTTACAAGACGACACTCACGGTGACAAATGTTGGGAAAACTGCGAAGAAAATAAGGATGGGAAAGCCCGTGTTAAAGGTAAAGGGGATAATGAGTTTGTTTTCTTAATTGACTAGCAAAATGCATACGAAATAAAAAAAACATAAAACGTTAACGTTGTCTTAATGGGAATTAGCCGTTGACGCTAAATTGCTCAGTAACTCGTGCTAGTGCTTCGTGCGCAGGAACTACCGTTAAGCTAACGTTAGCTAAGTGTTAACCAATTAACTTAAACGACTTACTCTACACATATCTTGTTAGTTTGATATGCTACGTCCACGACCGATAACCAATCCAATAAGCTATCTAGTTATCTAACGTTATTTATTTATTTATCTATCTAACATATCTATAATAAGTCATGGTATTCGTCAACGGGTCATGTTTAAGCTAACATTAGTTAATAACAGATAACTTTAGTATTCAAAGTAAACATGTTTTGTTTATTATTTATGTTTCCAGAATATTACACGTTTCATTCTTTTTCTCATATTTCAAGAGTTGCCAATGTTTCTAAACTAGTGCAATTCAGTTCAATTAACTCCCCTCGGCCTCTTTGTGTTGTGCGGTGTTAGCGTTTGTATAGCAGGTTAAGATGCATATGTTTATCTCTAGCTAAAGCGGTGCCTCTAAACGTTTGCTATTTTAATCTATATCTACCACCAAAGTGGTTCTTCTCAAACGTGTGACTGATGCCCCCCCCCCCCCACCCGTTTCTCCACTATTTCCTTTGCCATGTAGTTTTTTAAGTTCTCAGCATCCAGCACAGCCCAGTTGGTGGCCCCCGGGCTGTCTGTGAGCGGCCTGCTTGAGTTTACTCCAGAGGAAGAGGAGGAGGTCAGAGACTGCCTTCTGAATCATATCGATTATATAGAGACCATCAAAATTCCTCTGCTGGGGTAAGCACGCTATACATACGTTATAAACATATGAGATGTTATTAACCCAATGAAGTACCAGATAAACTGCCTTTGGCTTTTGTTGATGTGCAATCACACATCTCAACAAATGTTCTGACATTTCAAAACTCACAACTTTCTTTACTGGGTCCTTCTAGATTGCCAAGGCTTGTTCCTTCCTAACAGAGTCAGTACTAGACTTTGGAAGCATGCAGCAAGCAGTCAGGTGATCAGCAAACGTCATCATATAACCAATCAGGGATCAGCGCCAGGTAAATTGAGCCCGTCTTTCTGGGCCGGAGCTTCTGAATCCTGTTGCGGAAGTGGTGATGACATATTCATTATCTGCCCCATTTATAATACATCTATCATCAGAATCCTTTCTCAAAGCCTGACAATGCAAGTACCTGCTTTGGTACCTGCATGGTCAGTGATCCGAACACTTACTCAATTAATTGATACTACAGTGGTAAAAACCTTTCAAATCAAGAAATTGCAAAGTTGTGTGATTAAAGAATGAGGAAACTTCGGAACACTAACATTATTAACAATGTAACAACCCAAGAAAGCTGTTAGTTTACTGCATGAGAAATAAAGCACGGGCCACTTTGACACAGCATTCCATTATACTAAAAAGATCATTTCACTCCTCTGGTAAATTAAACCTGCTTTTCTTCTACAGTAGAACGGGTCGAGGAATGTCTGAATTATTTAGTCATAGATTAATCATTTATGAGTGTTATTACTGTTTAATGTAAACTGGTATTTCAGATATTTAGTATGTGGCTTTTAGCATATTCACTCAGTGTTAAAACTCTTGTATTTGTGCATTGAAGGAGTGTTCCAGTTGCAGTACAATGGAGACCCCTCAGTCCGAATCTCACCCCGCGGTGGAGTTGTAGCAGCTGGCGCCACCCTGTGGCTAGAGGTGGAACTGCGCACAGACAGACCCAGGCAGATAGATGAGAAGGCTCTGTAAGGAAGGCTTTAAAAACAATAGTCTAACATAACTATGAACACAGATCATATGTACTGAAGAGATTAGACAACTAATGCTCAGGTTCTTATTTTAGGGTTTTGAATTTTTACAAAAAAATAATTTTGTGTGTCGCTCTACCCAAACCCTATCCTCCTGTTGTCCCAGGCTGGAACTCCAGAATCACTCTGATGTAGTTCTCAGTATAAAAGCTGAGGTGGTGGACCAGCGCCTTGAGGTATTGGACATGCAGGTAATTCAGTGATCCAAGTGCAATATTTATACTACCTAGGCTGGAGTGCACAGCACGGACTGCCGAAAGTTAGTCTTTATGTGTTTGGCGATACGTCATCTGCAAACTACAAAAGCAGTCATGGCCACATAATTGTATTCATCTGCCATCCTGCTTCCACTGCCGTTTACCATCCGGCCCTGTTCGGTTGTGTGCAGCGTCAGATGGGTGGTAGCTGTGCACCTGGTGTGGCGCCCCTTAACATGGCTCTCCAATACACCAGGATGCTCCACTGTCCTGCCTGTGGTTTGGACCGTTATACTTCGGGACGTCCAGCGTGAAGAAAGTGGTTCTGAGAAACAAATCCCCCCGGGCATGTGACTGGGTTGGCCTGCTCCAGGATACTGCTGCTGGGACCGAGGCGGTGAGTAATGCCCTCTGGGAAAGTAGCAGCAGCTGAGGATCAGAAGAATTAATCAGTTGGATAATGAACTGATAATCTATCAAGGCTTTTACTGTGATTGTTGTGTAGGGAGTGGATCTTCAGAAGAGCAGCGACACTGTCCTGCTGGAGGGAATGGAGCGGTGCAGCCCAGTCAAGCCCGACGTCTCTCAGGTGTTGGTGTTCGTCCCCAAACAGGGGAGACTGGGACCGTACGACAAAACCACTGTGGCAGTGTGCTTCAGCCCCATGAGCAAGAGGTAAATTGTGGCAGAAACCCCCAAATTTTCATACATACATACATACATTTTTTAAGGGTATGACATGCAGAGTGACTGTAACATTTTTTACTGCCGTTTTTACGAAATAGCTCAAAAGTAAAATGTCCTTTTAAAGTGTGAAATTGACACAAAGCGCAATCCAATCCAATGCCCTTGAAAAAAAAAAAAAGAATCCTCCCCGTCGGGGAATTGAACCCCGGTCTCCCGCGTGACAGGCGGGGATACTCACCACTATACTAACGAGGAGTGATTGCATCATAGGGGCGTGGCCTATCGTAACCTGTCCCTTTTTCAGCAAAAGTGGTCAGAGGAAGTGCCATCGCTCGACCGGCCGGCAGGACTACTGTCTCTACCTGCTGTTTGAGTCGGTTGGGAGCAGATTCGGATTCACTCACTGTAACGGTACTCAACAAACACACACGCTCACTTCGAATTGCATATCCATTACAATCCACTACAAGTGGTCAGAGTACAGTTTTGAGCCAGACATTCGGGTGACACAACTTAATTTATTGAATTATTACCTGATGATTGAAGAAAGCGGATAATGATTATAGATTATAAATACTGTTATTTAATTTCAACCAGTCTTTTTCCCCCTCCTTTTTAGCAAGCAGCAGTGTGGAGCTGGCAGTGACAGGTTCCGGACTGCCTGTGTCCCTGGTGCCAAGTCCTACTCGGAAATTTGATTTCCTCACCTGTGCGACAGGTCAACGCGTGGACCTGCTGTGTGTGCTACAGAACCTCTGCCCTCAACTTCCTGTCTACTTCCGCTTCCGCAAAGTGGCACATTTCACCACCGATCCCTCCACTGGCACAATTGCCGCCGGGCAATGCCAGGTAGGAATACTGATTGATTGATTTGTTTTTCTATTCTCAAATATAAGCGGAGGGGCATTCATGGGAACCTTTTTCTCTTCTCTTGGTTGCATTGCACAGGATGTAGTTTTGTCTTTCACCGCGCGCCAGCAAGGGAGCTTTCAGGTGCGCCAGAAGCTGGATGTCTTAGGTCCTGGTGTTCAGAGAGGTGGCAACACCAAGGAAGATGTTACTGAACCGGTGCTTCTCTGCTTCCACACCATCACTCTTAACCTGTCTGCTGTGTGCCGCTGTGACACCACACACCTCGGGCCTAAGCTGAATCCCGGTGAATATTGAAGGATAAATCTCACGAAAGGACCAAAAGCAGTAGTCACACACACACAAATAATAATATTAGCAGATACATGTTGTTTTTTTGGTAACAACATGGAGAAAAACATGTCCACGAAAGAATAACCAGACTTCTGATGATCAGGATTCATATATCTGTCCTGCTCTGATTGGCCGCTTCGCAGGCATCACTCCAGCAGTGACCAATCCGACTGGATCTCTGCCTGACGTTCGTTCCAGCGACCTGTCTCGCTGCCGCGCGACGTTGCCCGTGGCCGTCCTGGGCGCCGGGCGAACTCTACTCCACAAACACCGCAGGCGGAGGCCGGAGGGGGAAGAGTTCCTGGCTTTTCCCAATGACCGCCCGGCGAGCAACAGGCCTGCCTCCGCACACAGACAGTACAGGTAGAGTTTAAAAAAGAAAACTTGTTCCATATGCTCAACAAAAATGTGTTAGAGGCATAGACAGCAGGTTTTTCCTAAAGGTCATCATACTGGCTTTTAAAGCCGCTGAATGACTGACCGTGACCTGAGGATTCCTTCCCTTTATTTTATCTCGCTAAGGACCCTCTTCACCGGTGTACAGCGCTATTGCTATGTAGACACCAGCTATGCTTTCACTGAGGAAGAGGAAGAGCAGAGACGGAGGCATCGAAAGATTTACGCAGACTTCACCCGGCAGCTCGGAAAAACTCGCCTGCAGGAGACCGATGAGAGGTAGGCTGTCAGGTGAATATCTATGATGGCTGACCTGAAGCCTGACGCTGTTCTGTCAGAAAGGTGGACGATAAAAAGTGCCGTTGTATCTGTGTTGTTGTTCGTTAGACAGCAGAAAGCAGTGGAGAACGACGTGGACATCGGGATTGTTCCTTCTCACGGGCTCGTTCCACCTACGCTCGGCTTCAGTGACCTGCAGAACAGTCTAACCTTTGAGACCAAGCCAAACTACTTTGGGGCTTCACCAGCATCTAGACTTAACCGCCCCAAAGACAGCACATCCGCCAACCGCGAGGTTGACAGTCAGGTCGGATCCAATGTGGTGAAGATCAATTTCAATGCGGAAATTCAGGGAAACATTTGCTTTTTTAACCGCCTCAATCTCTTGCAATCTCTACAGGTCATTAGTGCAGTTCCCACTACCAGCCAAGAAGTGGCGGACTGCAACAGGACTCTGACGGCTCAGGAGCTCTCCCAAGTCATCATAGGTTAGAGATTCAGTTCAGAAGCGACACAGTCATGGTTATCCTAACAGTGTGTGATCCGTCGGTGTATTAGGTAGTAGTGTGTTTTCATGTGTTAGTCTATTGGGCATCAAATACATGTGTCTGTCCCCATCAGGTCCATTGCTGGTGGACTTTGGTGATGTGTGTGTGCAGTCAGTGTGTGTTCAGAAGCTGGAGGTGACCAATCGGCTGTCAGTGTTTGTCTGGGTGCAGCTGGAGGTGGACTGCATCGAGCTCCAGGGCTCCTCCCCCCTCTCTCATGTCATGCCCCCCAACTCCCGCAACACCCTGCCGCTGACATTTCAGAGCAGCAAAATGGGTCACTTCTACAGGTCCGTGGAGGAAGCAGCGCGCACACACACACACACACACCTTAATCCATGTAAATAATTGGCCTGTTCTAGTGAACTATGAACATCACGTCTCTCCCCCAGACCCGTGTCCTTCTCTGTGAACCAGCAACACCCTGGTCAGATTCTGGTCCAGGCCCGGGTTGTCCCCATGGCTCTGGATTTGTCCACCGACCGGCTGGTGATCCACCCCACCAACGCTTTGCTCGCCCAATCAGGATACAGGAGCTCCGTCACCCTTCGGAACCGCCTTAACCGCACCGCTGAATTCGAGTGGAGGCCGGTGGTCACACAGAGCGGCATCCTTTTCTCTATTCGGCCAGCTGCAGGTGCTACAAGTGCAGCTCAATTTTAGTGTCCCAGGGTGGGAGGCACAAAACCATCATATCAGAAACTCCACCGTGCATCATCTCTCCTCCCTGTTGTGTTTCTTTTTAGCTTTATTGATTAGCAACTTTTGTAATAAATATATTGTTCTATTTTAATTGCGGCTAATACAAACAAATACACCTCCCTCCCCCTCCCTCGCCAGGTTCAGTGGAGCCATACAGGGAGTTGGACTGCGAGGTCGTGTGGCATCCCTCCTTCTCCTCCCCCTCTGAGGGAGACTTTGACCTCTGTGTCCACGAGGGCAACACGCAACGCCTGCATTGTGTTGCTAAGGTCTAGTACATTCCAAATGCTAATATATTTTGTTATATGAACAACATAACAAGCACTCTCGGAGCAGCAGCAGTTGACATACAGTACATAAATCAGTTCTTTTTTTTCTGAACAGGTACAGAAGAAACGTTTGTCTTTTATCAGGGAGCCACATAATGGTCCCTGTTAGAATAGACGTAAACTGGTCTACCACAAAAAGGACTATTTAGTCTGTGGATTCTCTTTGGATCTCAGTATATTTTATAGATTAACATGTTCATTTTCACAGCCATGGTTTAAAGTTCAATTTCTAGCACCACATAGTGTATCCAGCCTCTTTATCTATTTAAATGTCCACCACATTGATTGATTTAACTTGTAAATGCAGCCTAAAAATGCAGCGAAAATCTTCCCAAACAGTGGCTTTATGTGGTGGGAAGTTTTCCTTGCAGTTTTGTGGCATCAAAACATCCATTAAAAATGTCCTTCAACTATTCGAACAAACGCCACCAATACGTAAGCTGTCAAAAAGCAATTCAGTGAAACGGGAGAAATCTCCGACAAGTAGAATCCAACAAGTCGGGTTAAAGAGAGAGCTGTTATGTTAATTACAGCACATTGGTATGAAGAATTGACTTTCCCTTTTCTCCTAAACCTCCCTGTCCTCTCAGGTCGGGTCCACCAGCGTCCAGCTGGCTGACAGAAAAGTCACGTTTGGATTGGCGCCTCTCAACGCGCCTTCAGTCAGAACCACAGTGTTACACAACACCGGGAAGCACCACGCCTACTATCAGGTGCCTGCCCATGAACCACGATGGTTTAATGCTCACACAAGAAGAAGAAATAACCCCTATGCTCTCATGTCTCTGTTTTGGATGTTGTTGCAGGTGCTGGATGTGTATCCACTGCCGGGCTTGGTGGTGAGTCCACTTGAGGGCGTGGTGCCGATGGGGGGGCGGGCCACACTCGAGATCCACTTCATCCCCGACTCGGTCATCAAGTTTGACACCAGAGTGGAGGTGGGTGAGGGGTTGAAATGCGAGGAGACAGGGCTCATCATTTTCTTATTATCACGATTTGTGTGTGTGTGTGTTACAGATAGCTCTGAGGAACATGAAGTCCATCGAGCTGAGAGTTGGCGGATCCGTGGAGCCTCCAAATGTAGACTTTAGTGTGGTGAGTTTGTGTTACAAAAAGACATGTGAATATCACTAAGTACACTTTGAAAATATCACATCAAACCTAAGCTGTGTGCAGATGATCCATTTTTTTGAGACAGAAAGAACTCGGCCATCCTACACACGTAATGTGCTGCCAGACATCTCACCCCAAAATCAGTTTTATAGCTCAGAAATCCTGGATATCTGCTCTTGGCACCACGCGGTGTGTATTTATGCGCTAGCTGGGCAGACGTGTACTTAGCTGTAAATACCGGCTTTATGCAGGTCACGACATGAACCATTGTTGTTGTGATTGGGGGTTGTTATAATGTCCATCCTCTGCCCTGCTTGGAAGTCGTGTTGTCTAGAGATTGTTTTTTTGTGTAAAATCTTTACAGATTTTTTTGTTCACTAATTGAATATATAATGTAATTTTATTTTCACTCAGTTATGCTGGTTATGCTTTCACATAAGATTCAGAATATATTGTTGCAACTAAATTTGGGATTTCCAGCTGATACATGCTCTTAATTTAAGTAATTCTCTTCTTTTGTATCCCACCATTAAGTATACATCTTTATCAGCTGACTTACATGATATATATATATACATATATTTATGTATATATATATAGGTGGAAAGATTATATCTCTGCACTGGCCTGGGAACACCTTTGGATCCCCCCCGGTCAGAGCCGGCCCGGGAAAGGGAAGTTTGGGTTCCCCTGCTGTAACCCGACCCCGGATAAGCGGTTGAAGATGGATGGATATATATGTATAGATGTGGGTGTGCCTTTGGCAAATGAGTTGCACCCGTTAAATACTATAAATTAAGTGAAATATATAATTCAGTCATTCAAAAGCATTTTTATTTGCTGTAACTGTTGGGGTGCTGGAACATAATTGCATTGATCTACATGATCTGCTCCCTGAAAAATTAATAGATTAAAGCAATTATTGTCATATCTGCTGAAATGGAAAAATAATTGGATGAGAATAAATGTGTTGGCGAGACAACTGGAATGAGATTCATGAATTTCCTTCATCCCCCGGCCTTATAATACCTGCAATGTTTTCCGGTGTGGCGATGTCCACCGTCCAGATGAATCTACTCGTGTTGAGTTGTCCCTCCCTCTCTTACAGACCGGGTTCCAGTTTCAAGGCGTCTACGCTGGCTCTCGCCGAGCGATACCGTTCGCTCTGACAAACCGCTCGTCGGCCGCAGCCCGGGTGACCTTCGACCTGGCGGCATACACAGACTTCTCTTTGCGCCTCCCTCAGTCCTCGGCACGTCCGTATTTGGACGTAATGCAGCAAATCTCACAGCTGATAGGTGGGTAATTGTTCTGCAAACATGCAATAAGGAAGTGTTTTTATTGTATGGGCTGACTGCAAATTAATGTTTGTAATATGAGTAATATAAGGATTTAAGGGATTTAAATCCAAGCTCCATTTCAACACTCCTGGGTATTTATTGGAGCGCCCCCAAAACAGATATTACGGATAGGACAACGCCATGTAATTTAAATGGTTTAAATTAGACTTTCACACAGAGGAGTGTATAGAGTGATCTGTGTCTTTTCCCAGTTTCTAGATCATCATTGAAAAATGACTTGACTAGGAAGGGTGGGAGACCCCATAAAGTACACAGCTCATCGATCTTGGGTTTATCTGGATTTTTGGTCCGTGTACTTATGTTCTTGCCATTGCTTCTCCAATTTTTTACGAGCAGAGAAGGAGTCGGGAGTGACGGTGGTGGAAGTCAGCGGCAATCAGACTGTGGATTGTTCCTTCATCTTCTCCCCCACGCAGGTCAGATCTGGACCAAGCATCTCCTGCTAGATACGCATAGCGTTCATCCATGAATCGAATTCACTTCTGAACAGCATCCGTCCCATCGTAGCTTAGGGACCATTAACAGGTCTGTCAAGCTTTGGGTCCAAAAGAAAAAACCTCAATAGCAAAAGTGAAAGAAGTGCGTAGTTACCGACGACCCTTCTGTAGTCGTAGTTTTCGGAGTTCCGCTGTAAACCAGGGTTTGTCGTTGTTATAACTCACCCTGGTGCATGATGGTACACAGCTGTCCTCACAGAAGCCGATGTAAGAAGTCACAGCCTCTGAACTCATCCAGTTCCGTTCTTCTTTTAAATTGCTGATATATGACACAACGCTGGAATTGAAAGGCAGTAACAGGCAACAACAAATCTTGTTCCCTCTCCATAGTTTTAACATGTTTGTCTGTGAACATGTTTTGTAAAATAAGGACGGAGATGTGTTCCTGCAGGCCGCCTGCTATGACTTTGACCTCCCACTGTTGGTCAACGGAGCGATGTGGCCCGCTGCCCCCCCGCCTCCTCCCTCTGCTCCGTCCTCCCGCTCCACCTCGTCCTCGCTGTCGGCGTGCAGCAGGAAACACGTCGTCAGACCTCTCCCCCGGTCCGTCGCCATGGCGACGCAAGAGGCCCTGCACGTACAGGCCACAGGTTAATGAGTGTCCTGCAGGAATTGATCTTAAATCGTAGATGATACAATACTCCATGTTACGTGTACAGATGTCACATGTTTCTCTGAATTAAATGTTTTTCTTTCCCTCGCTGTTTTTAACAATCTTTTCAGTGTTGTGCGCCCCACTGGAAATGTCCCCCTCGAGCCTAGAGTTCCGTTTGGAAACCCAGGCACAACTGTCCGATGTTTACACCAAGGTATCAACTAGGGTCCTTCTTCATTTTCTTTCCCTCTATTCATTCCCTTTTCTAAACTTGGACTTTATACGGATCTTTCCCTTCTTCCTGTCTTGCAGCTTGTACTTCCACTGACTATCTAAAACCCTCTATCTGTCCTTTTAGTCCCATTTTGTTTCTAGCTTCTCTCTCCCTTCACAGACGGTGGAGCTGAAAGCGGTGTGTGAGGAGAGCACATTTTGGCGTTTAGGCGCCAGGAAACACATTAGCTGGTGGTTTGACCGCAGAGGAATAGAGGGGTCCGAGTACAGAAGAGAGGGAGAACTGTGTGAGGTGTTTCCATCATCAGGCATACTGGGGCCGGGTCAGTCCATCTACCTCACAGTCAGCATCCACACGGCGGGTGAGAAACAATTTAAAACACACACACACCACAGAATGGAACATCCCTCAAAATAAAATTTCACACAAAGATACATTATAATTATATAATAAATAAATCATACTCCACAAGGCCTGAATAATACTTAGTCACGGAGGGGCTGTTTGGAGGTAAGATTTAGCAGTAATAACATTCCAAATCTAAGGTCTCTAAAATACATCGAGCCACAGCACATTGCTTTGCAACAGCCCAGTAGTTTGCAAAATTATGCTTTACTTTTTCACCTAAACCCAGAGTGCCTTTGAGACTTATCTATTTGAAACCTCATTTGACATAAGACTTGCTCTGGCTTGAAAGAAAGACAAATGTTGTCTGATTGGGATCAGTAAAACCCTCATAAAATAGGGGCTAATTTTCTCGTAGCACGTTCAGATTGATTTGCACAAGTGTTATTGCCCAGCTTCTCCGCCCAACGAATAGCCAGTTTCCCCCTGATTAGTGAATAGTACTCTGCCCTACCATCCTTCCTCACAGTGGAGATGATGGTGGTTTTCTTTGCCATATATTGCTGAAATAAGAGACTGATTTGATTGCTTATTGTTGAATCCGGTATCAAAAACATCCATTGCCGTTTAAATTTTGTTGGAGCAGCCAACAAGTCCTCTCCCGAGGTGTTGTGGTGTTTTTGTGGAGGCGCATACCATTCATAACTATTGTGTGGGCTTCCAAACATTCTGCTGTACTTGACACACAGTTAGAAATCCACCTCTAGTCCGCACTGACGCAATGTAAGATTATTTTCACACAGGGTCCGACAAAGGGACCAAACTGTCCCTACCTCTTTACTTGGGAGACAACGGAGGACAAGGGACAGGAAGAGAGGTGGGGCATGAACCTTACAGAGAGCTGTCCATCGCTATTATCATCCAGCCACCCCGTATCACCATCCACCCCCCTCAAATCCTCCTCACACCGGTACCCCTGGAAGGCATCGCGAGTGCCACTCTCACCCTGCTGGCGAGGGGATATCCTTGGTTTGTGTACACACACACACACACACACACACACCTACACAGACACACACTGTGTTTTCTGCTCAAACCCAGGCTAAAAAGTGGTTCCAGTAACTGTTAGTTTGTATGAATGCCTCCTGCTTACGTTTTGTTTCAGCTTGTGGTAATTTGCCAGCTGCGTTGAGTCACTGAACAAAGGCTAAATGTCTCTAAAATTTCGCTAAAAACTCCTGTTGAATTTAGCCTACATTGGGAGTCAACCCGCTAATGCACATTGCTCCTGCTGAGTTTACGCCGGGGCCGTGGTCCGATGTAAATAAAGTGCTTATTGCACAGGTGCATTGAGCAACTTTATTTATTGGAGATGTCGTCCTCTACGTGCAGTGGAACCACAGTAGCAGCTGAAGTGGATGAGGTGGAACTGGAGGATGGGTCAAAGATACGGCCTGTTTCCATCATCTTCCCACAGGGTAACAACATCCCAGCCCCAAACCATGATAAGGTACTCAGACCACTTTACACTTTGATGAAAAAGTTACTTGAAAACTATCTGACCCAAACAAACGGACTTTGTTCTTTATACCGACCTCAGAGGAATTGGAAATATATTGGTGATCAAGATAATTCTTCCTTAAAAGTCACAACTTAAACCGGTAAATGCGATTCATCATTCGAAGGTATTCAGTCGTGAATGACAGAGAAAATGATCATATCTCTGTAAATGTAATTGGTTTAGTTCACAGCGTATTGATGATAATCCACATGGTATGCTTCACAGCTTTTGTCTTTACCACTCCTGCTTAATTTTGCTGCTATCTCCCCAGTCAGTTTTTGGAACATTTTACAGCAGATTGAGCGAAACCCAATTTTGCGCCTGCTTGCACTTGAACAGAAAGATCAGTGGAACTAATCCCACTGTATCTGCAACCACAGAGACATCGGGTAGGCATTCAGACCCAGGAGGCCCATGAGACCGCTCTAGCCTGCAGCGTGTCCTTCTGCTCCGCCATCCCTCTGTCCCTCTGCACAGCCATCACCTTCACCGACCACCTCCACAACAAGTAACCTGTTCCTCTACTCTCTTCCATCCTGGCGCTCATAAACTGTCCTGTACCATTTCTTATTTGCTGATTCCTCTTTCTCTGATTTACCTACACAATTAAAGCTGATTCAATCTACTAACTTGACTTTTTTCGTTTTGTTTCTTCTGCCAGGTTTAAGGTTAACTTGTGTGCTGTTGCTGAGAACTGCGTGTTGACAGTCTGGCCGTATATGGCCCTGCATCGCTCCGAGCAACAGATAGTTCTCAAGACTGGTACTGGCACAAGCACACAGCCATGACACAATGCAGCTCTATATAGCACGGGGAGACAGAAGGAGCAGGGAAAGGTATTATTGGTCCAATGAGTTAGTGTGGAAAGCTGTAAAAGAAATCCTTCTTGCCACATGAATAACTTCACATGCCAGCAAAGTAGCTGCAAAACTGTTGTAGCATCTAGCTCGTCCAATTCGAGGTTACCTTTAGCTTCAAATTTGATGGCATCACCGGCAAACAATTGATTTCTATCACTTTATCGTGGGAACAGAACAGAACATTTTCCTCTTCCAATTATCTTGCAGTATAGCAGAGAGAAGGAGAGAAGGTGTTGAGGAAGAGAGTGTCAGGAAGGATTCATACAGCTAAGCAAAACAATAACAAGGACCCGAAATCAAAGGATCACTGTGTGAAAGCCCAAACTTGGTTTGACACGTTTTGACTTTCTATATTGTTCGATATCAGCTTATTTTTTGTCGAAAGACGCTGTATTTTTCTCTCGGATAATTGCTACGTTTTAACAAAGATGTGTGATATATCTTTGAGGGGTCACTGATTTTCAAAAACGCCAAAGTTATCGTCTTTGATAATTTCTTCGTCTGATTGGTTGATGTCTCACTGCCCGATTAGGAGCCACAGCTGTTGAGGCGATCCTGCAGCGGCATCACACACCAAGTCCGGTCTCCGGTCCGACTTCCTCGTCCTCGTCGTTGTTCGATCGCAGCAGCTCAACGAACCAGAACTTGGCATCAGGTCAGAGCGAGGAAATGGACTTTTGGTAGTTGCATTTTATTTGTGATGTTTCAGTGTTTTCCGTGTGCCTTCCCTCGTCAGACTCCTTTCCGGACAGCAACTGCGCTCCTGCCGGCAGGAGTACAGAGGTCTTTCCCAACCGAGACCCCTCGACCAGCCTCGGCGCCCCAGTATTCTCCGCAACCGACTCGGAGGAAGGACTATTTTCCCAGAATGTACTGATGGCCGCAGAGAGGTGGTTTAGCCTCTTCGGGTGGCCGAGTGGACCGAACCCCATCTCCGTGCCCCACACGCTCAGAAGGTGTTCAGGAGTTCAGGAGCCACGTTCGGGGAGACTTCTCATTTTATTATAACAACGCATCTTCTCTCCTTCCAGAGTTGTGTCAAAAATTCAGACGGCTGATTCAGGTGGACGAACTTATAGAGTCAGTCAAAACAAAGACTCCAGGTGTGTATATGAGTGAGTCAAATAGTTGACATACCAAGCCACTTACAAAGTGGATGTTTAAATATACTCAACCACTGGGATGAGACTGGGTCATTTAACTCCTACTAACTAACAATGCTTTTATACAGAAGCTCTTAAGAAGAAGCTCTCATGTGCAAATGATCTGCTTTATAAATAAGTAACGGATAACTGTTAAATAATGCTGAAGAGGAGTCACTTGAGGGTTGATTGATTAGAGGCTGAGAGGAAAATCCACCAAGGGCTCGACTCTTGATCCAGATCACACATGGACATAACTATCAAGTCCTTGTGTCCAGGTCCGTGGCGGACATGCTCCACCACCTGACCGGCAAACCGATTCCCGGTATTCCTCGGAGTCTGCCACTTTCTGCTGATCTCGACCGGCGCACCGATCAGCTGCTGCAGCAGCACGGAGCCATGCTGACGTTTCTCAGGTGGGCTGCACGCAGACAAATGCCATGCGATGGGGACTACGGCTCCTTCCTTCCTTTTTGTCCTGCACGTGTGGCGGCAAATCTACGCGCCAGCTTTGTGTTTAAGTCACTTTTTTATGTAGAAGTCGCCACGGCAATCTCAAAAGGTAGGCCCGAAAACATTTCTGTAACTCCTCCAATGTGAGAAAAGTGATTTGAATGCAGAGGGTAAGATTTAAAAGACTGCATTGGGTAACAGCTATGGTTTTGGTTTTGATTTAGGAAAATGTGTCATGTTGCTGCTGAGGCCTGCGAATGACAACTTTTGGATTCATTGTTAATCTGTGTTCAGGGCGCAGGGGGCCTCCCTTTGTCACATCCGACCAGAGTACCTGCTTGACATGCAGGAGTTCCGACACTGGTGCTCCCTCCCTCAGGTGCAGATACACATCCTACACCGACACCATGTAGAGTAAATTACATGTCCTCTAGAATCTGTTTCTGGAGAAGGGAAACAATTGCTTTAGAAATGCCTCTTTGAAAACCCACTCTCCTTCCACTCACGGTCTCGCTCAGTTTTTCACTTAAATCCTACAACATATTAAGAGCTCATTGTGCCGTATTCATACTGTGTGTGTGTGTGTTTCTCTCAGTCACGCGAGGGAGAACATTGTCTGGACCACAGCAGTGTTGACTATGAGTCTTTGAGCAAGCGATCCTGGACTGATGTCCTGCTGCAAATATTCAAGGTGAAAGACTTTCCTCCACTCCATCTTGTCAGACTATACGTGCTCTTTTAAATCACATGTTTGAAGTTATCCTGTGATAGTTTACTGTGACTTTATTTATTTTTTGCTTTATCCTAAATATTGCTTCTTTTTTCTGAAGCTTCTTTCCCTTCCAGTTAAAAAATACCTGATTATTATGGATCGACTGATTAAATGTTCATTCACTGGCTGAACTTTGTCAGTCAGCCACCCTGATTCACACACCTATCAAAAAAAGTATACGCGTTTGCTCAGGTGCTGGTGTTGTGCCGCGTGTCAGAGGCCGCTGGGAGCAACTCAGCTTTGAAAAACGCTGCAACCAGACTGCAGGCCAGTAACGTCTATTCCCACTGCGAGCTCCAGTTGCTCTTATGGCTCAACTTGCATTACCGGAGCATGAGGACGACGGTGTGGCCACCGGGTAGGACTCGCAGCATCTTTTTTTCTAAAGATTCAAAGTCAAGATCAATATTTTCCTCGGTGCCTTTTAACGCCTTGATGCATATCGGGTCGTTTCTGCGTGTTAATGTTTCACAGGCAGCGTCCCAGCAGCGCGCTGGATTGTGAATTTCGACCTGGACTTGGCGGACGGATTGGTGCTCGCCACTCTGCTCGCCGCCTACTGTCCTTACCTGGTCAGTGTATGTGTGTATGTGTGCGTGCATTGTGTAACTCCTTAGTGTGTCAGTCAATGAGGGATAGTGGGTCTGGTTTTTACGTGGCGCTGTGATGTGATGTGATGAGGATGCAATTGATTATGAAAACAATTAGGGGAGCTTAAGCACCAGTTTGTGTGTGTAAGTGAGTGAATGAGTGCTTTTGTCTGCCACAACTCAAACTTGAATGTTTTTGCCAACCAACTTGTGATTTAAACGTCTTATTTATGAAGCCCGCATTGCCACCCCAGCAGAGGAGGTTTTGATTCCCTCTCACCTGCTCATGTTCCCGTTTAGATCTGCAGCCACTTCCAGAGGATGTACCCCACCACCAGCAGCCTGGAGCAGATCCTCCACAACAACATCATAGTGGCCCAGGCCTTGACTGCACTTAGACTCAACCTAGACCTACAGGTAGAAACCAGATCTTTCTTACTGCGAGATCACCAACAACATCAGACCTCAGTTGACATTTTCCTTCAGATTGAAGTCATTTCTGGTTGGTTGTACCCCGGGTAACAGTCAATTAACCGGACAATATATTTCCATGTGGTTTTGGTCCTTTATCAATTCCAAGTATCTGCACATCTTGATGTAAAGATTTGAGTTTTATTTAAATTTGTGAGTTATTTCAATATTGTAAAGAGGTAGCATGACACTGCAATGTTTCAGACTCACGGGAGAACGTTTTAAGAAAAAGCAACATGATCAGTACAGCACGATTAGATATGTAACTTATTTAATTCCATGCATTCTTTTTTCAAGTCAAAACCTGGTACCTACATTACCCACAATGCAGCTCAAACACGGACAGTTCACTTTGGAGATTCGGATGTGTCTCTAGTAGCTGCTGCCTTCAGCCACAAGCAGAGAAAATTCTGACATAACACTTTCTAAATTCTCAATCTTCAGCATAAGATTATAAATAATACACCATTATTTCAAGACTAGTCTGAAGACATTTGACACTTCAGAGTTGTTTAATGTTGTGTTGCAGCCTATGTGTGATCTTTCAGCACTTAATAGAAATGAAACAATGAGTATGTGCCTGTATGCTACCTTCAGCCCACAGACTTATCGGACCCCAATCCAGTGCAGATGCTAATTCTGTGCGTTCACCTGCATGAGCACCTGCCGCAGTACCTGGCACTGGACACTGTCACTCTATCAGGAGGTCTGCACAGCACTTTCAGCCAACAGGTAACACACACGCGCAAATCAAACGACTTTGATCCTAGAAGGCACCAGAAGGAAAAATGCAACCGCATGCCTCCTAAATCAAATGAATGAGCCCTGCGAGAATGAAAGCGGCTCAGATAATAAGCTCTGAGACAGATAATGAAAGACACAGACGCACGTTAACAGGATTATAGACACACACACATATATTAACAGGATTATAGATAAACCCCTGCACACACTAACAGGATTACAAACACACACAAATATACATTTGGGGACGCTTCCAGGTTAAGCCATTTACAAGCCTGACAAGAATTGTTGTCTGTGTCTGCTCCGAGGAAGATGGATTTCATTGGGGTTGTTTGTACGTACGTGCACACACTTTGGCTCCACGTGTGTCTGTGTTTCTGCAGGTGTGTCTGAAAAGTCCATCCTCAAAGCCAATGAAATACCAAGTACTTCTTTTAGGAGAGGACGCCCGTCTCTTCTCCCTCCCCGGTGGATCGACAGTCACTATTCCTCCAAAGTATGTTTTTTGAAACCTTGAAAAATTAAAAATCACTACACATTGTTTCGAGCAAGAACATCTGTGTCTAAAGAGGTGTCTAAACATCCCAGACACCATTTCCTTTTAAGCGCAAACTCATTGGTGTCAAACATTGACCTAAACCTCCCGGGGTAATGATTACATCAAAATAAAATGTTGCACATTTGTTGAAAGGCAAATAAATCGAGGTTTAAAACATTTTGGACACTAACCTCTTTCTTGGCCTCCGCTCCGAAAATGGCACACCCATGATAAAAAGTATATCAATATTATGGTACTAGTTCTGACGTGGTTCTGGCTTGTTTGGAAGCGAGGGGACCCCAGATGGGGCCCAAAGTGGGAAGTGACTCCAGCTACCTTCTGCTTCACACTCTAAAAGCAATATGAAAACTTCCAGAACTGCTAAAAAGGATAAAACGATTAGAAATAGGAGTGATAAAGTCCAGTATTTATGGTCTGGGACTAACAAGCACAAACTATTTCACATAGTCTTCCAAGGCTTTAACATTGATTTAAACCTTTGCTTAAAGCCTCTGAATATGAGAATTGTGAGAAAAAAAGTTCTAAATGGATCAAATGGATCAAAAAGTGTTAAATGTTAAATGTGAAAATGACTCAGCAGCTCTAGAGGGATTTAAACCATGGCTTTCCCAGCCATATTTGACCTGCAGATTCAAGAATGATAAAAATATATGTAGAATACGTTTTCTCTTTTAGGGCAATAATGGAATAAACCCTGCCAACACATTGGTTGAGCCGGGGGGAATTCTGGTTATAATGGAACTGGAAATGATTGGATCATCTTTTCCACAGGGCGACCTCCGAACTGACTGTCCGGTTCTGCTGCTACGGCATGCGGCCCGCGAAGGCGGCCCTCCTGCTCGTCCCCGCTTCTCCCCTCGGCCTGTGCGGCCCCGCCGCCCTGGCCTTCGATCTGAAGACCCACGTCAGTCGCGTCACGCCCGCGGTGAGTACGGTGGCCCGAGAGGGGGGTCAGACCGGCGTCACACGCCTCTGCAGATTTGCAGACGGCCCGCTAACGGCCCGTCTTTCTGATCACTGAAACCCGGTAGTTAAGTCACACAGCGTCGATGTAGAGGCTTCTAACGAGTAGATGAAAGTCTCCTCCCTGTGCTTCTCCTCAGAACACAGTCAAGTGTATGTCTCCGTGCTACCAGCTGAAAGTGATCCAGGTGCCCATCGCTAACTCCTTCAAGGAGGAGGCCGAGTTCAGGTAGGAGTCTGTGTCCATGTGTCCACGCGCGTATGGACACCCAAATATACCCTGAAAATAATATTACAAAATATCCAAATAGTGTTGGTTACATTTTCCCAGGTTTTAGATATATGAAACTATTAGTAGGATGTGAATAACATGTTGCCCTGCTATCCACACTGAACATAAGCTTTTGTATGTGTGTAGCATTGCTTCATTCATCCTACTGTGCATCTGTTTTTAGGGTGGTGCTGGTGGAGTCTCCCTTCAACCCGCTGGAGAAAAGCGACGTCCTTGTTCAACACGCTGCCCCCCGAGGCAAAGTATGCATGAACTGTGCACAGGGCCAACACACACTCATGACACATTTTGTATAGTACAGGCGGTTCTAGTCCGTTCTTAAGTATGTCCAAGCTACGATGTGTAAGATCTGGCAAGAATTATTATCAGAATGTAAAGTAATTACGATGTTGACTTTGCATCACCGCGCAACGAGGTAACAAGTAAAAACCATTTAAATGTTCAGTCAAACAACATGACAGTTGAACCCTTACCGTCTTATTTCCAAAACTATTCTTTAAGGGTACCTGAGTTACGTATTAAAACTGATATTCCCCCAGTTCCTTACAAACAATTTACAGCAGTTTATAATGAGCAGGTTCTTGCAAAGGAAGCCCAGTATATGTGTTTCTACTTTAGATTTTTTTTAATCCATACATTTTTTGTGGTGAGGTGGTGAGGATCTGAGGCCGGACTGAGGTCATCCACATCGCAGTCTGATATTCATACATTATGAATGATTTTTTTTTCATTTCCTCCTTCCTCTTTCAGTATGAAGATGACTTCAGACAAGAGCTGTGTGGAGGAGGCGGATATCAGTAAGTAACGCAGATGCACACACGCTCTGTGCGGCCTTGATTGGAGTCGTGCTTGTGTGTGACTATACTACCTGTGTTCAATTCCGCAAGTTCCATTACCTGTGTGTGTGTGTGTGTGTGTGTGTGTGTGTGTGTGTGTGCTCGCGCGGGCACGCAGGTGGTGAAGCCACTGAGTTCCTGAGTGCAATGAGGACTGTTTGTCTGAAGTCAGGCCAAAAAGACACTCTGAACCTCTACTACCTGCCCTTCTGCCCAGGCACCAAGTACTGCTCTGTGCTACTAGTTTGCCCTCAGGTCAGTGTTCCATGAATCATTTTTCATAATAAAACTTATAATAAACACACTGCCTGTACTAACAATTACCACATATGTTGTGCAGTGATTCCATAACAACGTTTTCACGTCAGACTCAGTGGTGTTCTTATCTCTAACCACTTACTGGTTAAACAGATTCAGTAGCAATGTGCGGGCTGCAGCGCCCCCTACTGATCATTCCACAGCGGTGGTAATTGTTAAAGAAGGAGGTTTCCATCACAGTTCACAAGGCAGTCGCACTGCCTTGTGAACTGTGATTTATTGTTTTTTGTTATTATTAGAAGAATATAGTTGCAACTAAGAAAAAGTTAGCTGGCATAGCCGTTAACTATCTAACTTAGTGGCTAGCATGTGATTCAGCAGTTTCGGTTTCTCCGTCGCTTGCTGTTATGTGATTGGGAAAATGAGAAATATATATTGTATCAATTAGGGGCTGATATTGGGTATAATAAAACTCGATAGGAAGATGAATGTGTTCGAGTCGCAGCTTTCTCTATGTTGAAATTGGCACAAGCACAGCTAAAGACAAATAACGTCATTTATCTTCCCGGGGCCAACAGCTAAAAAGTTTAGTTGACCTCAAAACATTGTCTTTGTTCACTCACACCTAAATGTTCTATGATAAACTATACAGCATTCGGTGTTAAAACAACAGGCTGCTGTTTACCTTATTCAATGGCGCCGTGTGAGTGAAGAAAATCCAATCGACGGGCTCTTTGTTCAGATCAGCTGTTTCCTCCGTCCGTCCGTCGCTCCTCATCACGTCGGGGTCACCATTTGTTGTGTTCAATTAATGAAGAAACGCCGGACGAAAAAAGGACATTGCGGATCGAAAAGTTAAAATCAAAAGTATTTTTAATAAAAGAAAGGGTGTTGTGGTAAAAAGAACATCTCAGCTGAGGAGCCGCCGGTCTCTGCAACCAGCAGGCCCCAGGTCAGTCCTTTTGCCCATCCCTAGTGCCCGTCTGTTGCCTCCACCAGCGAACAATGGTTGCCTACAGGTATTTATACAGATCCGTAAAGGTGTGAAAGTTAGTGGTCTTCTGGTGAGTTCAATGTAACTCGGATTTTGAATGTCTCTCAGTCAATATCAGTTGTGGTGCTTTCAAGTATTGCATGCATGCATTCCATTTGATTCCATTATATTAAATCCAATCACAACTGTACATTGATATTATTCTATTGATTAGTTTCAAAATTACAGTGGTTTTACCATATAGTCATTACTTTATTGATTACATATAGTTTCAGAATCATGGCTGTATTCTGGTGTACACTTTATGCATTTTATTAATTTATGAACCGGGTCGTCAGTTTATTTCTAATATCTTTAATAGTTTGTCATGTCCAATTTTCCAAATTCACGATCTTTTTCTTAACTCTGTGTGTCCTTCTAGGTTGGAGATATGGTCCATATGGTGAAGGCCACCGCAGAGTTGCCTCTTCCGTCCCCTTTTACTGCACAGCCCAGTTCCAACATGGTCTCCATCCCCTGCAACTCTGGTAGGAACCCTGTCCCCCAAATGTTGCTCCTAAAGTAATGTAGGATGTTGTATCAGAATTTGAGTCAAACTAAATATTATTCATAATAGTTCATAATAGTTCTCCAGAAAGATATTTTCTTATGAACATCCCTCATTGCAGGAGACGCCAATTATCATTTAAATCAATAGATATTTAAATGCAGATTACTTCCCTGATGTTTCTCTCCACCAATAGACCCGGCTGTGTGTGTGACGTTACTAAGCTTACAATGCAAGGTGGGGCAGGTGTGTGAAGAGTTGGTGCAAGTGCCGCTGATCAATATGGCGCTGGAGCAAGCTTTGGCCTTCTGGGGTCAGCAAAGCATGAGCGATGACGAATTCAGGAGGCGTACGCTGACGCACACTTTGAACAGCAGCACCGTGAGGGCATCTGCGGCTGTCAGCAAGCTCGTCAAACCTCAGGTACACACATTCTCGCTCAGGCAGGATAGTGAATCGTTTTCTCTGTTGTTAACTAGCTGTTCCTCTTTTTCTCTTGCATCTTGTTAGGCTCAACTATTAAGAGATGGTCCCCACCGTAATGGAGTAGAATATAGCGTGGAGGTTTCTTTGCCACAATACTTTGCCTTACCCAGCAATGTTATAATACCTATTAAGGAAGACGCCAACATACCATGGGAGAATCCTGCAGGTAAACACAAACATAAAAGGTATGCGGTAGGCTGCAGCGAGAGGAGAGAAGGAGAGAAGGAGGGCGAATGTTAGCGAGTGAGAGACGTGAGTATTAACTCTCCGTTTCAATCGCCTCCGATTCCTCCCTCTCTCCCCCTCCTTCTCCACTCTCATGACTGGTAGCTTCAGATCCACCTGAGAGTCTCCCCGATTTCACCCAGTTGAATATATTTGCATACATGGTGCTCAATGAATGAAGTTAGCTGTCAGCTGCACAAACTACAGACAGTACTACTTATTATGAACTTACAGAAACGTGCTATAGATAGTAGGAAAGAAGTTTTAAAGACACACGCTCGCTTTCTTTCTCACTAAAGCCTAGTTTATGCTTCTGCGTTTTCAGAGAGACACAAGGACACGCAGACGCAAGAGCCCCTTGCGTGTCCCTTGCGTGCCTTTTCACACCTCCTTGCGTGCGTCGACCCATTTTTCTAGACTAGCGCCAAAAGCTACGCAAGCCTCCTGCAGCTCGCAAGGCTGCGATTGGTCTGCTAACTACGTCCTTCACTGAGTCTCACATTTCCGTTTTCATAGCGCAATCCCGCCATTATTAAAACAAAGATGTTTTACGAGAGAACGGATTAGATTGAAGAGCTTTTGTCGGAATAAATGCGTAAATATGACCACTCATACAACCCGTCATATAGTCATAAGGACGCGCGGATGGCCTCTGATTCATGGAGATCTCCACAGACGCCGGTTTGCCGGTCGAGAGGTTTACAAAGTGGAAATACGGGACAAATGTGTCCGCGATGAAAAGCAGCAGTGGCGATGCACGGGGCAATAAAGTCTACGATAAATAAAGAAACAAACCAACGACTTCCACACACACAGACGTGACTCTCTAGGTCGTCTTCGACAAAAAACGTTACTCCACCTGTTGTTCTGCCGGTGAATTGCTCTGCAACACACGCAAGACTTTTAGAACCATGAATTGAAACGAGTGCGTCAACACGACGATGCGTAAAGACGTGGATGCAGAAGCATCAGTACTCAGTCCTGAATGTTGCGCTTGTTGGGCGGGTTTTGAAATCAGCCAAGAAAATTGCAATTGCTGCATCTCCAAATATTATTTACGCTCAACACTCCTTTCATTTTCCACCCCTCCTGTCCTCTTCCCTCTGTCCAATAGATTGTGGCTGTGTGGACATTCCAGTACGGTTCCAGGCGGACTCTGTGGGGAAATTTACATGTCAGGTGGTCCTGAGGTCCTGGCGTGACACCAGGGTCTATGTGCTACAGGCACTGGTTACTTCGCAGGTAGATTATACTTGATATTGGATCTCTATAATGTGTGTATGTGCACCGCTTATTAATGTCTTTCCATGAAGCATGCACTTAGTTATGACAAACCTCCTATTCCATAAGGAGAAACTACTTTCTTGGATGGTAATCGTAAATTGACAGCTACCAAAGAGTGTGTTTGAGTTGTATCTTTTACGGATTATATGACGTGACTGATACCAAAACATGAGTTTGTGGCTGGGACGTTAATGATGTAGCTTTCAACCTATTACCAAATGTGAAATCATTTTGAATAAAGTGTAATTATCATACCTTTGTGGCTTTCACAGCATGATGAGACCCACTGAGACTGGAAAATACAAGCTGAGCTGTATGGTGATGGATTTTCTGGCCCAAAGGCTCTGGATGTGCTTGCAGGGACAAGAGCCTTCTGTACAAGTCTGTGGGGGAATTCTACTTCCTTATTAAGCCCAATTCTCAATGGACAGAAAAGCATTGGTGGTTCACTGATGGGGAAAGTATTCAGATATTGTACTTCAGTAAAAATATATATATATATTAACACCACAAGCCGCTGTAAACACTGTCTTTATAAGTAGAAGTCCTTCATTCAAATAACTTACTTGCTAATTACTTAACTAACCAAAGTCTACTGACAAAAAAGTTAGCATCAAAATGAACTCTTGCACTCGCTTTACCAAACCGTTGTGACGAAAAGAGAGCTGAGCCGGAAGGCAAAGCTCTCGATCTACCGGTCAATCTTCATTCCTACCCTCACCTATGGTCATGAAGGATGGGTCATGACCGAAAGAACTAGGTCACGGGTACAAGCGGCCGAAATGGGTTTCCTCAGGAGAGTGGCTGGCGTCTCCCTTAGAGATAGGGTGAGAAGCTCAGCCATTCGCGAGGAGCTCGGAGTAGAGCCGCTGCTCCTTTGCGTCGAAAGGAGCCAGTTGAGGTGGTTTGGGAATCTGGTGAGGATGCCCCCTGGGCGCCTCCCTAGAGAGGTGTTCCACGCACGGCCAGCTGGGAAGACCCAGGACTAGGTGGAGAGATTATATCTCTGCCCTGGCCTGGGAACGCCTTGGATCCCCCAATCAGAGCTGGTAGATGTGGCCCGGGAAAGGGAAGTTTGGGGTCCCCTGCTGGAGCTGTTGCCCCCGTGACCCGACTCCAGATAAGCGGCTGAAGATGGATGGATGGATCTCGGAGGAGAAAGGCCTGGTGGATATTCACGAGACTTTGTGATGTTGTGAGGCGTGTGAGCATTGGTGGTTCAGTGGTAGAATTCTCGCCTGCCACGCGGGAGGCCCGGGTTCGATTCCCGGCCAATGCAACAGTCTTTTTAACTTAGGGTTTTACAATGGGGATAATGTTTCAGTTCTTATGTTTTTATTAAGGCTTTTGTGTGTGTGTGTTCGTTGTAGTTTCTTTCTTCCTCTAAAGGGGAGTCCACATATTTTATGGTGTAGAAATCCAAAGGAAGGTGTTAGGAGGAGCGGCTTGCTTAATCTAATGCCATCTCGTGCTTTGTTTTTGGACTCATTTGCTTGTCATTGGTCAAAACAAAGACCACGTTCAAGTTCAGGGCTTTTCATAAGTGTACTTGGTACCAGAATAACCACGGCCAAAGATCGATGATCGACCTCGTTGTCGCATCCTCAGAACTTAAGCCGAATGTCTTGGACACCTGGGTGAAGATAATAGCAGGGCTGTCTGCTAAAAGTCACTACCTGTAGTGAGCTCGATGAGATAGTTGGAGAGGGGTGGAAAGGCCTGGTAAACCCAATGTCGCACTGAGAGTGAGCTGGGAACCTGTAGCCGCAGCCCCTTTCAGTGAAATCCTAAACTTCCTCCTCTGGATTTATTCTTTGCATCTCGGGGGAGAAAAGCCCCTGAGCCCAATGAACTTCAGAACTGTGAGCATCCTTCCCTCCGCTGTGCCTTTGTAAGATTCAGAAAGGCAAGAGCGTTTGCACGTAAATATTTGTGACACCGTGTTAGAACCTTTGCCTATCAACATCTTTCCATCTTCTGGTATCCTGTGTGCCTGGTGGATATCCACAAGATATTCTGATGTTATGAGGCATGTGAGCATTGGTGGTTCAGTGGTAGAATTCTCGCCTGCCACGCGGGAGGCCCGGGTTCGATTCCCGGCCAATGCAACAGTCTTTTTAACATAGGGTTTTACAATGGGGATAATGTTTCAGTTCTTATGTTTTTATTAAGGCTTTTGTGTGTGTGTGTTCGTTGTAGTTTCTTTCTTCCTCTAAAGGAACTCACGCACTTTATTGAGCAAACACGACATGGTGTCAGAAGTGCTGTGTAGCTAAACCAGGATATTGGAAAGTTGTACCACCGTGGGGACGTAAATAGAAGTTTGGCTTAAAACTAAGCGCTGCAGACCAGCAAGTACACCCAACCGACGGAGACGAATTTGAGTCTTTCTTTGTTGTTAGAAAGAACATCGTGTATGAGCGCGCGCGTTTCAACATGCGCAAGCAGGAGGCAAATGAAACAGTTGAGGTTTTTTATAACTGCCTTACATACACTAGCAGAGCACTGCAATTATGGGGCATTGCATGACGAGCTAATCAGGGATAGGATTGTAGTGGGTCTGGCTGATGCACGGCTCTCCGAACGCATGCAAATGGAGAAGGATTTAACCCTGGAAAAGGCCATTAACATGGCAAGACAATCAGAGGAGATAAAAAAGCAACAAAACACACTGAGGAGTGATACCAGTAGTGTAGTGCAGCTGGATGCCGCCACTGTTGACAGAATGTTTGTAGGCCGAAAGCAAAGAGAGAAGCCCAAGTTCAACAAATACAAAAGTGATGGAGCAAAGGCACACTTTAACAGCCAGGGTAGACATCCACACAGCTCCCAGTGCTACAAATGTGGTGGCCCACCTCACCCTAGACATGAGTGCCCTGCCAACGATGCCAATTGTCATTCATGTGGAAAAAAAGGTCACTTTCAGCGTGTCTGTCGTGCAGGTGAAAATGTGGACGGTATTGAGACGGAGGAAGAAACCTTCCTGGGTTCTGTGACGTCCAACAAAGCTGCATGGACCGCTGACATAAGAATAAGGAACACCACAATGCGGTTTAAACTCAACACCGGAGCGGATGTCACTGCTGTGTCACAGACCGATATGAACAGTATATTCTCCGGTACACAGCAGCCTGTACCCAACACGATTATCCCGTCTCTGCTGTAGGACAAACTCTCTCAGCTGCACATGCCCACCTGCAAGTGGATCACTGACTTCCTGTCTGACAGGAAACAGCACGTGACGTTGGGGAAACATGTCTCAGCCTCTCGGTCCATTAGCACCGGTTTCCCCCAAGGCTGCGTTCTTTCCTCTCTGCTCCCTGTACACAAACAGCTGCACTTCCAGTCACTAGTCCATCATGCTCCTGAAGTTTGCGGATGACACCACCCTCATTGGATGATCTCTGGTGGGGATGAGGCCGCCTACAGGTGGGAGTCTGACCATCTGGTGTCGTGGTACAGCCAGAACAACATGGACCTCAATGTTTTGCCTATCAACATCTCCCCGTCTTCTAATATCCTGTGTACCTGGTGGATATCGACGACATATTGTGATATAGGGGTGCATGTGAGCATTGGTGGTTCAGTGGTAGAATTCTCGCCTGCCACGCGGGAGGCCCGGGTTCGATTCCCGGCCAATGCAACAGTCTTTTTATCTTAGGGTTTTACAATGGGGGCAATGTTTCAGTTCTTATGTTTTTAGGCAGGCTTTTGTGTGTGTGTGTGTGTGTGTGTGTGTGTGTGTGTGTGTGTGTGTGTGTGTTCGTTGTAGTTTCTTTGTTCCTCTTAAGGGGACTCCACGTATTTTATGATGTAGAAATCCAAAGGAAAGTGTTAGGAGGAGCGGCCCATCTCATGCTTTGTTTTTGGACTTGTGTGCTTGTCATTGGTCAAAACAAAGACCACGTTCAAGTACAGGGCTATTCATAAGTGTAGCAGGGCTGTCTGCTAAATGTCACTACCTGAAGTGAGCTGGATCAGATAGTTGAACAGGAGTGGAACTGTAAGCATCCTTCCCTCAGCTGTGCCTTTGTAAGATTCAAAAAGGCAAGAACGTTTGCACGTAAATATTTGTGACACCGTGTCTATCAACATCTTTCCATCTTCTGGTATCCTGTGTACCTGGTGGATATCGACGCGACTGTGTGATGTTGTGAGGCGTGTGAGCATTGGTGGTTCAGTGGTAGAATTCTCGCCTGCCACGCGGGAGGCCCGTGAAATCCTACACTCCCTCCTTCTAGATTTATTCCTCTGCGTCGCGGAGGAAAATCACCAGGGCGGCGAGAGATGCCAAAGGACGCCACTCCATGAATGAACTCCGCCTGGCCACTGGCTGAACGAGTTCTACTGCAGATTTGATATTCAATGTCCTAACCCCATCCCCCACAGCTCCACCAACCTGCCCCCGACCCCCACCTCTCCCTCCTCCAGCCCATCAGGGGCTCATGCCTCTGAGACCCAGTGCAGACGGACTCTAGTTTGTCTGAACCCGGTGAACCCCGTCTCCGGATAGCCCTATCGTGCAGACGAACGCACTGTTTCCACACTCTGAAACACCCAACCCCCTTACCAGCAACGACCCTCTCTGTTTTGAGAGACGTTAACAGGCTCTTTAAAAGACAAAACCCTCGTAAAGCAGCCTGTTCGGACTCCGTCTCCCCCCACACCCTGAAGCATTGTGCTGATTAGCTGTCTCCGGTGTTCACAGACATCTTCAACACCTCCTGTCCCACCTGAAAACCCTCACCGACCCCCTCCTGGACCCCCTGCAGTTCGCCTACAGAGCTCTGTAGACGATGTTTGATTCAGCCCATCACACAGAAGGCCCATAGTTTCTCGTAGGTAAGAATTTCTTGTTTTGGGGCGCATAAAGGTCCCATGTGAGCATTGGTGGTTCAGTGGTAGAATTCTCGCCTGCCACGCGGGAGGCCCGGGTTCGATTCCCGGCCAATGCAACAGTCTTTTTAATTTAGGGTTTTTGCAACAATGCAACAGTGTTTTTTAATACTCGCTTTTTAGGCTGCGTTTCATTTTTTTGTTCCTCCGCCCAGTTATCCCTCCCCCAACAAACCTCCCACATGCTCCACTACATCGCCTCTCCATAGGCTATTAAAAAATCAGGAACCCAAGGAAGTAGCAGGCAAACATTGTGCTGATCAGCTGCGGTGCTTAGAACATTTGCAACACCACGCTAGAGGCTCGTACTTTATGTAGGTAAGAATCCTAGGTGCGCTCCTCTTTTCATCCGCATCTATCCAATGCATTCCTATGTGAGCATTGGTGGTTCAGTGGTAGAATTCTCGCCTGCCACGCGGGAGGCCCGGGTTCGATTCCCGGCCAATGCAACAGTCTTTTTAATTTATATTGCACTCATTTAATTTAAGTTTTTTCTTTTACAACCTGCTCAGTTTTGCACTTTTCCTCGTCACCCCATTTCTGCCTTATCTTTGAATCTTTATTTTGATATATTTCATAATGTATACTGTTATGCGTCATACTCCTTATCTTGACTAAGCGCGCGGTGCTGGAGGAGGATTTCGTAAATAGAAACTTAAAAAAAAAGTTTTGACTCCCCGTCGGGGAATTGAACCCCGGTCTCCCGCGTGACAGGCGGGGATACTCACCACTATACTAACGAGGAGGTGTGTCCTCATTCTGTCACGTCTATTTTTAACGACAACGACACTATTCACACTATTTTGTCTTTCAATAAAGAAGGAAAAGCTCCCTCTCTGTCTGTGTGCTCTTGTTGTCTGCCTCGTTGGCGCAGTAGGCAGCGCGTCAGTCTCATAATCTGAAGGTCGTGAGTTCGAGCCTCACACGGGGCACTTTTTCTTTCAGACACAATTTAGTTTGATTTAAATCAGACGATATTCATCAATTTATTCATGAAATATTACCTTTTGTCATCACAGCAATTTTGACAAAAAAACTAAACATTATTTTAATGTCCATGCGGACCTGCCTGCCTCCTCCATTTCCCCCGGCTGGGTGAGACAGTCCGTTACTGTTGTCTTCTCAAAACACGGCTCAGACGGCTCAGTGCAAGGCGAGTATGTGGTGGCACAGAGCAAGTGTAGTAGGAAAACCCGGAGGGCAAACACAAAAGAGTGGTGCTGAAAGCGAAAGTAAAGAGGAGTCAAAATAAAAGAAAAGGTCGTGGAGGTACAGTAGAGAACGTCTGTTTCATGATCCGGCCAAGAAAATAATGTATTGTTCTGATATTATGACGTATAGGAGTGAAAGTTTAAGTGGGTCTCTTTTTTAGTTGGGAGAAGCAACTTTTACAGGTCATTTTTACAGGTCCCAGGTCAATGAAGGTCAATGAGATATCGTTGGCCGTGTCAGACAACAAAGTGTTGCGGTAAGGGGTTGGGGCTGGGGTTCAGGAAGTCCAGGAGCTTCACACCTCTGCTCTAGTTATATGCAATGAGCTACTCTTTTTGTCTTTTATCAAATTAAACTCAATTCCCAACAACAAAAATTGTGGCTAATGAAATTGCTGAGTGGCTACTAACTTTGGAAAACACCATGCCAGTGGGTGTTGAGCAAAAATGTTGATGTCAAGCCCTGTATACTGTATATATATACAGGGCTTGACGTATGGCATATGTATACATATATATATATATATATATTATAAAGGTCATATATATATATATATATATATATATATATATATATATCTCGGGCCACATCTACCAGCTCTGAGGCCAGTGCAGAGATATAATCTCTCCACCTAGTCCTGGGTGACTTTTAGCAGACAGCCCTGCTATTATCTTCACCCACGTGTCCAAGACATTCGGCTTAAATTCTGAGGATGCGACAACGAGGTCGATCATCGATCTTTGGCCGTGGTTATTCTGGTACCAAGTACACTTATGAATAGCCCTGTACTTGAACGTGGTCTTTGTTTTGACCAATGACAAGCAAATGAGTCCAAAAACAAAGCACGAGATGGGATTAGATTAAGCAGGCCGCTCCTCCTAGCACCTTCCTTTGGATGTCTACACCATAAAATATGTGGACTCCCCTTTAGAGGAACAAATAAAGTACAACGAACACACACACACAAAAGCCTTCCTAAAAACATAAGAACTGAAACACTGTCCCCATTGTAAAGTTAAAAAGACTGTTGCATTGGCCGGGAATCGAACCCGGGCCTCCCGCGTGGCAGGCGAGAATTCTACCACTGAACCACCAATGCTCACACGCCACACAATATCCATCGTCAGCAACTTATCCGAAGTCGGGTCGCGGGGGCAACAGCTCCAGCAGGGGACCCCAAACTTCCCTTTCCCGGGCCACATCTACCAGCTCTGATTGGGGGATCCAAGGCGTTCCCAGGCCAGTGCAGAGATATAATCCCTCCACCTAGTCCTGGGTCTTCCCAGCTGGCCGTGCGTGGAACACCTCTCTAGGGAGGCGCCCAGGGGGCATCCTCACCAGATGCCCAAACCACCTCAACTGGCTCCTTTCGACGCAAAGGAGCAGCGGCTCTACTCCGAGCTCCTCACGAATGGCTGAGCTTCTCACCCGATCTCTAAGGGAGACGCCAGCCACTCTCCTGAGGAAACCCATTTTGGCCGCTTGTACCCTTGACCTAGTTTTTTCGGTCATGACCCATCCTTCATGACCATAGGTGAGGGTAGGAATGAAGATTGACCGGTCGATCGAAATTATGCGAAATTATTTGAAAGTAGTGAAGCAAATTTTCTTGTGCAGGTACAAATTTTAATAAGATAAGATGACCCTTTCATATCCCCGCAGTCGTGAAATAACATATACAAGTTATTTTCTATTTTCAATCTTCCTTATAATTTTTTTTCATACCAATATAACAAAAAACACATGACAGTCTGACAATGTGAAAGTTTTCCGTTTTCTTCGGTGGGATCACATGTTGTATGTATTTAATAGTTTGTGGATTAAATGACAGAAACATCTCATTCAACTCCTTTAACTCCAGTACTCCTCATTGTCCATTGATGGCCTCAAAAAAAAATTACATTGAACTTCAGTCAGTGTGAACCCAGTTTAGAGAAAAAGAAGAAGATACAATCTTGTTGTATCATATGTTTCACAAAAGTGTATTATTTGGCCAAGAGTTTGAAGTTTTAGTTTTTTTCTACACCTTGTTTGAATGAAATATGAACAGATGAAATATGTGACAACATATTGTCACATGAATGAAGAGAAGTATTTTATGCTGACATATCTTCATGTAAAGAAATATTTTGATTGATTTGAGGCTCTTTGTTGTGTTTGTTATATTGTCTATGTAATTTAACATGTTTTTTTCTTGCAGAATTAAATCAAAACTCAATGGAAGAAATTATGAATGACTGAATAACGACCTTCTCATACATTGTTATTCATTTATAATGTATGTAGAGGTTGGCATAGCTCCTGTTTGCTAAACACTGTCTAAACACATTATGCAACCTTTGGAATTAGACTTCCGAGTGGAACTTTTCCATAACTCGCCCTCCCTTCCCGGTGCATGTCATGTGCTTTTGAATAGCTGTAATTTCAACATGCTCGAAGTGCTCTGACAGGCGTGTCTCAACTGCTTGATTTATTTTCCACTTTACTGTGGTGCATGTCAGTCATACTGGTCCTGCTCTTATATGTTAAACATGAGAATATTCGTGCCAGAAGGCAGATACAAAAACAGACAACTACATCAAATTTAGTCCTGTTTGATGCAGAAGATTTGTATACTGCAATTTGTGTAATATGTGTAAGTAATGTGTATGTAATAATAATCAGTGACTTCTACTCAAGGTGAGACAAGCTGGTCCCATATGTATTATTAGTATTATTTTTCAAAAGGTTATTTGAATGTATCAACTAAACCTCAAACTGTTTCTAAAATACTGAATACTGTTAGAACTGGTAGGTGCACCAATGTGTATTAATTAGTTATAACCAAAATAAAAACCTGGAAAACAAATTTCATTCACAGCAGATATTTTTATAACAAAACTAACGAGATGATACTGTACATTCCGATTTAAAAACTGAACCTGAACGTCACACCAGTATGACGAATTGGGGAGAGCCGCGCATGCGCACTGGCAGTGTTTGCATTCCTCCTCCCTCCTCCTCTGAGACTGACAGCGCGGTAGCTGCTCACCGGCAATGATACAGCAAACCCGGGCTCGGTAAGACACGGCGAGATGGACTTAGCGGACACTTTCTACCACTACAAAGACGGATATTATTTAGACACATTCGTCTGATGAAAAACAACGGATTTTATTCTTCCCTAGGATTATTTTTGTTTCGGGAAAAAGGGTACTCAGTGTCCCGGGAGAGGAATTGATGCCGCGACTGGTTTCCTGCGACATACACCGGTCGGCTGAAAAGCCCTCACATTCACTTTGAAGACCACCCGAGTACATTTACACCATTCTCAGCGAGAGCTAAACACGTACAAGTACACGTATTTGTTACACTGACATAACCAACATATTCGTCTTAAATAGAGAGGAGCTCTGCGAGAACGCGGCTAATCGCTACTGGCGACCCCATTTAGCTTCAAGCTAACCAACGGCTAGCTCAATTCGCCGTTCTTTGTTTATTTCATTAGAATCATTGAAAACGGTGTTTTTAATCCACTCGAAGCTATACAACACGCTTGGCCTTAAAGAGCTGCGCCGTGTCTACGCCAGTGTTTCGGCGTAACTGCACACGGAGACGTTCAGCCCCCATGTTTAAAGGACATAAATTATCTTGACTTGTCACTTATGGCTCGCTAGCGTCGCGGTACCGCAGCTGACCGGGCTAGCTAGCATCCGCTGCGGCTAGAAGGCAGCGACAACAGCCGCCGACCGGGCCGTTGGTGACTCATCGACGGCCGGGATGAACCACCAGGACCCCTCCGCGGACCCGCCGGGGACCGGGAGTCGGAAGACGGCTTTCCACTACAGGAGAGGTAGCAGCGGGGCGTCCGCCTCCACCGCGACCGACGACAATCCCGGCCAGGCTGGTTCCAACTCCCCCGGACCCCACCAGCAGCCCCAGTCCCAGGCGGCCAGCGCCCAGCAGGTGAAGAAAAAGAGCGGCTTCCAGATAACAAGTGTGACCTCGGCTCAGATCAACGTGAGCGGCAACAACAGTCTGGCAGATGACACTGAGAGCTACGATGACATGGATGAGTCCCACACGGAGGACCTCTCCTCCTCCGATATGCTGGATGTCTCCGTGTCCAGGGCCACGGACACCGGCGTGCCGGAGCGCAGCTCTTCGGACGAGACTCTCAACAGTCTCCACGGGGTCGACACCCCGGGGATGGTGTCGCCCAACGAACCTCTGCGCCCTCATTCCGTCGGCCAGGGGTCTCAGCAGAACACCTCCATGGTAAACGGGGCCGTGCATCACCATCATTATTATCTTCAGCAGCAGAACCAGCCTCACCATCACCTCTCTGACAGCTTGGGAGGAGGTGAGTCCTCCGTGGCAGCTCTTCCCGTTGCTCCCGTGAGAAGCTCCAGCCCATCTGTGGCTTCCAGAGCCGCAAATAGCCAGACACAGAGGCCGTCAATGCTGGAAAGCTGTGAACCTTTACCCGCGGTGGTGGGCGCAGTCGCTGATCCACAGCTTAACATTTCTAATGTGTCTGCTGCCGCTGCAGTTCCTCCCCCTGGGCCCGCAGGTTTGGACAACGTGGCCGCGACTGGGCACGCGGCTTCGGTTGGAGGAGGAACAGGCCCGTCTGCCGCTGCCCTCAGCACTCAGTCCCAGCACACGCAGACTGCAACCGGCTCTCGTTTCAGGGTGGTCAAACTAGACACCAACTCTGAGCCGTTCCGCAAGGGGAGATGGACGTGCACGGACTATTATGAAAAGGAGGTTCCACACGCAACCACGTCTGAGGCACCAAAAAGTGTCGAGGTGGCTATGGAGACAGATCCTGGTAACGTTCTGATTAGTCAGGGCACACCCGCCGTTCAACCGCCGCACACGCTTCAGTCCTACCAGCAGCCGAGCCTGGACTTCACTAGTCCGCAAGCCATGCAGAGCCCCCCACAGGGACTGGCCCAAACCGCTCCCGTGACCTACGTTTCACCCCATGAGGTTGTGGGCGGGGCTTACCTGCAGCAACACGTGGCTCCTGCCGCGCTCCCTACAGCCCCACCACAGACCGGGGTGAATCAGCCTCCCGCTGTAGTACCCCAGCAGTTGCCCTATACCTTGGATCCCCAGCCGGCTCAACCCCAGGGAGGTTACTCTGCACCTCAGTTACACGCGGGGGTCATAGGTCAGGGAGGTGTCCGACAGCCAGACTTCATTCAGCCCACCGCCCCATTCCAGACCCAGGTCCAGCCTCCTCTGCCGCATGTCCAAATGGAAATCTCCATTTCACCAGTTCCAGGGATCACGGCGCCGACCAGCTTCACTCAGCAAGGTCTGGTAGCCCCCCCCGGCCAGGCATCTTTTCTAGGACCGCCAAAGACCCTCCCAACTCAACCACAGCCACAAGCCCAGCCCCCCTCCACAGCTAGATTTCCGGCAGCGCTCGCCCACGGGACCCACTACACGCCTTTAACTGCTCTGCAAGCTGACCTCCAGCCTCTCCTCACCCATGGCGCGACCCTCCCTCAGGTCCCCGGGGGAGGGAGTTCCATAAGAACATCCCAGCTGGAGGATGCTGGCTTTTCCCTCGGCTTGCTGGGCTTTCCCAGACTAGGGATGACGGCGGGCATGGAGGTCGGCGGCGCTGCTGGATCACTGGCCCACATGGCGATGTCGGCCGAGGCCAGTGCCTTCATGGTTGCTGCCGCTGCAGGCCTCAGGACTCAGCACGCCGAAGGAGACGAGGATAGGTGAGAATGCATGACCTGCGCTGCCAAAGCTGTTTGTCTCAATGTAAACTCTGTTTAATCAAATCAAGGTTTTTAAGTAAACAATGTAGTTCAGGCTGCTTTTCATTAGTTTACCTCCCAAATACTTTCTTTCACAGCAGCGAAATATATTCACCGTCTGATTACAGAGAGAACACAGCTAAAGAATGCTGTCAATGCTATTAACAGCGACCCACGGCTCTCGGAGCCACAATTTGCTCGACCCCCCCCCCCCCCCCCCTGTCTCCTGAGGGGCCCCGTGTCGGCCTACAGAGGAACGCGGTTGAAAGACCACTCACTGGGCACGCTATCGTAAAAATACCAGAGGCTTCGGTAAAGTGGGGGAAGTGTGCTGATGACTCGGCAGATGATCCGCCGTCGAATAGACCCCCCCCCCCACCCACCATCACACACCCACCGCGATCAGCTCAAGGCGCCTCGCGTCAGTGAGGCTGCAGTCCCCCTGTTGGGCCGCCTCCCCCTGTCCTTTCTCGCTCAGTAGTCGCGTCTCCCGTCTTCCCTCAGGTTTAGTCTTTTATTAGACGCTGGCTCTGTTGCCTCTCACCAACCCGGGGGAGCCGTGCAGCGCAGTTCATTTCTGAGTGCAATCACTCAATCCCGTGTTCCCGTTCGTTCTGCTGCTCCAAAGCGCTCGTCGCAGTTGCAGGTACTTTCTAATAAAAACACTAAACATCGAGTCATTGCCCCGGAGACAACGTCCCGTGCCCCATTTAAAGACCGCATTGTCCTCTCAGAGGCGGTGTGGCCGAGGCCTGATGAGGAGTCGTGTGTCTGCGCACACAGAGATGGAGCACTGTTGTGGCAGCAGTCTAATGTTACCGCTGTGCGGCTCTGCGTTCTGGTTTAGCAGGAGTTTCATGTTGTGAATACAACAATAATGCCAGCAGGGGACCGTCAGCCCCACCCGAGCAAAAACCGAAATACGAAACACCGATCTTCTTCCAAGTTGTGGCTTTTATTTACCCGTGTGCGTCAAATGCAAAGCGCCTAAGAAGTTCTCCCAAATGTCATCAGATTTCTGAGGAGTTCCGCGTTAAAAACAACCGTTAGTGAACATTAGTCCACTTGAATCATCAGCAGAGCGGTTTTTCGCTGCAGAGCTGTTTGTTTTGTCAGCTGTTCAGATTCCGAGCTCGAGGAACGTGCAACAACCACTGGTGTGACCAAGTCGCATTCAGCTGCAGACAGAGCAGCACTGTTTTTGTTGTGGAGGCTTTTGTCAGCAATTCGTGGCACCCCGTCCTGTCTGTATGTGTGTGTGTGTGCGTGTGTGTGTGTGTGTGTCCTCTGCATGGTCTCTGTAAGAGTGTTTCCGTCTGTTTGTCGGCCCGTTGTCGTGAATTGGACTTTGTCCTGCAGAAGTGTGTCGTTGTGAATGTGAACACTTGTCATCAAGAGTCCAGTTTGCCTCTTTGAGAGGATGGGGGGGAGGTGATATTAATCAGGGCATTCGTCAGCCTCACGTTCCTCTGCTGGAATCTCAGCCTGCAGGTCGGTGCCGGTGTGATTTCACTCTTAGAAAGCTGCCAGCGTCTCTTCACAGGAGAAGGAAAACATTCAGCGTGGTTACATGGATTCGAATAACTGGCTTAGTCGGACTGAAATCGAATGATCCGTTTCATGTAAACACCTTTGTCCGACTATGTGCCCTTGGATAACTCGATCCGATCCAGCTGGTATTTCGACTATTGCGGCATGTCACGGTGAATCGGATAAGGAACTGGACTTTGCGTCTTTGCGCATGCTTGAGATCCCGACGGCGTCTTCTCTCCGTTATCAAATCAGCCAATAGCGCCATTCGCATTTGCTGTGCTCCTATTAACATCATGCACAAATAGTAGAGGGATGTAGCTTCACCTCGCTCTCTGTTTGCCATCTTTCTCCTAATGTTGCTGTTGTTGTTGTTGTTGTTGGTAGTGGTGAAGCGGTGAAGCGGAAATGGCTGCATCACAACTAGTTATAATGAAAACAGCGCCACCTATCGTATCGGATATGACGATATGCTTTCAGCCGATTATTCGATTTATTCACTGCCATGTATATTGGGATAATAGCACCTCCCCCCGAAAGAGAGCATAGTCCGACTAAGCAAAGATTCAAATTATACCATCATGTAAACACACTGACTGTCATTCTCACACAAACACACTTCCACTTTATTGTACACCCGCTGTCTCTCTGCCTAGTCCTCTTCAAACGGGGTTGTATTATGTTTCACCCCTCTGCAAGTTATTTTGCTGCAGAGATACAAAATAATACTTTTACAAATGACTGATTTGGTCTGTGCAGTACTTAGCAAAAATAAGTAATACCTCAATAAATAATGCACACTGTTTAAGGCATTATTTCAGAATGATTTAACACTCCAAGATGAGTTTTTAAGAGGTGCTTCCACTAAATATGGATTAATGCTTCGACATACTGTCAAAAGTGGAGCGTGTGTTGTGATGTAAGAATAATGGTAGCTTGTTTATGGCCTTCCAAGAGAAGCTCTAGACATTTCTTTACTTGAGCGGTGACTCATTACCATCGTACATCTTATTCTCCGTCGCTGTGGAGAACACTCCCCAAAACCTATTAACTAAGTCAGTGACTATTGTCAGTGGATTGCTTTGTGTTTCCTCTTTGAGGAAACTACAGAATTCACTTTCTGTTTTCTTACGTGAGATTAAACTTTCAGGCTTGAGCTTTGTGTATCATATTCTGCTAAATGATGTTTGTAGGTTCAAACTACAGGTGTGCAAATGTTTCAAATGTCTCTGCTGAAAGCTAATTTTACAAAATGATGACCGCTTACTTTGTTTTTTTAAGAGGGAAGAAAGTTTTTCACGCGCACATTTTTATGTTGGCCTTTCTGAACAAATTGCCGCTGAAACGTAGTAATAAATTAACAGAAACTTTTTGATCGCCTTCGGTCGTTTAACAGATGTGCTTTTATGGAAACTCTCTAATCTCACGATTACACGCAATGTGTTCGAGGTGGATCTTTTGAAGTAGAATTCACAGAGCAGCTTTGGGACGTCTCTGCTTGTTATTTCTTGGCTGTAATCCCGTGGCTGTCTGGAGCAATACATCAAACCTTTTAATGAGACCTATTGCTTCATTAATGCTTTAAGCTGCGCCGTCCGCTCTTCCTCTCGGGTTCCCCTATTGGTATTGGGCCACTAGGTGGCAGTATCCGCTCACGGATCCTCTGCGCAACAGTTCTTTTATATAACGCGCTTTGAGAAGCACTGACCTAAAAAGTGTCTGGCAGCTAAGTGGAAAGATCCTTCCTGCACCCAAAGCCTCTCCTCCGTGCTCTCTGTGAGACGGGTGTTCCGCATAAGATCGCTGCTTCGTCATATCCAAATGGAATCATTGCAAAAGTATTTTGATCCGTTGGGAAATTGGTTTTTATTTTCTCAATGCAAAGGGAGTGGATCAGTGTCGTATTGTGTTTGCATCCGATCTACGACATGAACACAATGCACTTGTACTTCTATTACATTGCTTTCATATTACATTACACTTTGATGCTCTTAAAAACTCATTGTACAGCTGAAGCAAATAATTGATCCGCACATAAATATGAAAGGGAAACTGCAGTTTGAATAAGTCAGTATTTTATTTTGAAAATAAGCTAGCTACTATGTTCCACACCTCCGTTTTGAGGGTTGGTGAGTGAATTTGAAAACGTCCTCTTGTGACGGGGTTTATTTTTAGTCATCTATGGATTGAAAAGCACCGATGAGGCCGGCGTCCCGTCCGCTCGCCTTGGGCCTTCGTGCCGAGTTGCAAATGAGGTCTGAAATGTGTCCATGCACGTCCGTCAGCGGGGTGCCTAGCCGCCTGTGTGTGTGTGTGTGTGTGTGTACATGCGTGTGGAACGCTCAGTGTTTATTGGAGAGACATTTTAACACTAGTTTTAACTGGTTTCCATCCCTCATACTTTAATTCAAGCTCTGGATGCTTTGATTGGACCTTTGCAGGAGGAGAATACACTCCGAGCCACTGAGTGAATCAAAGTCATTTCATGTGATCAACGTAACGTTTGTAGTTTGAATCCTGCTTTATTGGTTATATTACATAGCTGGAAAAAGTACACTGCTCCGGCCCCTTGAGGTCAGAGGTCAGCTGGAGAAAGGGGAGCACACAAACCCGCTCGGACCGCCGCAGGACGCCTGCGCGCTGCGGAGTGTTATTTGTGTGTCATTTACACAAACATGCACACACACAGCCTTCGTCGCGGTTTGTGGGGTTTCGTAGACGGCGGGAGAGATGAAATCCATCTCCAGATATCCTCATGACATCATCATCGACAGCATCATGTTTCTATACACCGCGTATTGCAGAATGAGTCCCCGTGCTCGTCTTCTGCCCAGATGGCTCGGAGGCTGCTTACGTAAGGCATGGCGTGCATGGCGTGCATGCAGAGCTCCATGGAGCCGTGAGCGCGGGTCGAGTTTTGGGGCGTTCCCGCCCTTTGTTTCCTGTGTTTGGGCAACGATCGAGGGAGTGTGTTTGATCGGTACCTATTGTGCGCGCTGCCCGCCTCACGAATTATGTGTTTTGAAGCGGTAAAATGATTGCGTGCCATGTTTGATCAGGCCCCTCTGTGTTTTTTATTTCTATATTTGGAAGGTCTAAGCACACTTCTCTTGTGCGTGTCTCCGTGGGGTTGGTCTTCTGTCCTCCTCCTCCTTCAGTGTTCAGAGCCTCTGAAGAACCGGATCCGGCCAGTTTGCCTCGCACAGAAATGGGACACACGCGAGCTCATGTCTCCAAGCGGCTTGAGGACGAGTGATGCGTGAGGCTGCTGGCCAATCACAGAGCGGCATGCAGTCGGATGAAAAAAAAACGCAGATCCGGTACAAAAGGAGAAGCGGTGAATCGTCGTTAGAGGAAGCACACAAACGTCGATATAGCGTCTGACATCATCTACAATGACCTCCTCCCTAATTGCCCCGTAATGCCCTCGGCTACATTTCCGATGACTTTGAGTTGTGACTGAGTCGGATCCTTTTCAGGACCACACACGGGCCTGAGCGATGACCAGGCTGTGCTTTGGTGGATGTGTGGATAAAGGAAGAGTCGTGTTGTTGTGTGTGTTCAGCGGACACAGGAAGGCGCTTCGCTTTCTGTCGCCACTGTTGATTGAACACTTTTCTGGAACGTTTAGCCAGCGGAGCGTGAAGATATCTCCACCTCGGGCCTCTGTGTTCCCTCAGGTCTTCCTGAAGATGTATTTTCTGACGGCTCCTTTCTCAAGAGGTTTCTGGCAATATCTCTTGGAACTAAGAGCCCATGAATTTAAGATCGGTGTCCCTTTTCACAAATACAGCAGCGATGAAACTCCATATTGAGAAGAGAGTGTCTGCTGCCTCCTGTGGTGGCTCCACAGGACGCGGCGGAGGTGAAAAGCACCACGCCGAACCCTCGTAGCCGGTGAGCGTCTTTAAACCGCTGAAGGCCTTTTGTGTACATGCTGTTGTTAAAGAAGTACAGCGCCAAGTTCCCCTAATTAATGAAGTGTAATATCTTGGTGGAACGTCAACACAGTGCCGCGCCCAATTAGGGAGATTTAATTTGGTCTTTAAGTGACTTAAACAGTCTTATTGCATTAACGCTGCTTCTGCAAACGGCATATAAGAAGCACGGCTTTAACATAGTGGTTAGGTAATATACGGGTCAACCCTTTGCACATGCCACACTCTCTTTAGATGGACGTGGGTACTTAATAAATGGCAGCATCCCCACTGTGATGTCACAACGTCAAGGTCTCTCGCCATTGGCCGGGCTGAGCGTGCTGCGCCATCGGCGATTGGCTGGAAGTCCGCCGTCTCCCCTCAGACTTATTTTGAGCCTTTTGTTCCGGGCGGGCGGGCGTACGGCTGACCCCCGATCGGCAAGCACGCGATTTACAGAGCGATACGAAAAGCTCGGCTTTAACAAATTACCACTAATCAATGATGACGCTTCCTTTTTTTGTGTGACATTTGTATAAGTTTCTCCTGTTTGATTTGAAGCCCTCGACTGTTTCCGCAGCCACACTTGGAGAGAAAAAAAAAAAGATGTGACCTTCACCTAATGAGGTTAATACATCCACTGCACGCCCCGAGCTCCGTCCCGCCAACACACCCGCCGCGTGCGCCTCGCCGCCATTTTGTGTTCCTCACAACTGCGCTCCATCTTCTATCAGGCGCTTTGCCGGATCTACCGGAGAGCTGTTCAGACTGCGTGGGAGACTTCTGTTTTGTTTTTGCTTACATGGACTCGCAATCCATTTCACAGTGGAGACCCATAGTGTGCGTGTGCGTGTGCGTGTGTGTGTTTGCGTGTGCATTGGCTGATGAGGAGTGACAGGAGAGCTAAACACATGCTTGGCTCAACATACACATTGTAACTTGGGGAGGGGCGCCGTGGGAGCACGCCGGAGGGAAGTTGGGGCTCCGTCTGCCCACTATAAACACACACCGGGAGGTTTTGGGGCAGGGTGACGCCCCGGCGTCCATCCCCGTCACAGACGATGTTTCAGGACGTAAACAGGAAGAGGGCAAGGTGGGAGGGGCTGGTAGGCGTCTGGAGGCGCGCTGAAAGGGGTGTGTGGTCAAGAGCAGCTCATCCTATTGGACGGATCACGGTAATCCCGTCTGACAGTTTATATAACAACAGAAGGGGAGGTGACGTGACTCCTAATGCAGTGACATCACAACCACCCCGCACATCTCCCCTCCCCCAGCACCCAGCGGTCTGAGGCTTCGTAAAGACCGAGGTGCCTTCCTGCAGTGCACACACTCGCACTCTCCCGTCCCCGTCCGCCATTGTTGGTCGGGCTGCCCTATGCTAATCTCCGACAGCTAAGGGAAGCAGGGGGTCGGAGGTAGTGGGGAGGGTGTGGGGGGGGCCAAAGGGCCCAGGTCACAGGAGGACGGAGGCGGTGCAGCGGCGTTGTTTGTTTCGGGGGGGGGTGCTGTCGCCGGGGCAGGTGCGAATGCGTGAGAGCATCAATGAGAGAGAAGTGGGCGGCCGGGCCAGGACGAGCGCAGGCCGGGGACGCCATGGCTCTAAAGCTGCTCTTCTGGGAGCTGGAGAAGCATCTGAAGAGGTAACGATGGCTTTAGTGTTGTCACGGGGTCGCCGGTGGGGGGGTGGGGGGGTCAGGTCCACTGAAGCAGCCCGGGGATTAGGCAAGGGGCTTTGTGTCGGGGTGTCTGATCGATGCGCCGGCGTCCAGTTGGTTGGATGTTTTTCCGTCTGTCGTTAAACGAGCGGGGCGCGTGAACGCGTTCATCCGGGAGGCTTTAATCCGACCTGCGTACGCGCTGCCTCCACCTGCTTCAGGGAACGTCCCCTCGCCGCGGTCATGCCCCTCCGAGGGCCGTCCGTGTCTCATCAGGACACTATGATCTCGCTCCTGCACATGCATGATGTTACTCCGGACTGCGTGTGGGTAGGAATGCGAGGCTGGCTGATGTGTGTTCTCCTCCCCCCTCCCCCCCCAACGTGGCCCATGACACACCCAGACGTCCTCTCGTCTGTTTTCAGTTGTGCTTCTCCCTCCCATCTCAACTGCCACAGATAAGCACCGTGTTCCACTTCCTCAATTGATCCCGTCGGCCGGCGTTTGCTTCCTTTGTCTCAGTTTTCAGCCTCTAATAGACGTCAGTGTCCAACGAACCAACATTCACACAGCCTGTCCAACCTCAAATCATAAGCCTGTCTTCTCCACATCCACCTTCCTGATCTCCGCGTCTACCCTCCCACGCAGCTCCGGTGCTGAAAGGTGTCCGATTCCCCCCCCCCTCACGCCGTTATCGTTATAATAAAGACAAAAGCTGCGAAGACACAATAGTCAAGAGAGCAGGTAGCTTGTGCTGTTTGAACGATATGTTTCCATGGTGACGGCATCAGAACACACCCTTGCACCTTTGAATCACAACTGCGTGCCTCAAATTAAAAGTAATTGAAGTTTAAATTGATCTGATCACCTGTAGGTAACATCCCGTGATTGAAGTCCCTCCCAAAAATGTGCCTTTGTTTCATTACGTTTCATGGCTTCATTAATGTTTAATACAACAGACGGCATAACTAATCAATAATACCACCTCCTTAATTCAGGGAACCATTACTGTTATTAGATGTCTGTGAACTGTCCAATGCTCCAAAGCTATTCACTATAATATCCAACTAAATATTCAAATATTCACACCCGAGAGGCTGGAACTATTGACTTTTAGTAGTAACAGTTTAGAATCTACTTAAAATATTTTCACAGGCACATTTCCCCTTTGATTCCTTTCAGAGGATTCAATTAATGAACAAGCTGATTATTCAAGTTAGTAAATTCATTATCAATCTCAGACACTTGGAAGTGAAGCACAAAGGTATGTACTGTTTTTATGTCATTGTCAACTTGAACATATTTGGTGGTTTTATTGATTCGGAAAATAATTGTTCCCTTGTCTGTCCTAATCATTTTTGTCGGACGTCACGTTTTGTATTTCATTTCTCTATTGTCATATTCATGTTATGAAATGTCATTAGGTTGTAAAGAAAGCATGAGCCGCATGTGATCTCTTTCTGTGTCTGACCCACATCCAACACACGACGACAACACAAGCGGAGATGAGCGGCTCGAACCCTGTCTGGTGTTTGTCGACTATTGCCACCAAAATTGTCCTCACTTGAATCTGTGTTTTGGCTGCGTCACACATCTAGTTTAGACAAAGGAGTCCTTATCGTCTCCCTTCTTCTGTTTACTTACAGTGAGGTCAGCTTTGACGAGTTAACTAGTCTGCGCGTGTGCGCGCGCGGAGGACGGTTTGGATGCGGTTTGGATGCGGTGGGGCTTTCGTTTAGGGGGCGGCAGGTTACACTGCAAACGTCGCTGGGATCCTCACCAGGCGCGCCGCCCCCGCTCCTCCAATCCGGGCACGCGCAACCCGCACGCATTATGCTAATGAGCCCTCCGTCTGCGCCAATCGCGCGGCTGCTGGCGCTGCCCCCCCCCCCCCACCCGCACGCATCATCCAGAGAAGGAGCCGCGGAACCGCAGCCCGCCCGCTCACTCTTTGTGTGCTCCGTCCCGGCTGTGAGCTCTGCGGTCCCCGTCCCGTCTCCCCCCCCCTCCATCCTCTCCCTTCACCCAGCGCAGCCCTCCACCCCCCCCCCCAAAAAAACAAGAATGCGCTATTTTTGTACTTTTCTAGCGCCGGGTCTCCAGTCCGCAGGGCCGCAGACTCGCCCGCGCGGCTTTTAGAGGCGCGGGTAGCATGAATGCCCGATGTTACGCAGTGGCGATGGATCTTGGCGTTTGTCAACTGAGGAATTTCTCGATCTCGTTTCTGTCCTCCGTGCTCGGGAAGGAGCGCGCGTCCGTCAGGCTCGACACATAGGTAAATACCTCCGCGCGTTGGGTGTCCGCGCGTGTGCGTGCGTGCGTGCGTGCGCGCGCGGTGGCTTCATTCCGTGGCACCGATGTCGCCTCGTTGATTCGGCGCGACCTTCGTTTGCGTCGCCGCCGACTCTAAACGTGAGCTCGTCCCGTTCCTGCTTTGCGTGAACGCGGCGTGATTCTCCTGCGTGAAACCCGCAAAACGTCGGCCGGATTCATCGGATCCGACCCCGCGGTGTTCAGCGGCGGCATGTGTGCGCTCATAACCAGCAGAGCTTCAGCTTCTTTTTCTTCTCTTCCTCCAGCTCCTCCGGCGCGAGTGTGGTGGCCATCGACAACAAGATTGAACAAGCGATGGTAAGTCGCGTCAGCCGCGCGCGCCGCTGCGCCATTCTGCGCTCGTTGCCTCATTTTGAGCATAATGTTGTGTTTTTGCACGGAGGCCAGTTGATGAATGAATGAATGAATGAATGAGAGGTATGACGGTGTTTTCTGCGTGATTAGTTTTTTTTGGGGGGGGGGGTGACGGGGGTCCAGATGCAGATGCGCGTAAAATAATTTCGCGCATAAATGCACCTGCTGGTTTCTAAATGAAAGGCAACGGGAGTTTCCTGCTCTGTCCGGCTCGCTGGCAACTTGACGTGGGCCGCGCAGAGGTTCACACGCTATCCCCTGTCTCCCCCTCTCTCTCGCTCCACCTCCTCCCCCCCCCCCCCCCTTGTTGCTAGGCAAGCAGCAGCCTCCCCGTGGCTCAGTATAAATAGACCTGCCGGTGATTGGCTCCTCCCACTTCGGTGCAGGAACATTTTGTTCCCTGCATGCTGGGAGGAGGGGGAGGGAGGAGGGGGAGAAGGAGGGGGGGGGGGGGGGGTGCTGGATGATTAAAGCAAATCCTCCTTTAGCGGGCTGCTCAGGGGGACGTCATGGGAGTCACTGTGCAGCTTTTTTCCTCGCGATGATCCACCTTTTCTTGCGTTCCTGTTTCCTCCCGTCTGCGATGGGATACACGATATAAAGTGCTTGTTCAGAAGATAAAAAATGGTCTTTTCTGCCGGGCGAAATGACGCGTTTATTTGCAGTTGAAGCTTCATTGACTACATGGCGTGTTTGTTGAGTTCAGTCCCACATGAATCCCGTTGCTAACAACCAATGTCCCTTTTCCTGTGCGCGTCCTCAGGACCTGGTGAAGAGTCACCTGATGTACGCCGTGCGTGAGGAGGTGGAGGTGCTGAAGGAGCAGATCAAGGAGCTGATCGAGCGCAACACTCAGCTGGAGCAGGAGAACAACCTGCTCAAGAACCTGGCCAGTCCCGAGCAGATGGCCCAGTTCCAGGCGCAGGTGCAGACCGGCGGCTCCCCGACCGGCACCGCCCAGCCTCCGGTTCCGGGCCCGGTGCCTGTCGGCACAGGACAAGCCCCCCCTCCCTCCCAGAGCTCCGGCACGTCTGCGTAGCACGTCTGCGTAGCTGCACCGTGCAGAGCCCCGTGAGGATGAGAGATGGGAAGGATGGGTGGAGATGGATGGAGAAGGTGGAGGAGGGAGAAATCACGCTGAGGGGAGCGCACACTTTCAACCGGAGGACAAACTTTTCTTTAGTTGCACATTTCATTTAACTAAAAGACTTTGGAGTTGCACGTGTGTGTGTGTTGGCTTTCATTACCTGCTCCAGACATCGGCCCAATGAAGGCGGAGCCGACAGGAACAAACAGCCGACCGTCGCAGCCGCCGCCGTCGCCCTTTGGTGGAAGGAGCTGAACTCCGGGTGGGGAGGGGGACGCCTTCGACACCCACTCCTCCTCTCAACCCGTCAGCCCAAACCACACCTGTTTTTTTACTCCGCCTGTTTCTTTTTCTTCCTTTAGTACTTGGGTCCACGCACTTTTGTTGAAAACATTCAGAAACAGGGACCCATCTGGAATGGAGTCCTCGAGGGTCCGGCTCACATTTTTCTTCATCGTCAGGCGATGACGTGCCGTCTTGATGTTCTGGGTTGAGTGGAAGTTATAAAGAATAATGACATACATGGGGTGTGTGTGTGTATGTATGTGTGTGCATATATAGTATATATATATATATACATATACACACATACATATATGTGTATATATTTTCTGCGCCTCGTGCACTTTGAGAACCCTTTGTTCTTGTGGAGGTTCTCGTCCACGCCCTCAACGCACCTTCTCGGACGGAGCGTTAAACATTTACGCCAGGAATCAAAGTTACTTCCTTTCTAAGGAAAGGTTTGTTTTTGTCTGTTGATGTTTCCACCGTTGTAAATGTAATTTAATGTCCAAGTGATGTGTGAGAAATAATTGACAAAGGCAAAAACAAGTAGGACACGACCGTTTCTGGGTAATTTTGTACAGATTAAAAGATTCCAATGAAACTGCCAAGTGCCTGGTTTCTAACCATAGATACATATATACCAGCTTTTTAAGTTGTTTAATTATGTAAATATGTGTACATATAAATATATAAATATATATATCTATCTATGGTTTGCCAGGTTTTGAACTACCTGTGATGTCATCACTCAGGGTGGCAACGCGCGAGGACTGTTTACCTCGACAACAAGATGCTGTCTCAGCGACAGGCGGACTCGTACTGTATGTGAAGCCGCCGCCGCTGGAATTCAAACTATCCGGATGGTTTTAACCTTTTGCGGGACGTGTCATATTGGTTTTGTTTCTATTCTCATGAATGACGGTGGTTTATTTTTGTTGTCTTTTGTACAGCCAAGTGTTTTGAGTTGCTCGTTACACGATAGCAAGACACTAAGATGCCTAGCGGAAGTGTGTCGGTGTTTCGTGCATGTTCCTCGGCCCGTCTCAAATGTGACGTTATAATTGCACTAGACAGTTGCACCTCAAATAAAAAAAATGAAAACATTCTTTTTAAAACGTGACTTTTTTTTTAACAATGTTGTGGTTGTTTTGCATGCGAGTCTTGTTGGTCTCTTGGAATACAGCTGGTGCCATCTTCAAAAGGATGTCTGCAGAACCCATTTGATCATTTGTGTCATTTATTTTCCTTTTAGAAACCACAAACTTTATTCAAATTATGGAATTGATACTGACATGTAATTTGCCCCCAAACGAGCCGAATGGCTGCTTCCTGCAGACCTCATTGCGCATGCGCAGAAGTGCGCTGGCATGTAAATATTTACCTATATATCGACCTCTCATTGGTTACATGCGACCGAGCCCCCTCCAGATCCGCCCACCGCACGTGGACCCGCACGGCCGCCAGTGACGCGCAGAACGGGAGCGCGCAGATATGCGGGGCGACGTCACGGCGAGAAGCTTATTGGGAACGAAAACGACGACGTGTGTTTGTAAAACATACTTACTGCTTTGTGTTTCGTACACACAAAACGGTGTCGTTTGAAAGCAAACCCGTAATAAATTAATATAATAACATTGATAATAAAATATTTTTAACAGAGCATGCTAAATTGGGCAGTCTTTGAACTGCATATGTGACCAGAGTGCCTTCATAAATACAAACATACATGATCTAAATAATCTATTATATATCAACCTGTATTAAAAAAAGGAATTCTGCCTTTTAATCTAGGATATTTATATCTGCAGTGATATGAAGGACAAATTAAAGACAAGCTTACTATAAAACATTTTGTTGATGTTCTCCCAACATGCACTTATGCTACAGTGTGTGTTATGCAGATGTTCACTCCAGCTGCTGATAAATCAGACAGCGGATAATAATTCCAACTGGTAAAACCCAGGACACGTGGCATAACGTGACAGGACATTTGTCTACTAACATCAGCAACAACAATAAGACTATTGTGTAATAAAACCCGCCTTCATAAAGGTTTACATCAATGAAAGAGGAACAAAAGTTCCTAAGACTTAACATTGTAACCCATAAATATGTATTAATGCAGCCAAAATACAAAAACAACTAGCTATGATCTATAACATAGTTTATCTTTTAACATTTCTGATCAATTTCTTTCAAATCTAACATGCAGAATTAAATATCCTCTCAATTGAGACCATACAAATGAGTTTTAACTTGTTTTAAATAACACAAAGCACACATAACGTTATATTAATCCACGGTTTTTGTTCTCACGATACTGTTTAAATTGGACCAATGAGCCGCTTCATTTCGGGGTCTTGTGGCACAACATCGAATTAATGGATGTCTTTTGTAATCTAATGTAAATCTTTTTAGAAGCGCCCTGATCTGCCCCCCCCCCTCTTCCCCCTCTCCCCCCTCTCCCTCCTCGGGTCACCCTGAGTCAGGACCCCGACCTGGACGAGGCCGACCGGCTGACCCGGTGGCCCAGACGGACCTCCTGTCCAGAGGCCACTTTCGCAAATCCCGCGTTTTCTTCAAAGCAGCCGGGACAGGATGTGCTCCGAGGCCGGGGGATGACACGCGGATTAAACTCCTCTATTTGTACCGCCGCTGATGTCTGGAGGCACAAATACAGAACATGTAGCGTAACCCCCCCCGGTAAAGACCAAGCAGCGTTTTTGTTTGGACTAGAAACACATAATCTGATATTCCCGCAGCCTCTGTTTCTGGCCCATTGTTTCCAGACACACAAAGACCACTTAGCCCCCAAATCACCCCTGAGAATCCTCTTCACACCCCCTGAACCGGACCTCCCTCTGCGTCGTCCCTTATTGCTCAGAAAGCAGGTGGCCTGCTGGTTAAACCCAGAGCGTCCAGACTGTAACGGGGACAAAAGACGCTTCATGGGGGTAAGCCTGTCCACGGTGTCCGGGACATGTGCTTTGTGTTTGTACACGCAGAGCGAAAAACCTCCTCACTACGCTAATCCCAAATCTACTGCAGATGACGGTGGACTTGAGAGTGGAGAGGAAATGTGCAGCCTGAATCGGAGGTTTCAGATGGATTTCACCTGGAATTCACACAACTCGATAGGGAGAATACGGATGATTCAGACTCAATCCCCTTCATCAACGGGACCTGCTGACATCCTCAACATAGAAATGTTTTGGTGCCCAAAACATTTCTATTTGGTGCCCAAAACATTTCTATGTTCATCGAGAGAAGCGCTCATGTCCAAAACAAATAGATCCCCTGTGGTTCTCTGTCACACACACACACACACACACACACGTGCAATCAATCAGCGCTAAGTCTCTACTCGAGTCAGCTGCTGCCCCTCAGCTGAACATCCGGTTCCACACAAAACACAGCCGGGGGGAGCGGAGCTCGAACCCTGGAAACATGTGGACATTCCTGCCAGCCAGCTACCCTACGTGAGTTATTCTTACCACCACGTGTCCTTCAAGCCACGTAAACCGGCCATTTCCTGACAGAAGGTGACGTGACGCTGCAGCATTTAGTTCACCCGCTCGCGTCTTCACCCTCCAGCTGAATAGAATTTAGGAAGGTTCCTCTCTGAGAAGAGTAGATGAGCTGAAAGAGACCTGAGAGGTCACAGGCAGGTCGCCTCTCGCATCTCTGCTCCTCTCGGCCGTGGACTCCCTCCTCCAACCTCGCCTGTTATCGGGACAGAAACAGTGAGTCTAGTAACAACGGCTTTGAGACCAACAGGGAGGTTGAAGCATTAAAAGGTGCTTCAACCTTGATGCAGAACGTTCAGGGCAGCTGAAGCTCAGCGGCCGCAGGCGAAACTGAAATCAAGAGGTCACGTTGAGTCTTTTTCTTCCGCTCAGTTTGTGCAGATAAAATCAAACTGTAAATGTAAGTAAGGCCTCGAGCCAAGGCCTCGAACACACACACACACACGTGGTTTTAATGGGGATTTGGTATTTTGTGGGGGGGCTCCAGTGCGTCCTTGTCCTCTCAAAGTTGCACTCGTCGGAGGCACGTGTCCCCCACCCCCCCGAGCGAGGGCCCCGTGGAGACTCAAAACAAACCGCAGACGAGCGCCTGGAGGGCGGGGCCCGTCGGCAGCGTCCCGCTGCGAGGTGGGGGGCGGGGGGATTAAGGGGGATTACGGCCCCCTCTTACCCTCCACTTTTCCTCTCCTCAGCACCTTCACTCGCTCCCTTTGAGTTGTCAAAACAAGAAAGGTTTTCATCATCAAATGTCCTTCACATCGCGAACATCTGTTTTTCACTGGTTCCCTAAACATCTGTGTCATTTGTTTGCCGAGCAGTTGAGGTCCTGCGGTGGCCTGAAGACGAGGTCAATAAATGTCCCCGGAGACGTTCAGTCTCGTCTTTAATGGAACCTCTGCCGGCCTGCACGGTTCACCGATTCATCATGTGAGAATAGTAAACGCGCCACGAGGAGGAAGTTGAACCAGACAGATCGGCTCTAAATGATTTGAGTCCTCTGTTTTGTTTTGACTGACACGGAGAATTCGTATCTGTCCGTCTGACGCAGCAGGAGAGACGGCGGCGCTTTGTCCCCGTGAAGAACTTTCCTCCTTATCGCGCTGTTGATGCCACAGACTGGGCCGGTTTACTGGAAGGACGCTTGAATCCCCTTTGACGACCCTTTATCTCCAGAGGAGTTTAGCAGTAGTCACACCGGCGGCTTTGACTTTCAAAAGCTGCACGGACGTAGACGATAGTCGCCCCCGCACATCAATAGTAATCGATCCCCACCTCACACGGGCTGACCTCGGCGCTTTGACGAAGGCGGCGTGCAGACGAGCTGCTGATGAGCAACAATCAGAGGGCTGTCACGATGTCCTCCACAGGGGACGCAGTCAGACAGGAGGAAAAGGGAAGTGTCGACCTCGCCAGACACAATGTGACTCGAAAAACCACAGCCGCCCCCCCCTCCCCCAAAAATAGCCCAAACGACCTACACGCGACCTGCGCGGACGACCTCTCAGCTCTGACACACAGAAAAAGAACGCATTCTTCTTCCGCGGCTGGTGTGTGTTTGAGCAGCCGTGCGGCGATCCGAGGACAAAGAGGCCTCGTGGGAAGCCGCGCAGCGCTGACCCAGGATCAGGCCGCACGCTGGAAGCGCTCGGTAAACAAGCAGTCGAAGGGCTCATCTGGGCAACATCTGCCCGTCCGTCCCCGACACATCTGCTGCAGAAGCTCACGGATCCTCTTCTCCGTTCGTGGGGGCCGGACGGGGGGGGGGTCGACACAAGCGAGTTTAAACAAACTGTGACTTTTCCCCAAGAGCATATTTGTTTTGAGATCCTCTCGCTACTGTGGGAGTCACTCTGCTGGGTCTTCATTCTTTTTCATTGCTTCCGGAACCACATTTCATCCTGCGCCCGGTACGTCGTGTACGACCAGATGTAAACGGCCAGTCTGAGGTCGGCTGCAAGCGGCCGGGCTTCCTGTTGGCTTCCTGCTGGCTTCCTGTTTTCTAGACGGGAAGAGAAATCAGACCCCTTTTCTTCTCAGCTAACCCTCGTCTCCACTTCCATTCTCTTTTTTAGAAGGTCAAGTAAGACGCTCAATTTCTGTAATCACAACCGCCGTTGTTGTGCGTCATTATACTTACAACACTGGACTGCAAATGGCATCTTCGTCTTTTTTTCCTCTCACTTGCTGCAAAATGGACGTTGCACGCTGAGCCATTATTTTTCATCCCAGTCTTTGTGTGGATGTAAAATGAAGTCAAGGTGTAAAAAGTCCCAATTTGCAAACTTATCGCGTAAAATATTTCCCAATATGATCAGCGTGGCCTCTTCTTGTGCCCGTCGCACACGCAAACGCACCGCCTCATAAATGATGCCATGGATATTACACTCACTGAATAAATCATTGGAAGTGTTGCTCCACCTTTCATACGTGCACTTTACCATAAACTCAGACTGCTCTTTAATGATTTACTGCCACGTGCATGAGTGTGTGTATGAAAACACAACTCCGCACGAATCTGTGGTTCTCCCTCGCGTTTCCCGCTCGGCTTCCGGGGCAGCAAGCAGCGACACGCGTCGAGGAGGAAGAGAACGAAGGCGGAGAGCGGCGGGAGAAACACGCCGCGGCAGGTGTGGCGTTCAAAGGGAAGGGTTTCCTTTTTGACGCACAGCTGCAGCATCTGGCACGAGAGACGATGCACAGGCTGGTCTGGTGTTCTGGATCCAGCAGCAAAGAAGACGGAGCAGCGACAAACAGTTTGATCTCGATGGAATCGCTGTTCTGAACACGACACAAAAGATATGGACTGAGTTCATATGTAGGTCAGGCCCACTGTTGGAGGCGCAGCTTGAACCCCCCCCCTCATGCTCGAAGAAGAACAGGGTGTTCTAGTACACACACACACGCACACGCATGCATCAGCATTCAGCCACCCATCTCGTGTGCACAGAGGCGTCCTCATCACATATTGTGCACTGTGTCCTCGTCGAACAGAGACGTGAAGGACTGTGAGAAATCCCTGGAAAAGAACAACATATAATTTGATACAAATCAGTTCACATGGATCCAAATGTAGTTTTATTTGCACTAAATGTTACTTGATTATACCTGCAGGACTTTAACAGCGCATGAGACAATGTATCCGTCCTCACTTCACACCAATGCTCAAATGTCCTACCGGTGACACACTCATGTGCAAAGTCATTTGTCTCCTCTCTCTCTCTACCAAATGTTCCCAAACAAGCTCTCGTTTCCCTCCTTTATCCACCACTGACACACATTCTGTGTTTGTAACTTTAGAAATGTGGGAGTTGAAGCTCAGCGCAACTCACACCAACTGGGACTGATAAAAACGTGCACAAAGGAGCACACAGGGAGGCTTTGAGGGCAAACAAAGGCCGAGGAGAGGCCAGTGTTTGAGGCTCGCCAAGCAGCAGACCGGGGGGGGGCAGAATGTGTAAAATACTGTAGATCTCGACCGCTTCCAAACAAAGACAAGCAGTGACTTCTCAGGGCTCACCTGCCCACCATTGTCTGCGTGTTTGTCGGTCTGCCAACGCGTGCAAGCCGCGCAACGCCTCCGTCAGCTGCTCGCATGCGGAGGGGAAGATGCGTGAAGGCTGTTGTGTGACACGTTGGGGAGGATCAGCGGTTCGGCCCCGACGGGAAGCTCGACCCCCGGGAGCAACTGTTTCTCGGAGGGAAATGAATCTGCTTCTTCGTGGCTTGTGCCGCCGTTTCACAGGAGGCCGGATCCTTTTCCTCCGAGGAACACCCACCACGCACGTTCTATCTGCACAACTCGGCTTCTACCACCTTCATCGTTGGAAGGCCGCTTGCATAGCGATGCCTGGGTAACAACAATATACGAATGACACACTGACAGCAACACCTTTTGCTTCCCTCGTGTAATGCAGATTCCTTCTCCATGTTATTAGTAAAGCCATACTTTGAATGCACTGTGTTTTCTGACAACCAAGTATTTTTCAATTGTCCATCACTGAGGTTACTGCAGCCTTTACAACGATGACTCACTGGGTGGGTGAGAAGCACTGAACACATGTACAGAATTACTTATATTTATATGTATTTATCTCTGTGTGTCATATTCTGTCAGCTGATTCCGTGGTAACGGTTGTGATGTGTTTTTAAAAACACTCTCCCTCTACTTGGATACCAGTACGTTAAAGTGTGTGTGTGTGCGTGCGTGGGTGTGCGTGGGTGCTTGTTTGCGTTTCTCAGGTATCAAGGTGGGGCTTCGCTGTGGGAGTGTGGGAGGTGAAAGGCTTCGTTTATCACATGTATTTCCGGCCCGGGTGAGTCATGTCGCGCCATTAAGTGAACTATTCCGACATTCCTGGTTCACCTCGGACCAGTCTGAAGTCCAGACACACCCTCTGTTAGCTGCGCACACCTGGTTTCATTGGAGAAAGAAAACACCCACCGGTTGGATGGAAGAGCTTCGTCGGTGAATCACAAGCTGAGAATCATGAATGTGCATCCGATGTGAGAAGAAGGCGAGGAGGCTTTGCAGGTCAGAGGGGTTTACCCGTGAACCATGCTGGTGTTGTTTAGTCTACTAAGAATCAGTGGGAGCAATTAGAGGCCAGCAGAGTCACAGGGGCGTCCCCCGTGTCCCCCGCGTCCCCCGATGGCGCCTCCTCACCTCTTTTTAATTACTTGTGCAAACCAAAGAAGGTAAACTAACTCCCTCAGGCCCCTGGAAGCCGAGCCTACCTTCAAGTTGACCGAGCTGTTGTTCAGAACGCAGATGTACGCAACCAAATGCTAACATTTTAATGTCCGGCCGTTTGGCTGCAGTGGCCGACTTATAAGCGACGCGTGCGTCCAAAAGCGCGTTTTAATGACGGTTTTGTTAAAGAGGTTTATCTTCGGGAATGACTTCACAGGAGGATAATATCCCAGCGGGCCTCTGCGCGCGCTCACACTGCGGAGGTGCAATCACTGAGGTGCTAGCAGACACACGACAACAGTTAAGATAATTCGCACAAAGCAGCAGAGTAAACACACTCCCATGATGCATCAGCTCTTTGTTTTCACCTCGGCTGTGCAGTGAATGCACCTCAACCTTCAGTAGCATGTATGAGTGCAGGAATCTATTAACGCACAGCACATCCCTGCAGGCTGGATGCCATTGTGTGCTTGTGAATATCTGTGATTCCCTAATTGTGAGACCGTGTCCAGATGTCATGAAACATCAGCATCGCCGTGCGGCTGCAGGGCCCAAAGCAGATAAATGATCCAAGGAGGCTCCGCATGACGGGAACGACCGCGTCAAGAAGCTACACGCAGCATCAGAAATATACAGTATGCAGATGGCGTTTCAGTCAAGACGCAGTCACGAGTTATTTAGATTTATTTAGAAATGATCCATCCATCCAACACGAGGTGATACTTTTTTGTTGGACGAGTTTTAGGTGCATAAAATATATTGTTTTAAATAACTTGAAATGTCTGAATAAAGTTGACAGGAATAAGCAGAAATACAAAAAAAGCTGAAGTAGGATATCAGCTAAATCTGTTCCCCTATCAGCTAAATCCCTCAATATTTAGTCGAGTATATTTTAAATTGAAGATCGTTGCCAGAGTGGAGCAGAAACTAAATAGAAGCACTAAACATATGGTGTTGGTGTATAGAGGGCTGGTGTTAAACCCGCTCCCTAATTAGCGAGGCTTAAATAGCTCGGACTCGGCGGACCTGGGAGGCGTTTTATCGACACTGTGGCATCAGGCGAAGGCAGAAGAAATAGCGATAAATCTCTTGTATTGTCAAAGGGCCTCGCTGCTGGGCTGCCGGTGACATTCCAGTAGGACCCTTCTCATCCCGGACTTCCTTTCCAAGAGGACGTTCGGAGCAGTTTGCCACCCATTGGCCCCCCGACTTCACGCGCGTAACATGCAGTGTTTTGACAGTCGGACAGGGGCCACTCTAATGAGGTCGGACACGCTGCAGCAATGCAGGGAGCCAGGCCGGCTGGACGGACTCCCCGAGTGCAGCTCGAAGTAAATGACCCACTAAACTACAATTTACGGTTGAGTGGCTGACGAAAACCCTCTGAAGTGTTTGAGTAAATCATCACATGTTGATCAGGCAGACTGCTTTGAAGCTGTGTGGCTAACAGGCTACAACGGTTCACCGCTCGCCACCAGTATCTTTCCACCAACGTTAGATGGAATAATTGTTGTGAAATAGTTGAAGCGCTGAGGAGGCTCATAGTTGTGGTTCGGCCTGCGCAGCCGCGCCCTTGTTAGCCCGCGGTGGGACTGTCTCCCCGCAGACCATCAAGCGACCCAGGGAAGCGGAAGCAGGAACATCGAGTACCAAAACAACCTCGTCTCACCGACAGTTGGAGAGGCTTCTGCTTTGGACGAACCCATTAACTGTCACCAACCGACCTGAAACCCGCTCCCACGCACTGCCGATGGCGCCCCGGATTCAGTCTCTGATGTGCACGCTGACCTGTCATTAAACGACAAAGACACTATATTTGAAGAACAGATCTTTAATACTGATCTCTCGGACAAAACTGGAGTATTCAAAGGAACAAATTCACCTTTGTTAACACCAAGCTAATAGCTGAGGGCTTTGTGATGAAGTGAAACTGATGTCTAGACATTTCGTTAACACTGCTGCCCCCAGCTGTTCATCAGTAGGAACAGCAACTGTAAAGCCACACATAAATACAGACCCCCCCCTCCATAAGGTGATAACACATGGATCCTCCATCATCGCCATCGTAAAACATGTTCATCCAGTTGATACAGGGGCGACTCGGTTTAACGTCCGCTGACCGTTGGGCCCCGGGGGGCCTCCAGCTGCCCTCTGAGCTCGGCCAGCTGTCTCTCCATGCGGTAGACGTCCTCAGACATTTGCCTGCGACACAAAAGTGTTTATTGTGTTTTGCATGTTAATGCAATAGGAGCAATTTACCCCCGAGTAGCTGGACAACAACAAATCCAAAGACAGTAAAGAGAGAGTATAATTGATTGTATGATCAGTACTTTTTACCTGTGGACAGCCTGGGCCCGGCTCAGCTGGCAGTGGAGGCGCTTGACGATGGCTTCATAGCGCCGGTTCTGGATCTGAAGCAGTGAAAACAGAAGGATGATCTCGGCCTTAAGTCCTGATATTTTTCCTCATGGTTTTGTATACACGTCAACAATGTCGTATTAAATTCCCCGTTCCTTTCGGCCTCACCTCTACGTCTTTCTTGATCTGAGTATGAGCCTCAAACTCTTTTTGCACCTGCGCTCTCTTCTTTGCTATCGCCTCCCTCCTGTCGAGGATCTCCGTCTTCAGAGCGTCATTTTCACTCTGCAGAAAAAACTCATGCATGTTTTGGAATGTTTAGCGTTTCAAAATAATTCAGAATCATCTTGATAATTTCCCCCACCTTTGCCCTCTGCACCGTGTTTCCATTTGGATCCTCCAGATCTTCCTTCAGCTCCTCTTTCTTCTGTGTGAGCATCCTCACCAGTTTCCTTTTCTCCTCCAGCTCTCTGTGGGCCTCCGTCCGGCTCGCCGCCTGCCAAACAGCCGCTCTGTGACCCTCCATCTTGCTCCGGTAGGCGTTGAACCTGGCCCGCGCCATCCCGGCGCTCTCCTCCTCCTCGCTTATGCTGCTCTGGAGTTCTGTGTTCTCCTTGCCGATGGCCCCACAGCGGCCCCGCAGCAGGTTCGTCTGACGCTCCAGGTGCTCCGTCTCGGCCTCCAGCATCAGGAATTCCCTCACTTTAGATCTCAGCTCCTGCTCCGCCACCTCACCTTTCCTCTCCACGTCTAAAAGAGATGCCTGGAAAAGGAGGCAAACCAACATTCCTAAATCAGTGTATCCTCAAACCACTTGGTCACTATGGCATCAATTCCACCTATTACTAATTACTAACAGATGTAACTACCCTTTCTGATAGGAAATGAGTACACTTGGCGAGATGAAGTGCATAATGGAGAGTTTTAAATCAGGGGTAAACCTGCAGGGAGAGGAGCGTCTTCTGTCTCTCTTTCAGGGCCTCGGTCTGGGCAAAGCCATGTTGGCTGATATCCTCCACTGCCTTGGTTAACGAAAGCCCGGGTTTCTCATCCCTTTCTGAGGCACAAATGAGTGTTTAATGTTAGTAAGAAAAAAAACATTATAAAGAGAGCATAAAAGCTTAAAATAGGTCGAAGGTGAGCTCAAATTAGGCTAATAGTGATTTGAAGGTTAAGCCTGTATTTAATTACCGTTCAATCACTCCACTCACTTTAAACATGACTTTATTGATTTGTATGACTATGAGCGTGTCTAACAGTTGTTTTCTTACCAGCTTCACTGGACATTTTGAATTAAGTTGACGTTAGTTAGCTAACGTTACGTAACGTCACAGCCGTTTAGCCTGTAATTAACCGTTAGCTAACTTTACGTACCGCTACAGCCGTTAATTAACCGTCAACTAACTTTAACTGCCACAAATATTTATGTCACAATAAAAAATAATATTTTAACGTTAAGGCGGAATTAATTAAGTTAAAGTTGAATTAGTTACAGCGGGCCTAACGGGTCGACAAAGTGGCACTACAATTCCCAGAGTTCAACTCTTCTCCTCGACCCCGTTCAAACTACTTCCGGGTACGGCGAGCAGCAGGGCTCTCTGACGGCGGTTGTCAACGCTTTAAACAACGCGCTTCACTGAACTCTTTGCCCCATAAATGAAGTCAAATGCTGGTCAGTCGCTGTTTCGGACTGTGCGCTCTCTGCAGCCGTGTAGTTCACAGCAGCGGGGGGAGAAGAGCAGCACGGAGGACACTCGCGGGACACGCCGGTGCGGAGTATGTTCACGTCACACAGGTGCGTCACGGGGGCACAGTGGCACCAACGCGCCTCTATCACAGCGATTTGGGGCACTTGTACGGGACCGAGTCCGTTCAGAGGCACGTGCGGCGGCTCGTGGAGGAGTTCGGAGACATTAGCCAGATGTTACAGCTGTCACACCTGTCCGAGTCGGACAGGAAAGTGCTCCTGAAGAAGCACGCAGAGCTGCTGCCTGTGGCGGACGCGTTTGAGAGCACCGAACAAGCCCTGAAAGACCTCGAGGAAGTCACCTCACTGCTGCACGGCAAGTCTGTGTTTTGTTTGCGTCAGTTACAAACAACATATATATATATATACATATATTTGTTGGGACATCGGAAAATACATTCCTTGAATTAAAGCCATTGAACCTGAGGATGGCGTCAGCATCTCTTCGAAGTCCTCTACCTTGAGCTGCTTTCCCTCCTGGCTGCAGGTTCAGCTGCTGCCGAAGATGAAGACGAACAGCTGACCCAGCTGTTGAAGGAGGAGGAAGAGCAAATCTCCTGCCGGGTGATGGCCTTGAGGAAAGACGTAAGAAGAAGAAAAAAGGCCCGATCAAATAAAGGCAGAAATGTGTTACGAGACAGTTAAAGGGTTTGTCTTCTTTCTCTTCAGTTGGTCAAAGCTCTCGTGCCCATCGATCCCCTCGACTCCAGTAATATTCTGCTGGAAGTTGTATCAGGACGAACAACAGGGGGTAGGAAATAATGACAACCACCACCATCACACACACCACTGGTATTTGCCTGTATCAAAAAACCCATTCGTGCTCTCTTGATGTGTGTTTCCAGGTGACATCTGTCAGCAGTTCACCAAAGAAATGTTTGACATGTACCAGGGTTTTGCCTTTTACAAGAATTGGGATTTTGAGCTTCTGAACTACACACCCGCCGAGTATGGTAAGTCACATTTGTTGTTTTGTCCTCAGCGTTCTCTATTCTTCAAGCTTTCGCACATGATGGAAAACGTTTGGGGACAGCCATATTCGCTTGTCTGCCTCTCAGGTGGTCTGCACCACGCCGCGGTGAGAATAGCCGGGGACAATGTGTACAGACACCTGAAGCATGAAGGAGGAACTCACCGGGTGCAAAGGATCCCGGAGGTGGGCCTCTCCTCCAGGATTCAGCGCATCCACACGGGGACCATGACTGTGATCGTCTTGCCTCAGCCAGCGGAGGTACACCTACTGTCCGCCTCCGCATCCGTCCGTGTCGTTTAACATCGGTGAAAATAAGTCATTTTTCTTCGCCGTGTGCTAGTTGGACATCGACCTCGATCCGAAGGATCTTCGCATCGACACGTTCAGATCTCGAGGTGCCGGGGGCCAAAGTGTCAACACAACTGACAGCGCAGTTCGCGTTGTCCATCTTCCCACCGGTAAAACATGCCCGAGCGGTTCTCAAGCTACTCCAGGCGGTTCTGGTGTCGTTTCGTACAAACACCGTGTATTGTTGCCATCTAGCTTTCGAATTGATCCGACCCTCCAAACAGGGACGACGGCGGAATGTCAGCAGACTCGCTCTCAGCTGCAAAACAGAGACACTGCCATGCGTGTGCTGAGGGCCAGGCTCTACCAGGGCATTCTGGGTAAAGAGACGGAGCAGAGACACGTAGCACGGAAGCAGCAGGTGAGGGACCTCTGGAGCTGTAATATTCACAGACCCTTGTCAATTTGAATGGTTTTAATATCTGTTTATTGCCGCGCGGTTTACTACAGGTGGGCACGCGTTCTCAGTCCGAGAGGATTCGTACTTACAACTTCAGCCAGGATCGTGTCACAGACCACAGGACTGGATATGTTACTAGAGATATTAAGGTAAGACATTAAGGGTGTGTATGTTTTTAAACCTGTACATTTCATGTTTGTCGTTCTCGTCAATTTACAAGCAAACTGGTCGCATGTTCATTTGTTTGCCTTTTTAGTGCGTTTCTTTTCCCCCAAAGTCTTTCTCATTGCTGTTCTCAAATCAGTGCGACACGCGCGTTCTGTTCCATGTGTAGGAGTTCATGAGAGGAGGGGAGGCTCTCTGTGATCTGATCGGTCATGTGCTCGAACATGCAGAGAGGGAGGCTCTTCTGGAGGCGGTGCGGAGCAGAGGTGTGAAACCAGACTGACGCTACTGAAGAACATACAGCATGTCAACACATCGTACTGTGATGCAAAATATACATATTTATATTATTTTAATAAGTCATGAATGTGCACTTGTGCAATCGTCAAAAGTAAAGTAAGCCCAACTGGAGTTCACTCATACTTCTTAGAGGTTTTTATTTTCCTAATAAAATATTTAATGATGTATTTGTGTCTTATTTCCTTAATAATGCAAGAGCATTATGAATGAGTTATAAATATTTTATAAATGATCAATAAACCACTTGTAATTTTACTGAGCTGTTGTAGGTTAAACGCTGCATTCATCTTATATAAAAAAGGACCTACTGCTCACGCAAATCATATCATGATGGTCTATCGTTCGTGCACCGTGTGGGAATGAGAAGAATTGAATTTCTACTCCTCGCCAGTAAAACCTTTTTAGTGAAGCTGACTTTTTACGCTGTAATGTAAACATGTAGACTGTTATCGGTAAATATATTTCATATCCAGGTGAGGTGAAACCATCCATCAGCTGACCTTATTTTCTACTTACATTTTAAAATAAGTTCATATTTTCAGGATTCAGAAAGTTATTTATTGTTATATGTTGCCATCTTTGATCTTGCTGCTTCAGGAGTCCGACAATCAACTATTGCAATGCCGTTTCCACAATAAGTAATATACAAATATGGAAAATACAAAAAATTATTACAACTGCCGTATTTAAGTAAATCTGCCCTCATCAGACAGCAGGATGAAATGACAACATTAGATCCACGGAACGGGATCTTCATGTGATAGAAAAAACATCATCTCAGGAAAAATTGTCCTCCAACAGTGTGTAAAGAAAATAAAAATACAATTAATATGCTTGAATAATGTAAAAAAGAAAAACCCTTAAATGGGTCTAGAAGCATTCAGCTGCAAGTTCTTCTGAATTTGAGTCAGTCGTCATCGTCGTCTCTCTGTCGGATGCTCCTGGATTTGCCGTTCTGTGTCGTGTTTTTCCTAAAGGAAGCAGGTCCACCTTCCGCTCCGAGGGATGTGATGATGCGTTCCTTAAACTTGGGCTTCGGCTCCGGCGGGATGTCGGCCGGAGCGCTGACAATGATTCCCTCCACCTTCGGCAGCTGTAGGTCCACCTTGGCGCTGCGGAGGCAAGACAAAGAAACGGTCAGAGCTTTTTCAGTGGCTTACAGGAGCTACGTGGGTCTCAATCAGCAGCACTTACTATGGATCCACTTCTTCCCGGATCTCCTGCCAGCGCCCATATGGGTTGGTGGTTTTTGCCCTTCTTGCTTGTTTCTTCACTGGTGCCGCCTCTACCTTCTTCTTCTCTTCGGGTTCAGCTGTCGCGCTTTGGACCTTTTGGTCCTTTTTTTCCACCTCTTTAGGAGAATCATCACTCACTTCGGCTTCTCCCTCCTTTACTGATGGATCGCCTTCTGATTTCCTTTTCTGGAAACAAACAAACAAGGAATTGTATTTTTTGTTTTATCTAACCAAGCGAGACTTGAACTAGATATTTATTAACTATCATCCACTGCAAAGACTCCTCTCACCCTGAAGCTGATCTTTGGGGCTTTGGACAGCTGGTTATCCTCTTCGGGGACTTCGGCCTCCTGAGATACGGCTGTTGGCCCGCTGGACCTCTCCTCTTCTCCTGCAGGCGGCTCAAGCCGAGTGGTTGAAGGCTGCCGCTGAATCTCTCTCCCTTTGTAAGGCGTCGTTCCAGGTGGTTCAATGGAAGAAAAGCCTGCTGGCTCCTCCCAGCTAGTCTCTACGGGTAAAGGTAGATGAAGCATGTGATTATCAGACAACATCTCTAATGATAAAGTAGGAACAGGTTGTTTTTAAATTAACCACAAACTATTAAACACTATTTCACCTCCAGTCGCGGAGTTGTAGTAATATGTATAACCATCAGGACTGACAGCTTCCATCCAAGGACAGAAAGACCTCTGAAGACAAACACAATATTAACATTACAAATTTATGAACAAATTTTGAGGTAAAATTGATACAGTACAAATGTACAGAAACAAAATCAAACCTCCATGTATCCAGGTTGTGCAGGGGCTGGATTTGCTCCCTGGAAACCCTCTGGTTTTTCCCATTTAGATTCTGTAGTTAGATGAAATACAACAACAACATACAGGCCGGAAAGAGTCAGTTTGACCGTAAAGTATGATAATGCCATGTTGGTTGGGTTTTCCAGTTCGCCTCACCTCCAGTTACGTTGTTGTAATAGTAAGTGTGTCCATCCTCTGTCCGTCCTTCAACCCACATCTGTGCCTCCTTTTGGGCCCTCAACTTGTTGTTTTCTTTCTCTTGCTTTTTCTGCTTTTTGGCCTGAGCTCTTGTCTTATTTATTATTATGATAGGCCGTGCCGGTGGTTGTGGTTGTGGCGGTGTAGGTATTTCGGCTGGTAATCCTGACACAAAAACATATTTCAAATTCTAAACGAGTAGACATGTAACACGTTACATGTTATTTAAATGTCAAACTACCTGCCGACTCCCTTTCCATCCTCTTCAGATCTTCCTCATAAGCCTTCAGCGCAGCTTCCTCCATCGCCGCAAACTCCTTTGACATACGCGCCTCCTGCTTGGCCTTGTCAACACTCTTCTTTTTAATCTGTAGGAAGAAAGATTAAATGGTTGAAGCTGGTGACCAATAATAAGCGAGGGTTGGATTAAGTCTGGACCAATTTATTTCTGGATATCATATCACATCCAGAAATAAGGGGTTAGTCGCGTTTAACTACCAATGGAGTTATTCAATCAGTTCAACACAGGCAGAATAAACGTATAGAAATGTTGATACCTCAGAGATTTTTGCAGCCACATTCTCTTTGTGATTCTTCCCTCTTTCGTGGAACTCAACGCTCTGCATCGATGAGGAGACACATTAGCATAATATGCGGGTACTGTCTTCAGCAATATCAACTCGATTTCTTTGACACACTCACAGGCTTATTGTCCGCGATCCAGCACTTGCAGTACTGGCAGAACTTCCTTGGTTGTGACTTCCAGTAGTCGGCCCTGAAGATGCAGGAAGCTATCATTAATTGCCGAACATGTGTGAATGATATTAACGTTAGCCTGTAAAGCTAACGCGGCTAACTAGCTTGATCTTTGCCCAGGGTTCTTTATTTGACAATATTTTGTAGAATTACTCACTGAATTTACAGAACAAGTCTGATTGTATCTCAATACTTACATTTCAAGTCTCGGTGGTACGAGTAGGGTATTTAGAACGAAACAAATGAAAAGATAAACGCTTCCTACATTTCAAGACAGACAACAGTGTCCGTTTGTGATGACGTCATCGCCACTCGCCTTAGAGATGAGCCATTGAGCTGATATAAAATATTGAAAAATATTGTATCTTTATAAATTCAAATTGATACATACGCCTAGCACTGCTTGGTGGACTCGGGGTAGCAATAAAAACATTGCACAGTGATATGTTTATTTATTGCTTTTTATTATTTGTTAGCCTCGTTAAGAGAGAGATTTTACATCGTCCCATATGGTCTAGCGGTTAGGATTCCTGGTTTTCACCCAGGCGGCCCGGGTTCGACTCCCGGTATGGGAACGTACATTTTTGGAGTTTTCTCCGGAGCAAGTTAATAACATGACTGTCGATATTAATCTGGATGATACGAATAAAAGAAATAAACCATTAACTGAACGCAGCAAGGAGGGTGGTCAAGGGGCGTTCAACTCCCAAATAGAGATGCAGCATTACATTTTTTTATGAATTGCTCAAGAGACAATTTGAATATCTAGAAACATGCCTTGTTGCATTAACCAAATTATACAGGTTCGGTATACAGTGACTATTATTCATATGTAGGAAAAATAATTCTTGCCAATATCCTTAGTAAATATAGCACTCTTTCTTAAATTAATGAAGAAACAAAATAAAAAATGCTCCCCATGGTTGTTATGCATTTTGCAGATAATCATCTGCAATAACACTTGCCAGAATGTTTCCGATTTAAGTTATTATTTTTGAACTGTCATCTCGCAAGGAGAATTGCGTGATTTTATCCCTTTAGAATTTCCCCACAGTGATAACGCGTTTGCGTCCCTCCGTCTGTCGTCATCATTCTGCGCCAGCAGTTCGTTGGAAGTCCGCGACGGACACCGCCCCCATTCTCTCATTTGCCCTGATAATCGTTCCCCCCTAATCCAGCCCGGTGCCAAAGCTCCCGGGCCGCCCATGAACGGCACCATGGCCGCGTCCTCTCACCGGGTAACGTTAGGACCGCTGGTCGCTGCCATCGACCAGGGAACCAGTTCCACCCGCTTTCTGGTGAGTTTACCCGGCGCGGCGCTGCTCTGTTCCGGCGTTAGCTAGCAGCGTCTTAACGTCTCACCGAAGTGCCAAAAGCGAAGCGTGTCCTTGGCTGTATTTGCCCGTCTCTGTTGTCGTAACGGAGGCCGAGGTGTTGAAACCGCAGGGGCACAATGGAGCGTTTTCGGCGGCGTTGCGAGGCTCGAGCTGACGCTAACGTTACGTTCTCGTGAGAGGTGCTGTAGCGCCTTTAACGACAGGTGGGGCTAATTGAATTGTGACACAACGGAGTACAGCGAAAACACCGCTGTTCCTACATACTAGACACAGGCAACAGGCCTCTCCACTCCAAATGAATGAACAATAAATAGTTTTGTTATTGGCTGAAGCTTAATTATTTGTCTGGTGCCGTTTCTCTCTTGAAGGTGTTCAATTCTAAAACAGCCGAGCTCCTCAGCCATCATCAGGTGGAACTCAAGCAGAGCTTCCCCAAAGAAGGGTCCGTGGAGAGCTTCGACACTATTCCTTCTTAACTTACAGACGTTTGCTTCTGATTTGATGGGATTCTTGTGTTTTCAGATGGGTGGAGGAAGACCCCAAAGAAATCCTGCAGTCGGTGTACGAGTGCATGGAGCGTACGTGTGAAAAACTCACCCAGCTCAACATCGACATCTCCAACATTAAAGGTGTTCATTCACATGCAGTGTTCATGCTGCCACCTTCTCCCGTTGACACGTTTTCATTCATTTCATTAACAATGTCAAACCTTTTGAATGTGTGCAGCGATCGGAGTGACCAACCAGAGAGAGACCACGCTTGTTTGGGACAAAGAGACGGGGGAGCCCCTCTACAATGCCATCGGTAATGCGTCCATTTCCTACGCGTCCTTTCCGCTCGTCCTGGCGCACAGCCGACATTCTTCGCCGTACGGCGGATCGGCTTGTTGTGTTAGGCCGATTTGTGTTGCTGTGACGTAACTGAAATGTTTGTCGCTCAGTCTGGCTCGACCTGCGCACTCAATCCACTGTTGAGCGTCTAATCAACAAAACTCCAGGACGGAACAAAAACCACTTGAAGGTGACTTGCGTCCGGGTTATTTCTGACAGTGTTGCATACTTTGTGCAGCATGTTGTTTTTACATGTTAAGGAGGCAGTTTGTTCGTCCTACGGGTTCCTGTGATGATCAGTCTCCGTTAAGCCCCTGGCTGTACTGTCCCGTCCCGCAGCATAAAACGGGGCTCCCCATCAGCACTTACTTCAGCGCGGTGAAGCTTCGCTGGCTGATGGACAACGTGGACGAGGTCCACCAGGCCGTGGTGTCTCACCGCGCCATGTTCGGCACCGTGGACTCCTGGCTCATTTGGGTGAGTGAGGCTGTTGCTGGTGTCCTGTTGGACGCGGCGCTGCGGGAAGCCGGTCTACTTTTATTCACATGGTTTATTTCCAACAGTGTTTGACCGGCGGCAAGTCAGGCGGGGTCCACTGCACGGATGTGACCAACGCCAGCAGAACCATGTTGTTCAACATTCACACTCTGGACTGGGATCCAGAACTCTGCAAGTACGACGTCCGTCTGGCATTCTGGGTGTTTTTTGTTGATCTTTATTTCGCCAGGATGATCCCGTTGAGATAAGAAAGTCACATGGAAGAAAACCGACTGAACATAACAAAAATTGATAGGACCGTCTTAAGACCATTCAGTGCTTTAATGATCCATAATTGTCTTTAAAATCCTGCATGTTTGTACAATCTAGTTTAAATTCCCTCCTGTATGAAGGAAAATTAGTGCAGCATCTAATCGTTTTGTTTCTTTTATGCACAAAGGTCACAGCAACGTCTCCATTATATGCTGTATATTTTTTAAATTGATGAGCAGAATTGTCCCAATCACCATTCTGCGCAGATATTTTGGTATTCCCATGGAGATCTTGCCCAGAGTGAGGAGTTCTTCAGAAATCTACGGCCTCATGGTAAGAATGTATTTGAATAAAATCAACTCCCATGACATTTTCCACAATGAGTTTATTACATAAATGTGTTACGCAAATACTGCCATTGCTGTGTCCTGTGTTGAAAGAGTGGTTTTCTGCATGAAAGGTGTACTGAGAAATTATTTTAGGCTTTTTTTTTTTGTGTGCCATTGTCTCTCCTCTCTGTGGTAGAAAATTTGTTCTAGCCGGGTAAGTAACACTCGCCATTTTATCACGCAAACCATCCTGCTTTTCTGTGGCCGACTGCGTCGCCGCAAAGTGCATTTCCAACATTCGCACCAGGGCGTGCGCCTCAGCAGATGAGCTTGATCCAAACGGAGCATCCATGCAAAATTTAAAAAAAAGTCCTACAGAGCTGATGACTCTGTGTGATGAAATGCATGTGCGCCCTGCAGAGCTGCACACAGCACTGGTGAACCTGGTGGAGCCAAACAGGCACAGGCAATCCCTTATTATGCATTTTGCATCACAGATAAATCACTATTGGGGTGATTTCCGACCCACGGCACACACACGCACACAAATATAAGGTCCTGCATGTGCGGTGGTTTGGAAATGTGCTGGATGCTCCCTCATTGCTTCTTTTGTGGCATGTTGTCATCGACGTTCTCCCTGAATCTCTTCACTCTTTAGCACAGTTGGTTCGTAGTGTTGATGTTCTACCTACAAATATGTATGTTTATGTGGATTCCATTACATTTTAGACTTATTTCTGAAAAAAGCACTTTGAGTTGATAATGACATTTGAACAATCCATCCAAAAAGGAATACTTGTCTCCTTATTTGATTTATGTAGACCAGTTCAAGGTCGTGATGCTCTGACAACCAAAATACAACCTGACTTAACTCAAAATCCTCCTTTTCTTTCAATATTGCGTTAAAATATGCAGTTCACTTTTTGAACTGGTCCCTTTTTCTTCTTTTGCAGAAATCTGGAGCTCTTTCAGGGATCCCCATTTCAGGGGTAAGTGGATCTATTCTTACTGTCCAGCATCGTCTCCATCGAAGCTTTGAAGCATTGACCTGATGTGTGTTCATTGACGTCAGTGTCTCGGGGATCAGTCGGCAGCGCTCGTTGGACAGATGTGTTTTCAGGACGGTCAGGCTAAAAACACGTGAGTGCTTAATTAAAATGCATCTTCTCTTCAAATGTTTCTCTCCTGGCACTCATGTTTCTCCTGCGCTTCAGGTACGGAACTGGCTGCTTTCTGCTGCGAAACACAGGAGCCAAGGTACAACGCTTAAGACCCGCCGCACGTGTCCTTTGTGGTGACGACGGAGCACATTCTGCACACTTTGTCTCCTCTGTTTGCAGCCCGTGATGTCGGACCACGGCCTCCTGACCACCGTGGCGTACCAACTTGGTCGAGACAAACCTGCGTGCTACGCGCTCGAGGTGAAGTATCTTCGGCACGCCGACGCTCCTTTTCACTGTATTCCACGTGAACGTACATGCTATTCTAACAGGGCTCCGTGGCCATTGCTGGAGCCGTGGTCCGTTGGCTGCGGGACAACCTCGGGATCATCGGATCATCTGAAGAGCTCGGTATGTGCTACTAATCAAACTAGTTCTGATGTTTCTTCAGAGAGGAATGTTTGAATTGAAGGTGCCACGCGATGTCTTTCTGTCCTCTGCAGAGAAGTTGGCTGCGTCGGTCGGTACATCCTACGGCTGTTATTTTGTTCCCGCCTTCTCGGGTCTTTATGCTCCTTACTGGGAGCCCAGTGCGAGAGGGTGAGTCCGAGCTCTGGTCCGCAGCGCGCTTAAGAATGAAATCCTGAGGTCGTTCCCTCTGACCCCGCGCCGTGTTCCTCCGACTCACAGGATCATCTGTGGCCTGACGCAGTTCACCAACAAGAGCCACGTGGCGTTCGCTGCACTGGAAGCTGTGTGCTTCCAGACGAGAGAGGTGAGCCACGGAGGAACGCTCCATGAACTATACTGCTTCCTCTATTCAGGTGTCCTCCATGGTTGTTTTCTTTGGTGCAGATACTGGACGCAATGAACCAGGACAGCGGCATCCCGCTGACTCAGCTGCAGGTGGACGGAGGAATGACGTCCAACAAGCTGCTGATGCAGCTGCAGGCGGACATCCTCTGCATCCCCGTCGGTAAGACGTCTGTTCATGTGTCTTTATGCAGCGTGACGACCAGAGGAAACGCTGGACAGGTTAAAAAATGTCAAAGGTTAAACCGATTCTGAGGTATAAATCTAGACTCCTTTCAAATGGCTAAATAAGCGTTTCAACAGCACCCTGCGAGCATCGCTGCCCTCTGCTGGCAACTTGAGGTATTCATTTTAACACTAACTGTTGCCTGCAACCTTTTAAAATGCACCATCTGAGTTCCTTCAATAGAGTAACAAGATGCTCGTTCCTGACGGTGGAAGTGATTTACGTTTTGACAGTGAAGCCATCCATGCCGGAGACCACCGCTCTCGGGGCGGCGATGGCGGCGGGAGCAGCAGAGGGCGTGAGTGTGTGGAGCCTGAGCCCCGAGGACCTGAGCGCCGTCACCTCCGAGAAGTTTGAGCCTCAGATCAACCCCGACGGTACGGTGAGCCCCCCGCCGCCACCCGTCTGAACGCGTCCCTCCTCAGCCGCCGCTTGATGCGTCCTGTGTGTGTGTGTGTGTGTGTTGGCAGAGAGCGAGTTCCGGTACGCCCGGTGGAAGAGGGCGGTTCAGAAGTCCATGAACTGGGAGACGACGGAGCCAGTTGGAAACGGCAACGGTAGGAGGAGACGTTCCTCTGTCCTTTAAATCCGTAACGCTGCAGCTCTCACTTGTTGTTGTTGAGTCTTAACCTGCACGTAACGGGCGTTTATAATTTCATGTGACAATCTGCCTACATTGGTTACAATAACAGAACTGTGACACATCAGCATTGAGGCAGAAAGCATCTCCTGATGTGCATGTGTGACCGTATCTCTTAGTAGGTTTACAGTTTTGTTTATTTGTGTAATGGCTCTTCTGTGTCCGTGTAAAGGTGAGACGAGCATCTTCAGCAGCATCCCTCTGGGCTTCTACATCATGGGCAGCATGTTGATGTTAGTTGGTGCCAAATACCTCGCAGGTCAGCGCGGCTTCTTCTGTTGTGCACAAATACTCAAGCATTTTCGTAGCTGCGTTTGCACGTTGTTTCGTTAAAGTTAATCCCAATTCATTTCTGTGTATTGTGAAGCTTTTTAAATCGACCAGATGTTTGTGTCGTCAGGTCAGGACTAACTCCTGGAGGCAAAGAGGAACCGGACCAACGCTCCACGCTTTTGACGCTGAATCTGACCGAAGACCAGGACAACTTTGAACACACGGACTCTCTATTTTCTTTCCTCCTCTTCCGTACGTTTCTTTGCAACAGGTGTCGGTGCATTAGGTTGATTTTAGCAGGAGTTTGCATGGGGTATTTATTATTTCACTGTGTTGATAATATAAATGATCTTATTTATGCAGAAACTTCCCCAATGGGATTTACTTTTTTTTTTTTTTTTGAAGTGAAGATTGCAAACTTGTGTTGGATACTGTTCCAAACCAGAGCACTTTAATGTGTTGTCTTTGTGTGACGTGTGTACTAACAGACTTTAATGTACACACATATATTTTTGTTTCTATCATTTGAGATCAAGACAGAAATTTAGGTTTTTGTGAACATAACAGGGCAGATTTATTGGACTGAGGGTTTTCTTTGGAAAGGAAAGTGATTCTTTTGTACCAATAAGTCTGTTTTTAAACTGTCACAATGCGGTTTAAAACATGGCAGAGATGAATCAACATTAGTTCACAAAGAAAAATACCTATGAATCAACTCTAGAATTCAACCCTGATCATCAAATGACATCAGAAAAATGGCAGAACTTGTGTGTGTGTGTATATTTTTTGCAAAACGTGATACATTTTAGGGGCAGGCAAATGTTTTCTTGCAACTCTCGATACGCTTTATTGCGCTAAAATGTTCTGTGTTTTTAACTACTTAATAGACGGTTGGTGCAACGAGACAATTATGAAACAAATATTGAACTGATCCCCCTTCGCTTCATGTATGACAAGTCAAAGCGTGTTTACTCTGTTCTTCGGCGTGGATCTGATTTGATACCTGATAACAGGTGGAGGCACAAAGTGTATTTATTAACAAATGTGTTTTTCACTGTATGTTCATGACCTGATGGGGTTACATCACTTCATTCAAAGTGCTCTTTTGTGGTGTGACCACAAAGTACTTACAAATAATTACAAATGTAAAATAGTGGAAATCTTGTATTTCTTACTTGAATAAAATGAGGCAAACCCCTGAAGGCAAAGTGCTGCCGATGGGGCCTCCAACTGTGAACCCGAGTCCACACCTGCTCTCCTCGGTGGGAATGTGGAGGCGATGCGGGCGGCAGGTTGCCTCTGACTTGCAATGCGATAAAATGAGGAAACTGTGCTTGTGACAACGTGTCTCGTGGTGGGAAACCGGTTTTCTGGGAGCACGCGGGTTGCGAAGAACAAAGCCGTATCGTTCGGACTTGTGTGTTGCGTGGGCTGTTTTTAAAGATCAGCAAAAAAATGCATTTAAACGTCGTTGCGTGAGTCAACGACCGTACAAGTTATTCGAGTTCTATTCACCGGTTGGGTGATTTGCACTCGCTTCACCTGGACTGAAGCCAGGAACAAGCTGCCTTTCTCTGCAGGGGAACCCCCCCCCCCCCCTGCTATCATCTGTTATCTTTGTCCACTGCCAATGCAACTAATTCAATCGTTCCCTTTTACGTGCTTATCTGCTCCATGGATAGATGACTAAATACTCGATATGATGAGGCACGGTTTGAGTTGAGTTACTGATTGACCTGTTACTCTTCTCTCATTTGCATACGACCTGACTTTGATGTATATTCCAATACTGGTTGGAGACCCATCGCTAACCGGTCGACCAGGAAGTTGAGTCATTTGTGTGGCGGTTGTTCCTCGTTTGTGATCTCGCTGTAATAAGACGAAATTTGACTGGGCCGTTTCCGTTTCGTTGCTCTGCCACTTTACGTTCCAGGTGTGTGAGAGAAGGAAGAGCTTTGCTTATAAATGACTCATTGCACCTTTTGAAGCCAAGAGGGAACAGCGACCCGAGGAAGCCAGAATCTGCCGATGGGGTCCGACTTCAGGCAGGAGGATAAAGGTCAGTGTTCACGCTTTGTGATCGGAGGGAAATGGTTTTAAAATGCTGAAATTAAAACGGATCATTTTCTTGTTCCTGAACGTTTGATTCCACTTGTATTGTTTTGCCAGACTCACATTAAACTAACCCGACAATAACTTTGAGTGGTTTCAAGTTGTCATGACGCACATTAAGTCAACAAATGCTGTCTCTGCTCCGATGGACAAGAAGGCTTAGTGGCATTTGATTCTTCTTCATTTTACTCTGAAATCACCCTGTTGTGTTTGTGCCTGGCTGCTCATTTACCTCCAGTCACACATCCACTCTGGTACCGTCCTCAAGGAGCATTTCCATCATGTAGTATTCTTCATTTCACCTGGACCTTTGAACCCAGCTGGTGAAGGATCTTTATCCAACAACCAGCTTCACGTGTCCGCAGGCTTTCTGATCGCTGATCCCAGACCAGCAGAATACGTCCCAGCCGCACAGAAGAGGACCGTGAAAGAGCTGCTAACGATGAGACGGGTAAGACACAGGAATGTCAGAGAGGTCGAGAAGACGTTCAAAAGTCAAGTCCCCTTAAGTCAAACCAAATTACTCCCAACAAAGAAACAATCGTGACAAAAGCGACATGTGCAGTTTATTCTTAACCTGCATGTCAACTGCTTTCTGACGTTTGTAAACCAAATGATCGGATTTCTTCAAGTGTCTTTTCAGAGCAGTGGGCCTCGTTTATGATTCCCGATTATATGTTAATTATTTCTGCATAAACGTGTTGACCGATCTAGTTTTGTTAATGAGGAATGACTTGAGTTCCTAAAATATGAGGAAGGAGGAGTCGAGCATTCCTCTGCGAGCAGAAACCAAAAACATGAACGTCTTTCAGAGATGGAACTGCTCACAGGATGACCAGAATTCTGCATTCAAATATGCGAAATGTGAGAACCCTCACCTGCTGGGCCGCCCCGCGCCGCCGAACTCCCACCTCGCCCATCGCCTCTGCACCTCTGGCCCCGAAAACGGTCCGCATCAACATCCGGCCCCGCACGCACAAACGGCCCCGGAGTTCACCCTGTTCCACTGGCAAATCCAGCGGGAGATGCAGAAGGTCGGAGGACTTTCTCCTGAGCTGCTCGTCGTGCAGGACGCGGACGACGACACGTACGTTGGCGACGCAGGCGGCCCGAAAACGCGAATGAGATCCCCGAGCGGATCATAAAACCGCCGTTTCCTTTCCCGCCCCGACAGGTTCCTCCACATCGCGGTGGCTCAAGGTCGACGGGCCCTCGCTTACGCGCTGGCGGCGCACATGGCCCAGTGTGGCTCCCTGGACATGAAGGAGCACAACGGACAGGTACAGCAACACCGCAACGCCCCGACCGGTGAACGGGAAGCCTAAGAGGCCGTGAACCTCTGCTCTTCTGCGCAGACGGCTCTTCAGATTGCAGCCGCCACCGATCAGCACCTGATAGTCCGCGACCTGCTGACCCACGGGGCCCAGGTCAACGCCCGGGACTACTGGGGACGCTCTCCGTTGCACCTGTGCGCCGAGAAAGGACACCTTCTCAGCCTCCAGGTGAGATTCAACCGATGAGTCGCGGGGCAAGTACCTCGTCACACAGCACGTTGAACACGGAACACCGGGGTGTATTTCACAGAGCATCCGCAGGACCCTGATGGGGAGCGGCGAGCCCGTTGACGTCGAGATGTTCAACTACGACGGTGGGTTTCGTCTCGTGTGAGTGAAGCGCCGGCGTCACTCTCGCGTCCCCGTGATGACACGCCGCTCTCTCTCTCTCTCTCGGCAGGTCTGACCCCGCTGCATGCGGCGCTGTTGTCTCACAACGCCGCCGTTAAAGAGCTGAGGAGTCCCGCGGGTCTCTGCTCGCACCGGGCCCAGGAGCTGCTGCGGGGGAAGCAGACGTATTTTGAGTGCATCAGGACTCTGCTGCTCATGGGCGCTTCCTGCGGGGCGAAGGTGACGGTCGAGGGAGGGAGGGGGGGGGGGGTCGTGTTGCGTCGCCACGTGGGCCTCACCTCGCTCTCTCGTCTGCAGGATCTAAAAAGTGGACGGACGTGTCTCCACATGGCTTCCGAGGAGGCCAACGTCGAGCTGCTGCGCCTCTTCCTCGCGCAGCCGTCCTCGCCGGCGCTCGTCGACGCCCAGGCAAGTGGTCGAGTGGCGCGACAACGCGACAGCGTGAGCGTTGCACGTGTGAAGCTCTTCTGCATGTGTGTGTGTGTGTGTGTGTTTCAGACGTTCAGCGGGAACACGGCGCTGCACATCGTCTGCTCTTTGCAGAAGCGCGACGCTCAAGTGGAGGCCGCGAAGCTGCTGATGAGGAGCGGCGCCGACCCCGGCGCCCGGAACTTTGAGAACGAACTGCCGTGTCAGCTGGTGCCACAAGGACCCGCTGGTGAAAAGGTAGAGGAGGGAGGGAGGGGTTAAATTAATGATTGCTTCCCATCACGCTGCTGTAAACACTGTTACACAACCACATCCTTCTTGCATAAGCAGGAAGATGTGAAAATATTCAAACCGTAAAGCAGTGAAACAAGTTAATAACAAACATGTTGACGGGCTTCATGAGTTAATGTGCATGTCTGTTGAGAACCAGGTACTAGTGATGGTTTCTTTTTTTCAGGTGCGGAAGATCCTGAAGGGGAAATATTTGAATATTTGAAGAGCAGCTCAAAAACACTGTCAGTCAGACGGTCCAATCTATCATATTATTTGCCAACGCGGCAGATGCAGGTTGTTTCTGTGAAACATGTCATTGTTCATTACTACGTAATGTCCAAAGAAAAGTGGAAATCCTTTTGAGCCAACCTTTGTGTAATGGGAATTAAATTTATACGTTTGAGATTAAAATACATCTATTAATGCCGACGTGTTCTTTCATATTTATGCAGGATTAAATCGTGGGTTTACTTTAGTTTGAGGGCGTTTTACTGTTTTTCATTTCTGCATATATTGGTTTATTTTTTTCATCTTGAATTGAAAATGTTCGTACTTGTAAATACATTTACAGTTTTAAATATTGGAGGTAATTGTGTTTATTTACTATATGTGCATGGATTTTCCTTATGGTTGGATATTGTATTTGATGTAGAAAACATTGTGACAACACAAATGATTATTGTACATTACATCATAAGATAGTTTGAAGATATTTTGTTGTGAGTTGTTTAAATCTTTTGGTGGGGAATATGGAGTAAAAAGGATGTAGATTACAAAAAGAAGACATTTTACTGAGAAATATTTGTTGGACTTAAACTTAAAGGGAGGTGTTTCATTTGTTTTTTAGACCAACATACATGTTTTACGTTGTATTTTAATCTAAATGGCTCAAATGATCAATGTGAGAATTGTTTTCCTAATAAAGATTTTAGCGTTTTTTGTTGATTTTGCATAATTCAGTTTTGTTTTCATCACTGGTTCTCAACAGGATATTTAAAGGAGATCACATAGATTTTGGACATGTTGTGATAGATATCCAATAAGCTCAATATGCAACAGTTACAGTTAAAATGGCGTTATGAACGCCTTTAATGACATCACACTTAATGATTATTCCCCTTGAAATTATTGTCAGTAGATCATGATGGACGTTGTACAGTAACCCTTCATAAACATGCTCAAGTACTCGTGTCAGAAACGGTTATAAATAATGAAATAATAAGACCCCCTGGTGGTGTAATGACGTCACTATTTAGCGCGGGTTGATGACGCGTCCAAGATGGCCGACAAGCACCTGAGCTGTAACTTCCGCCGGGAGAAAGGAGACCGACGGCGGACGCTGCTGGTGAGTTATGACGTCACATTTAATGGCTTAACAGCTGAATATAAGAAATAACAGGATGTCCTGTTATATCATCAAGTTATGAACTGATTGATTTCTAATCCCAAAGTTGGACTCTGTTGCTCACATTAGCCGCTTGTTGGGTAACTGGACGCATTGTGGTTCACTTGCTTTATAACAAAATATTTCATAAATCAAACTACGTTTTCTGTAGTTTCTCTCCATCCTTAAAGAGATTCATTTCCTTGTGTTGAACACTAGGTGGCGCCCTCCGTCTATCACATGGAATGATGCTGCTGTGCCCGTTTAAATGATTCTTTTGTCAGTGTTTTTTATATTTTAACGATTGTGTGTCTTTAAAATGTTTTTTTGTTGGAAAATGTTGGAGGAGCAGCTGCAAAACAACGAGGTTGAAGACTAAATTAACAGAGTGTGGAAACCTAAGTGAACCTAAAATATAGATGATTATTTTATTTTGTTTAGCCTTTTATTCAGTCGATGGTGTAGAGAGGATTCAGGGCAGTTACAATATACATATAATTACTTCTTTATTTTGAAATCGGGAACCGAGCCTCTTGAAGCTTGTGTCTAAATGTCTCGTGTTCGTTGTACTGAATGATCAGAGACACTTGAAGGTCCTGGAGGAGACATTAGTTGTCCAATAAATTATTACTAGTAGCGGTTATTATAGTACAGTATTCCATAAAAAGCTCCTGAAAGCCTCAAGTCATCAAAAACCTGGTCTGGTATGCCGTTAAAAAGTAATAAATAAGTATAAAAAGCCAATGACGTATCACACTGTTATGCCTACAAACATCATAAAAATATGTATATAATATAATAATGTTTTAAAAAACATTCTAGTATTTTATTAATATCATGAAAACGTCCTTGTCGAGTTTAACAGATTGTATCTTTAACATTGTTTTTATCAGTCATATTATTGTTTGCCATAAAATGTACTAATATAGTTTGTGTTCAGTCATGACAACTTGTTGTATTTGTTGTAGTATTCATACAAGTATGTGAATTTGATCCATTTTCTAACGTGGTGCTTGTCTTCTCTCCACACGAGGGCGCAGTTTCCAGACTTGAGGACGACGGGTTTCTTCTCCTGCTCTGTAGTTACTCTGAGAAGTAACTTTAACGGGGGAGGGAGGGTTACATTTTTAGTAAAATAGACCTTTGCATAACCGGCCAGCGTGTGTCTCATTGAAAGCCGGGAGGAGACAGACGTCTCTACTCTACCAGGGCGACGCACACTGATGTCCTCTCTGCAGTGGGGATCGAACCCGGGCTGATGCCACTCAAATTGGGGACAGCGTAACCACGCCACCATGTCATTCACCCCCACACATGTTCCTCTGTTGCCTTTGACTTCTTCTTCTTCTTTGGCTGAATGACCTCAAAAATCGCTGCCCTGCGTAAGACGAGAACCCACAACCTCATGTTCACTGGGCAGTCATCTTCAGCTATCTGCTGGGACACGTGTCTCTGCTTCATTGCGGACTAGTCTTCTTCGTTTTGGATCTTAAAAGTCACCACAGCACATGAGGATTGAACCCACAACCTCCTGCATCCTAAGTGTTCTATTACCACAATGAGCTAACTGATCTGATGCTGCGTTCCTTCTATGGTTGTCTCCTTTCTTTGGGCCTTGAACACATAACGTCTGGACTCCAGACTATTCATTTATCACTCTGAGCCACCTAATTTGTTCCACCTAACAGTGTTTTACAACATATGATCAAATCACACATTTATCTAGAATATTTGCAGATCTGACAGCAGGAACCAAACATCACATTTCACAGTGCCTCAGAAGTGAACCCAGAACCTGCAGAGGGCTGAATAGATCGAGGACCTCTATCTACCATCTCAGTACAGTCACAGGTCCTGTGAACCTTAGAAACACTTTTGAGGTTTAGTCAGCAATCGCAAGGTCTAATACAAGACATTATGAGGCATGTGGCTTAATAGCACAAGAGAACCGCTTAAGGGCTGCAGGCTCCAACCTGATGTTGTGGGTTCATGCTGATGTGCCTTATGCTTTGAAACAGTTTGGGCTTTGTGTGATGAGGTGGCGCAGCTGAATAGATGTTGACTCTAACCTGTTTGTGTAGGTTGTGGGTTCAAGCCCACTCATGGAAACTAGTCTTTGCTCTTTAAAAGAGTTTTGAGGTTCAACTCACATTCTCAAGGTTAAATAGGAGAAACAAACAGCAGATTACTGTGTGGTGAGGTAGCACAGCTGGAAAACTGAAGCGCTGCTGACTCTAACCTGCACTTGTGGGTTCAAGCCCAGCAGTTAAGTCTAAACATTTGAAATAGTTTTGAGGTTTAACTCATATTCTCAAGGTTAAATAGGATAAACAAAGTTTCCCAAATGTGAGCAGGACTGGTGGCGTAGTGGTGAGTGCAGTGGCCAAAACCTCTGTAACTGCTAGTGGGTTCAAATCCCACTGCTGCCAGGTCTTGAGTGCACTGCCGCGGAGGTAGTAGTGGGGGCTTTGTCCCCACTGGTTGTTTCAGAGAAGTGGACTGAAGGGTTATGCAAAAACACAAGGGGATGTGACTGGAGTCCCTTAATTGCTAATTAGCATCACTGCTGTTGCTTTATACTGAATTTGAAGTCCTCTGTGAACGACAAATGAAATGTGTAAATGGGCAGTAACGTCAGCTTCAAGGTCCACATCTACCACAGGTCATCAGTTTGTGAGCTGGCAGGACCTTCATAACAAACCTGAGATAAAGTTGTGCATCAAAATATTTTGAAAGCAAAAGTGTATGTAGGGTCACAAAATGTCATGAAAAATAATTAAAAAAAGATATGTCAAAAATATTTTGAAAAAAGTAAAGAAACAGGTCAAAAAACGTCATTGAAAAAACCCAGAGGCCCATCAGGAAATACTTAAATGTACAATGACAGCGCTTCAGTTTGGTCAATGGATAGTTTGATGGAAGATGTATTCAATCCTCCATCAAAAATATAAATTATTTTATTGGGAGTCATTTACTGAGACTTCAATATTTATCTGCTAAATCGTTCATTTAACCATTTGTAACTTTGACATTAAGCATGTTTATGGATGAGACGGTAACGTAACAGAAAACTAAAAAGATTGTCAACAATATTTAGATATTCTTGTATGCTGATATACTGTAGCTCTATCTTACCTTTGCACAAAGATGATTTGACGGACAGATTACATCTAAAGGGAACTCTGATACAACTGTTCAAATGCTACGACAAAAAAAATGTTCTTGTACTTCTTGGAAAAGCCTTAAAACCTTGAAATGTATGTTGCGGTGTGGCGTCTATGGACTTGATAGGTGTGAAATAGAGTAGAAAAGGAAACCGATAATTGCCCAGGTCGGCACCGATAGTGTCTTAAGCTAGAAAAAGGACTAATGTGCTCTTAATTAAGAATGCGTTTTGAAGATTTGTTGAATAAACTGCGTTAAGACACCTCCACTGACGTATTATTTACTCACCACAAGTGAAAACCTTACACAGGCTCTATGGACCCACATTTCAGTGCGAATTAACATCGATGTTGTTAATAGTAACGGCGCAAAACCCAGCGTCAAACAACTCACGCACGTCAGGAATCAAAGTGTTAAATGGCTTTTATTAAATATACTAAATAAATGGAGGGATATAGTCATGAGGTAATATGGAGAAAGTCGTTTTTATTAGAATGTTTCAGTCATTTAGTCCGTCACAGTAACAAAAGTGTCTGGGTTTGGTGAAACGTGCCATGGTGACGGTCATTTGAGAATAATATTACAAAGCAGGGTGCTACATGGGGACGTGTACACCTGTGAAAGCTCTCCTTACATCCAGAAGCCAGAAATGTGAGAGAAAGTGCCAACATTAGTGAATAGAACATACAAATATCAGATTCATACAAAGTGCAACAGGAACGGATCCTTTTTAGGGCATTTTACTATTTTAAAGTGTTAATATGCAGTTTATATCGGAACACAAATTTGTAAACAGTCAGACATGTTACTTTTGGTCACATTTAAAATTCAATTATATATAATTAGCACAATTAATATTTAGCTTTGTACACAAATACGTACTTTAATGTCTCGTAAAACGGACCCCCAAATGTGCCCAAATGGACAGAAAACTATCCATCGTTAGCAGCATCACAGGGAAACGAAACAAACACCTGATTAGTTTAAAAATGTCATTTAAAATGTATAAATACACACAGTACTGTGAAGCTTTCCTAATAACAACCAGCAGCAGTCTTTAGCAGTTTAGTATTACTAGCACCCCACAGCCAGAGGCTTATTGCACCGGGGCAACAGGGAACAACTCCCTCTTGGCACAGACCAGTCCGACAGGGACGAGCTGTCAATCATCACGACCCGCCTTCCCCGAAGAAGCTCTGCATAGAATCGAACGGATGCCCTTTGAGTGACGTTGGGATGTTCTATGCAGAGTGAAGGTTTTACGGCGGTGTGTGTGTGTGTGTGTGTGTGTGTGTGTGGGGGGGGGGGTCACCCCAGCCAGCGGGGTCGCCACTGCACCAGTCACCCATTCATCAGTAGCAGCCGTCTCTCCAGCTGCTGTCCCGCAGGGCACTGAGGGTGGAGAAGCTCTTTGGGGGCGTCAGTAAGCTGAGGAAATAAAATAAAACCTAAAATCACCCGTCACGAAACAAAAAAAAGAACATTTTCTCATTTGACAATATTAATATTAACGGAGGATGTTTACCTCCGCGGCGGTTGCCCCAGCTTGCCCAGGGGGGTGGAGCTCTGGGGGCAAAAGAGTGAGGCGGGGCGGGGCAGGCCGCTGCGGGGCGTGTTTGGGGCGGAGCCCGCCGCCGCCGCCCCACCCAGAGTTTTACCGAGCACCGGAATGCCACTGCTGCCCAGATTGAAACAGTCGGGGGAGGCGGCGGCGGCCTTGACGGTGGGACTGACGTAGGCCGTGGCCTTCGCCGGCCGCCGCGACAACGAGGGGAAGTTCCCCCACGCTGTGGACCCGGTGCTGCAGCTGGCCTGGGGAGGGGACTGACAAAAAGATGGCGTTCAGACCGGTTGGCCGCGCGGCGTCGGGCGACCACGAGGCTCGAGGGAGAATCTTACTGGAGGAGTGCAGGCGAGCCAGCGCGCCGCACGAGTCAAAGCTCTGGCTGTTACGGAGCAGAGAGGGGGAGGCACCGGGAGGGGTTGGCCCGGGCACGCAGGGCATGCTGGGAGCTCTGACGAGGTTGGGCATGCTCCTCCGCAGCTTGGCTGACCGACAAGGAAAAACAATCAGGGTTCAAATCGAGAGCATCGTGCCGAGCGGAACGTTACGGACACGCCGAAGAACAGAGGACGAACAAGCGTACGGCACCATGAGGCGCCACCGCCGCCCCCCAGTCAGACAGACACTAACCCTGATCCCATCAAACTCTCAAACACACGCCAGTCGGAGGCTTTAGGGTTGCACAAGAGGCTTAGACGGTTACTAAGAGGACGCAGTGGGGGAAGGCGGCAATGACCGTAAAATGAAATAAATGACAAAGAACTTCAATGGGAATTAAGATGGTTACTAGGACATGATACATGTTTGAGGTCAAGACTTTTTGGTGAATAATGTCCACTTACGGTCAGATTCGGCTGGATGTTTCCCCCCCAACACACACAGCGACAGAGATATTCGATTAGTGCTACTGACCGTCAGCGTGTTTCTTCTTCTCTTTCATAACACAAAAAAATATCAAAGACGAATCTGAATTCATTCCACTTTTACAATGTTCAGACGCTTTTTAGCCGGCCGCTAAGCGCTACATCAGCGGGCGGTGCACGGGGGGGGGTTGGAAAGCGGCTCTCCCCTCACCTGACCCGGGCCTGAAGCCGAGCCGCTCGGCCGCGCAGAGGCCTCCCACTCTCGACCCTGGTCCCGGCGTCGGGGGCGGAGCTTGGAGGGCGAACCCTGCGGAGGGGCACGGCGGCGTGCTGCACGGGGCGGAGGGCGGGGTTGACAGCGAGCCGGTGCTTCTTCGCCAGTCCCGCATGCTGGCGAAGGTGCGGGAGTGCGGCAGGCGGGTGAGGCGCGGCTGCGGCGGCGGCAGGAGGCCGTAGTCTCCGTCGTCCTCCTCCTCCTCCTCCTCCTCGTCTTCCTCGCCCGGGTCGCGGCCGGCGCTGAGCTGGAAGGTGAAGCTCTGGCTGCGGCGGTTGGCCAGCAGGGACGACGTGCAGGCGTAGTCCTGCCTTAGACCTGGGGGAGCGAGACATAAGGACCAGCGCACAGACACACACACACACACACACACACACACACACACACACACACACACACACACACACACACACACACACACACACACACACACACACACAATCATCACCTTTTGGGGTTAATGAAGCTGAAGTAGCGATGAGCTCTGAGGTCTGTTGCCATATGTTACAGTATTAGAAAAGGCGGGAGGGGGAGAGACGGGTGGACAGAAGAAGACAGTTGGTACCCACAGAAGAAACATCACACAGTTCTTTTCTAGACTGCCTGCGAAGAACCTACTCTCCTCCTGCAGGCGGGCCATGACCTGGACGTCGGTGAGGTCCTGCAGCTTGTATCCCAGAGCGATGGAGTCGTCGTCCTCCTCCAGCCCAGAAGAGCTGAGGTCCCCGTCCACGGAGGCCTGGGCTCTGAGGGCGGAGCGCCGGACGCCTGCAAAAAACAAGCAAACCCTGTGACGACTCAGTCTTTCCTTCATTCGTCTGGACATCGGTTTGATGATGTGGAGGGCGAGAAGGCGAGGCTTACCGCGGTAGGCGGGGACGAACGCGGGGGTCCTCTCTGACGCGGGGGGGAGATCCTTCCCCACAGGACTCAGCGCCCGATGGAGGCCAGGGTGGAGCGGGGAGGAGAAGGACGGAGCTGCGAAGGCAGCGAGAAACCGGAGGATCAATAACGTGAATATTTGTCAGAGCCGCTTCAGCATCGGAGGCAAAGCGTAGAGTTACCGCGTCGCTCCGCCGACTGGGGGGTGGAGCAGGGTTTGGACGGAGTGGAAGAACTGATGGGGGCCACTCGTCTCAAAGGAGGTACAGGGGAGGAGGTGGAAAAGGGGCTGGACAAAGAGCTACGCCACCTGGAGACTGAGGAAGCAGAGGGGACATTCACACCGAGCGGTTAGAAACATCTGGTTTATGTGGATTACAAAAGGGCCCCGAACACACGTCCCCATGGAGCGACTACATTTCCCATAAACCACCTTCCTCCCCCAAGAGAATCGCTCTTGGTTAAAGCAGGAAGGCTCATTTCTGGCAGAATGCGGTTGCACGAAACCAAATGTTATTTTTCTTTTCCCTGTAATGTAGAAAATGAACGGAGGCGAGAGTCACGCGAGTAAACCATTCACACGGTCACACGCATTAACGTCCCAACATGCCCAGTGCGGGGAGCCTCTCTGGGGGAGGGTTTCCTCACCAGCCGCGTGACTGTCACCAACGGCTCCATTCAAGAGCGCCGCACAAAAGAACAACGCCGCATTGAACTCAGAGCGACCCGCTAACTCGCTGCAGGCGTACCTGCTGCAGAGCCACACACACACACACACACACACACACAACTATTCTGAAGCACCTGCGATATGAATCTCAGGGAATAAAAAAGGTGCATTAAAAAAAACTGCTCTTTTTAAAGTGCTTTTATAGGAACATTCCCTCGGCTACCTGTGTGAATATAAGCCACTTACAGCAAAAACAAGGAGGGAGGGGTTGCATTCCTGTCATGTAAACAGTTTCCATGACAACGGCCTTTCCTTAGCTCACGGGGTAAGAGCTGTTGAAGAGCGATAGCATGTAGCTGTTAGCATGGTGGGGAGGGGGGGGAGACAAACGCAGGCGTTCTAACAGATTAAGTATTTATTGAACCACCGGGACACATTTCATGAAAGGAGAGTTTGGCCACATCTTTAAGTGAGAGTGGTCCAGCACCACCTCCACCAACTCCACCTTGATGCTGAGCTGCATGTTCAGCTGAAGCAGCATCTGTTCACACATCACATGCAGCCCTCCACCCACGGGCTGGAGCCTCCACCCACACACACAACATCAGATTCCGGGTCGGTCATCGATAAGCTCCAGAGATGAAATCTATTTTTATTCAAGGCCCATCGGCGGAGCGTGCGGTAACCATGACGACACTGAACGCTGATTCACAGGCCTTTGAGGATATTGCCGGGTTGAACCGCGGCGGCAGGCGGATTCTCCAGAGCTCAGCGCCACAGCTCTGCTCCTTCCTCTTCCTCCTCTGTGGTGCAGGACGCGATGAAGGTAATCACGCATGTCAGGTGACCCCGGCCTGATCCGCTTAGCGCTGCTGGAAGTGGACCGATTGCTGTCTGGAAGGTGGAGGATCCCGCTGAGTGCTTAGTGGCAGTGAGGTGAGCTGCATTTACAGCTACACTCCAATACATCCATCTGAATCCTGCATTTCTTATTCGAGGAGGCAGAGAAACTCCTTCATCCTTCATCCCTCAAACAGCCGCCGGATCTGCACACCTTCGAACCGAGACACCTGCGTCTGCAATGCATTCTGGTCCATTAAGGCCAGAATGCTACTGGAGAGGCGAGTCAAAGAAGAGGCCTCCTGCCCTATAAACCAGCCCCGACACACAAAGCGAGGTGATGCTCTTCACAGTCTGGTACCAAATCAAATAAAAAGAACAAGCAGGTGCGATGTCCCTCACTGAGCCGTCAGAGGACGCCCAACCCCACCCGTCCAGAGACGGTCCCCGTCGAACAAGCAGCCCGGGGTCCCGTACCTTGCTCCAGGCGGAGGGACAGCGATCTTCTGGCGGCCTCCACCTCTGACTCGGGGCAGCGCAGCCCCCGCCGGCACCACTGCAGGGGGGTGACGGAGCCGTCCCTGGGCTCTCTGGCTTTTGATGACACGTATAACCTGGAAGGAGACACAGTCTGAACTGAATCACAGATCACAAGCGTCACTGACATCAGACCTGAAGGGACACGCAGACCCCCCCCCCCCAGACACGCAACGTGGATCCTCCAAACTAAAGAATCGCTCACCGTTTACACCTCGCAGGCGACTTTGACCTCATATGTGTGACGTCACCCTCACTTATACCAATGGGGTGGGCAAGATGTTACAACCCCCCCTGAGTGCAGTGCTACAGCCTCCAAAAAGGCCACGAGGCGGAATAAACACCTTAAAAGCAGTTACAATAAACATAAATGTAGGAATTTATTGCAGGACTTTGAGAGTAAATGTCAGCACATCAGCACCAGTCTTCACTTCATTTATACAGAGATGTTTGCAACAGGTTAATCCGTTAAAAGAGATTCTTCATCTTCTAAATGCAACCTCACTGATTAAGCAAAGAAGATACATTAATGGGACCAAAAGCAAAGGCGGTTGGTTTGTTTCGGTGAGTCACGTGACACCACTTCAGCTACTGGTTCTGATCGGATGTCTTTGCAACAACCTAAAATGGGTCTCAATTCAGTGGAAGAAGACTGTTTCAGGTAATAGCATTTAGGAAATGCAAAGAGGAACTGGTGAAAATGGTGGAAGAACATTCTGATGAGATGTTGCCGCACCGATAACAGGCACCTCGCATCCAGACACAATGAGGCAACCGCGCGCACTGACGAGGACGAGCCCCCGGGATTTAACGCAACCCATGGAAAGAATCAGACAGTCACCAGTGTCCGCCGGATCGTCCCGGCAGCGCAGACGATCGAAGTCCAAAAGTCCGGTTATCCAGAACCGACGGGTCGGAGCCCCCCTGTCCTCCTCCTCTCCCTCAGGGCGTCCTTCCCGCTTGTGTGGGGGGGGAAACAGCCGAAAGGCTCCTCCGGGGGCGACACTGACCCGCAGGACGGCGGGGGGCTGTGGAGACGGGACCCGCCCGGGTCGCGGAACCCGCCGGGCGGGCCGGCGCGCGTCCTCAGCTGCGCGTTCTGCCGCTCGAGCTTCCGGACCAGCTGCTGCAGCTTCTTCACCTCCAACTCGGCGTTCACGGTGTTGCCGTTGCGGTCCACCTGCGGCATCGCGGCGCGGCTCAGCACCGCGGCCTCCATTGGACCGGGACACCGGTAACAAAGCCGCGACCTCGCGGGGGGGCGGCGCGTCGAGATGCTGCTGCTGCTGCTGCGGCAGCGGAGATCATCACCCGCGCACTGAGCGCTATTCCGGTTGTATTCTCGTACGCGTGTCTGGACTCCTCCCCCCCTCCACGCCCCGCCCCCGCCTACGTCACCCACCGCAGGTACGCGTCGCACCTGCCAGTACATCAATCGGTGTTCGATACCTAAAATAAGACCCACAAAACCTGTTTTATCGTTTTAATCTTACACCGTTTAACACGTTGCTCGTGTTTTGTAGCAGAGGAACCGCACAGAGCATCGTGACCCATTTATCAGATCAATTAACGATCTGATCGCTCTGAACTGATACTTATAGATCAGCATAATCTCACCGTGTGTATTTGGTGACATCTTGTGGCTGAGGCCGGTTATGACGCCTTGTTATTTACCTGCAGCCAAGGGAGGAATAATCACTGAAAAACTAGATTTATAATCAATTGATTTTACCAATTGATGGTTTTAAGTGTTGGAAATGAACTGAAATGAATCACCAAGTCCAAAACATTTTGCCACATGTGTAAGATGAACATAAAATGATTATACATGACAAACACAAGCAGAGAAAATAAGAGACTACAACCAAGAGACCATGCTTAAATAAATGGATACACATAAAAGGTTCTTTAATATCTTGATGAACATATTTATCTTGTGCCTTGACGCACACTTCCACCTGGTGGCCGGAGGGCTCTCTGCAGCTCGCTCAGTCAGCATATTGATCAAGTTCTCCTTCTTCCACGAGCTTAAAAAAACCAAGGTGACGGCTTCTGGGAAACGGATCGCTTTAGCTGAGGAAACATTAACACCAAGAGTCTGTATGTTTCACATTAACAGTTCCGTGGAGGTGGTTTCTCCTCCTCAGCGTTTCTTCCAGGTGAATTTCCTCCGGGCCCCCTCCTGCCCCGGCTTCTTCCTCTCCCTCACTCTGGGGTCGGGGGTCAGCAGACCAGCTGGAGGTTCACATTTAGAGGATGAAATCATGAGACAAAGGGCACCTGCTGCAAAGGGAGGAACTATGTATGCTCTGCTGTGGGAAATGAATACAAATCAGAACTAGAATCAGGTAAAAGGACCTTGTCTCATGGTCTCCCCGTCCCCCTCGGACAGGAAGCCGAGCAGCGCGCGGGACACGGCGAGCCGCAGCGCCCCCGCCTGGCTGGATCGCCCGCCGCCGCTCACCGTGCACTCCAGGTCGAAGCGCCCCAGCACGCCCATGAACTGCAGCGGGAACATCAGCTGCTCTCTGAGAGGGGGGGTGATAAAGAGCGCGTGCTATTTAACAGATAGCGGTATCGCAGGCTTCGCCAATTCAAGGTCTGGTTGGGTGACTTTTTTAGACAAGCAGAGAAAAGCTTTCTTCTACAATCTCACCACCACATATTACAGCGTAACTTCTGACTCAGCAGCAGCAGCAGGAGGATGTGTGTGTTTGTATTGTGTGTATTGTGTGTGTTCTGGATGGCGTCGCAGGCTGAATGCCCTATGGCTGCTGACAAAGTCAATTGTCACCTCTCTGCTCCAATTACAGCTCGTCCTCACACTGCGTGACAACACCAGCTCTGGACATTCTCACACACTCACACACACACAGTCACTCAACTGTGTAATTAACTTACTAATGCGATAAGGAAAAAAAGGTGATGCTGTGAGGAGTGAAAAGGCTGCTTTTTAATGTTTTTTTGAGGGGGGGGGGGCGGCATCTCGTCTTTGCATTTTAAGGCTTGCAGGCATGAGGAGGCGGAGAAACTAACCCGCTTCCTCTGTTCACGGAGGGTTGGGGGGGGGGGGGGGGCGCGGGCTCTCACCTGTCTTGTCGGACGGGGAAATAATGCAGGTAGTCCCTGCCGTTGAAGGAAATGCGTCCCGCGCCCCAATCTCTGAAGACCAACGAGGAGGGCGACGTCCTTCCTCCCAACCTGATGAGATGGGGGTTGGGGGGGGTTTCCCCTTTAACGATGGACTAACGCAAAAAACTTCAACATGATCCTACCCGGCGTTCCCATCGGTGGGGCATCTAACGGCTTCGGGGCTGTAGGCCACGCCCCTTTCGTCTCGCTCCACTGTCGGCACCGCCTGCCTCTTGGAGAGGGACTCCAGTTGCCGGCGGTAACGCTGGACAAAGTCCTCCTCCGTGGCGCAGCAGGGCATGGACAGCAAGCGCTCCATCAGCTGGATGAAGCGATCGTACTGAAGGGAACAAGCAGAGAGTTTTAGGAGAAGACCAAAGACTCTGAGAAGAGGCGAGAGGAGAAGCGCAGAGCTCACGTCGTGGGTGGAGATGGTCTCCACCAGCAGCGCCTCCAGCTCCTCCTTGGACAGCCACCTACTCGTTCCCAGGGAGCTGATGGAGACACAAGGAGCGTTCAGCTACACCCTGAGACATGCTGCAGACAGAGAGGTGGCGGTGCGTCCTGCTCACATGGGCTTGGTGTCCTTGGAGAAGAGCCCCTTGGCTCTCAGGCGGTCTTGGTACTTCTCGATCTTCTGGGTCTTTCCGTAGAGTTCCTGTAAAAGAGACACTTTTTATTTCTCTAGGCTTTTCATGTTTTTATGAAACAAAACCTATTGAAATGTTTTCCATGAAATGTTCCTTTCATGTTCTCCAGTTGAAGTTTGATTTATTCTGCTTCCTGCAGTAGTTGCACTTATAAAGCAGCGGAAATTATTTCTTTGCATTTTTACAAAATCTTATATTTTTTATTAGACAAAGCTGAATAAAAGTAATAGAGATGATCTAGGATCAATAGACTTTTAGGTCCTCTAGTATCTTTATGTATTGTAAACGAGATCCGGCGTATCAAATGTCTTCAGTGTGTTTTCATTCACTTGCAGCACCTGAAACAAAAGGAGCGACGGTCGCACTCGTCATTAGATCACTCATCGGGAACCCCCCCCCCCCCCCAGGGGCAGTGTGTCACAGCGATGGGCGCACACAGGCAGACTGATGGAGGGGGGAGGGGGGCGGGCGTCCCGGCCACGTCCCCGAGGCAGACCCCCCCCCTCCCCGGTGCCTGAGTGAGAACTCATTTCCCCGTCAATTATCCACCAGATGTTTGTTTAATTCCTTCTTGATAGAGTGTGTCTAATCCGCTGCCACTCCGACCAGCGGCAGAGGGGCACCGGAGGGCTGGAAGGAGGGGTAGGGGGGGGGGGGGGGCAAACACCGGGAACAGCAATAACTTCTCTGATTGGCCGGATGAAAGAAGAGGATCTCGAGACATTTATGCCGAGGCTCATTTCTTTCCATTCAATAAGTCTTTATATTCTTTTAGGTTCAAAGCTTTGGCTGAGAGGACGAAGCTCTTTTTATATGGCCGGGGTTGAAGGAGAACGGGAGGTGGGGGGGGGGCAGAGGGTGAAGAGGAGGTGAGGTGCAAGAAAAAAGAGAGGAAAAAACGTGCAATCCTGCAGAATGAGCTCTCATGTCGGACGCACCTATGTAACAGCAGAGGGGGGGCTTCATGGCACAATGGGGTGTGTGTGTGTGTGTGTGTGTGTGAGAGAGAGCATGGGACCTGCTGTGTCTCACAAACAGTCGCCTGTCAAACGTCTTTAAACAAGGTCAACAACAAAAGGCAAAGGAGGAATTTTTCTCAATTTTAAAAAGCAACAAGAAATGCAAACGACAGCATCATGGTGTTCATCTATATTGTTCATTAACATATTTTTAAGCATAATGCATTTCCTTATTTAAATTCATCGAGGATCTCTCTGTCTTTTAACCCTTTGAATGTTTACATACGACTTTAAAACTAAACATGATTAGTAAATAGTTTATTGTCAGTGGATCATTTGGCTCGGACTTAACAAAAGATGATCTGCTAAATTTGGCCAATAACACCGTGGGATGTCAGGCCTGATTTCAGAAAGGATGGATGGAGATTCACCTCCACGTCACGGTACTCACATGCATCAGCGAGAAGTACGACTGTTTGCCGGTGTAGAACAGGAAGTGGAACGGCCGCCGGTCGGCACCCCATTGGACGGCTTCAAGGAAGGGAAGCCAATCAGATTACAGGACACTTTCACTCACGTAAACATTGATGAAGCGCACATTACATACCTCTCTGCTGAGGAAATATCTCCTCTGGATGCTGGAAGTAAAATCAGAAGACAAGTCACAAGAGGAACGACAGAAAGAAACACTGAAAAGTACCAAGAGAGAATAACAATAAGTTGATTTGTCTGCCAGACGGTCAGTCCAGCTAAAGTTTTATGGATCTTTTGTTAGTAACTTCTTTATTTGTAGAATAAAAACGTTGACAGACATTGGCTTGAATTTGACTCCCAGTAAGAAAGTGATGCAATCTCAGAACTGTCGGCCTCACACAACATAAGTGAAGCTCGCCGTACCTTCATGAGGGGCCGGGCTCGCTTCTCAAACAGGCCGGAGGGGAAGAGGTACGCGATGCTCCTCTGAGGGGGGACGAAGGAGATCATTAACAAACGGATAAGCAACCGGAACAGAAAAGGCTGTTTGAGAGATGACAGATCTCCAAACAACGGAGGTCACACCAAGCGACGACAGCGAGAGGCGGCGCAAGCTGCTCGCGGGTTCAAGAAAAGGCGAGCGTGGTGTGTGTGTGTGTGTGTGTGTGACTGTAGAGTTAGGGGAGAAAACAAGCAGAAAAAGGCACAAGTTTCTGGCTTAGTTGACAGTGAGCAGAGGACACTGGACATCTAACAGTTCACTCCAAGTTCATCCTGTGTGTGTGTGTGTTGTTAGCAGGGCTGCAGATGGCACTGTAAGTGTGTGTGTGTGTGTGTGTGTGTGTGTGTGTGTGAGAGAGAGAGACACAAAGTGTGTCAGCCCCTCCACACTCATCAAGACAGTCTGTTCATCTTTCCCCTTCCTCCATCTCTCTGTCGTTTCAATTAGTGAGGCAGCAGGTGCTGCACGGAGGGAACAGGTTGCTGCCTTTAAGGTTGTCAAAACGACAGAAAGCGGGAAGAAAGGGGCTGCTCGGTGTGGGGGACGGGGGGGGGGGGAGACAGGAAGAGAAGTTAAAGGGTAAAAAGAAAAGAGGAATAAAGGGGAGAGACAGGCAGAGAGAGCAGGGACAAATGAAGACATGACCCTGTGTGTCCCCTGAGCTCGGCACAATATGCCAGAGACCCCGAGTGGGCGACGTCGGAGTCTGACCGTCACCGCGGCAACGAGCAGTAAACCAGCGGTAAAATCAATCATGTCGTATGTTTAAACCCGTAGACAAAATCAAAGTCTGATGCCGAAGCAAAGTGACAAACAAATGTATCAGAAACCGAACAAAGCTGCAAATGCTATTTTTGATTTAATTATTTGACTTACTGACAGTTCATTTTCTTGTAATCAATAATGAAATAATTGTTGTAGGGGTTTTGGGCTTAAACAATTGGGCTCTGGGGAAATCAGTACAGTAATTAAAAAAACTATTTTCTAACGTTTTATTGACGAAACAAATGATAAATGACTAATTTATGACGACAACCTTCAGTTCCATTCTTATTTTCATGGTTTCTCTCTTGGGTCCGACACAATGATAATAGCTAAAGAGTCCCTGTCAACTTTACACTTTACAAAATGTAGAGAAAAGGGCAAATATGTTCATTTCCACAAATTTCCTTTTTGCATCGACGTTAAGCAAACCAAAACTTTTCATTTTCTGCCTTAAACAGGCCATAAATATTGAATGAATTATCAACATGGCGGTCACCCAAAAAGGGAAAATGAGCTCAAAAAGATGAATGTGTGGCTTGTCATGGACCAGCAGCCCTGTGAACATCTCTTGGCTCTTCACACCCCCCCCCGTTCTCTCTCCCTCCACGCGACCCGGCTCGGGCTGCCAGCCGTCGCTTCGGCTTTCACGGCCCAAAGCCAACAGCTCTGTTCATTACGCGTGAGGGGCACCGGGGACCGGCTGAGGGGAAGTGGGAAATCACGCTAAATGGCTGCAGCGGTGAGCGCTCGCGTGTTGCCAAAAAACCCGGAATAAGCATGTGTGTGAAGGCGTTGCTAATATCCCTGATGCAGGTGGAGCAACAACGACGAGGAGCAGGATGATGTGAAGAGACAGAAAAGCTTTAAAAACACAACTTTCCAGCAGCTTTCTTTGATGCTTCAAAGGCTTTGTGGCTTTTAAATCTGAAAGTCCACTAAGAGAAGTGTACACATATTTTGCCTGCCTGTACACAGCCACCTTTATAATGTAACATCCGGTATGAACAGCTTGTTCAAACTACTACAAGGCCAGAAAAAGACACAGTTGTACTGAGTTGGACTTAATTAAAGTAAGAAAATCTTAGAACCCTTAAACATCTGTTAAAGTGCTGTTATGTATCACATTTAATTTCCCCACTTCCTAACGTATAATTACATTATTAAGAGAAGCAGCAAGAAAAACTGAAAACAAAAGATAGATCATGGATGTTTCTTATCGAATAGCTATTTTAAGCTTTTTTTGTTCCTTAAGCCCAGCGGTTTGAAACACACTTTGGAACAAATAGAAAATGAACATAAAATGGTGACCCTTCAGAATTTACAATAACTTACACTGACTTTAAAGTTACTTGAGAAAAATGAACTGAAGGTAACGCACCCGGTCCGTGGGACTCGTCAATACATCATATGAATGTGATTAGAGAATATATACTCCATTGACATCTTTGCTTTCTGCATTTAAATCTGTGCCGCCTTAATCTTGATCAAGACGCTACTTTCTTCATATTTGTTCTCATTCTATCCAATGAAACTGTGCAACGAGCTCTGGATCCCGATCTCTGCTTAGCACACGTTACCATGGCGATTGACCAGGTAAGAAGGGAATGTGAACACCTGTGGGCCTCCCCTTGACGTGTTTACACTAGCTGGTACAACCTGTAACAAACCATCTCCACATCCGCCTCTTCCCAAAATCATGTTGACTTTAATGAAGTTTCGTAACTTGAAGACAACGTGTGCACATGAAGGACATTCGTGGGGACAGTACTTGCATCCGTTGCTTGTATGCAGCAGCGTAGTGCACTTACATCTACGTCCTCCTGGGTGAAGTTCTCGGGATCTTCTCCCATCATGTTAGCCAGGTGGCGTTTCCCGATGTTAAACTCCTCCACCTGCTTCTGGATGAATTCCACGGTGAACTTCTCCGGCCCCGCAGCCGCCAGGTTCTTCCTCTGCAGGGAAGAGCTCACGCAGATCTTCCGGCTCAGCACCTGGGAGCGACGAAAGCGACAGGTGTTAGGACAACATGTCACGCTAAAGCTAAGCTAACCGAGCCAGCAACCAGCCGTAGTGTAGTTACGGGTTCAGTGACATAAATGAAGACATTCCAACGTAAATCTCTCCGTGATGAAACTAAACGCGCAGCTGGCTATTGCTGTAATAAAATAAATGGCAGTCAAGTTCAGAATCTGTCAGAGGATGCTAGCTCAAGGACGTCAGTGCTGGTCCATTTCACTCCATTGCTCCGAGTTCCGATTTGTTTTATTCACATAACTTCTTACGTTACCAAAGTTAAAATCGCACTTCACCTGTCGGCTTAACAGCGACGACACATTGTTTAAACTCGAGCTGCAAGTCGCACATTTTCCGAAAATATATCCCACGGTCCGCATACGCGGCGCCGCCATGTTGTCTGATAGTGATGACGTCGTGGGCGGAAGTTGATGTACGTCATAAACAAGTGCCGTCGACCATAAAATAGAATTGAAAGCTAATATTAAGATAATAGAGCTAGAAAACCTTTATTTGAACCTCGCTATCTGTTCCTTCTTTCACTTTGCTTTAATAAAACTGTAACCCATTATCTCAGAAATAAAAACGTTATAAATGTTGTATATTTTAAAACTTTGGCTGCTGTGAATAACAATGTGTGTATCCAGAAAAGAACAATTCCAAACCCCCAGCCATTATAACAACATCTGCAACCAATGTATGTCACTTATTTAAATGGTATAATGATAATAATTTTATTATATAACAATAGGAAACTACAAAAAAGAAAAAAACGCCATATATTGAAAGAAAATGAAGGGATGCATTCAAGCGAAATCAAAAGGTTCAGACATATGAGCAGAAACTGCACAAAAGTGAAACTGTATAACCCAAACCACACTACAGCACACGACACTGTTCCATTAATCTGCATGAACTGACAAATGACAGCAGGAGCATTTTAAAACAATTTAGCATTGTTATGTACATTTCTTTTTATTTATTGTGTCAAACTCATAGAAACTGTGTTTTTCACAATGCTCATGGAAATCCAAAACATGTTGACCACATGGTGCGTCCTAAAGTAAAATCTGCAGTGATCAGGTCTTTTTTGAGGACAGCCTTAGTGTGTAACTAAATTCTCAGGCACTTTTTTGCCATCTCAAATTAGGTAAAAATACCATCTATCCGTTCGTGACTTTTCTGCAAAAACATATGTTGACTTACACCACAAAATCACCATGTCATGTGGTAGTGATGTGGCACGTCCTGCCAACACATCGCAGTAAGTCTCTGCCCTGTCTGGTTTAAAATACACGTGAGCACCATCTGTTCACATTCCATGTAAATATCACTGAGAAGAGCACGTAAGTGCTGTAAGTGTCACGCTACAGGATTTAAAGCAGCCGATCCAGATGAGTTATCAGAAATAACACAATGAAAAAATGTTCAATCCTCGTCTGCCAAACACACTGTTTTGCATAAACACAACTGGTGCATTCGATGCCTGCAGAGCAGCACAACGCTGAGGGCCGCTCACCTCAAAGCTCAACATGTCTGTGCTGTACGACCACGTTCGTGACATTGCAGCAGAAGGTCAGGATCTATATTCTTTTTACATTTTTACTGAGCAGCCAAAAATTGCAAAATCAAGGTCCTGCCAGAGGCGTCTCGCCTTAAAACAGAATGAAGGCGTTTTTTGTGCGAATCTACAATTTTGACTTGTCAAAGCACCATATGCGACCTTTGGTCTGTTCTATATTAAAATAAATTCTTGTCATATCCGACAAAGCTGCCGGCTATTAGTTAAATTACAAGTCAAACTGAAGTTACATCTCTAAATATATATATTTATATATTTTAAATTGAATTCATCATTCCCAATAAAACTGGATCCTTCCTTTGGTGAATCCTAACGTGAGGAGAAGCTCCATCGTTCCCTCTCAGTGTGTGTGTGTGTGTGTGTTTTGGGCCCAGTAGTACTGTGTTTACAGATCAATGCTGTGTGTCTTCACTTAGATTACTTTGATAGAGTTGGACCAGGAACAGGGGGAGATTAATCAAAGTGAAGGGGCACTGACTCCCGGCCCGTGCCAGTCGATACGGCCTCGTGGTTAATTTGCCCCGAGGAGGGCTGTCGTCAGGCGGATGATAAACAGTGTTTGCCCCGTTTTTTAGCCACAAGCGTGCTGCTCACCAAGAAAAATAGTTTCGACCCAGGCTCTCTAATTTACAGTGGGGGGCGGGAGGCGGGACATTAATCATCCTTCTGCCGCGGCCCGTCTCTAACAGGGCGAACCACCGTGAGTGGAGTGGGTGGAGATGTTCGCTGCGGACGGAGGTAAACCCTGAAACTTCCTGCAGCAGCTCGTCACTGTAATGACGGCATTCATTTCAGTCCTTAACGAGAGCCGAATGTTGAGAGTTGCGCGTGAATGTGATGAATCCGCAGCGTGCACAGAGCCATGGCGTCAAAGTAACGGGAATTCATTTAGGGAACCTTATGGGCGTCTGTTTTTATGCTTGGCACGTGCCATCAATGCTTCGGCGGCGGCTGCAGCTCGGTGCCACGGCATTAGAGAGCTGGCTGCCATCCAACGCCTACAAAAGGATCTCCATGTGGGCAACAGGGGCCGCGGCAAAAGAAACTCCGCGACGGGGCCACGTTGACCTGCTCTCAAATGTGCCCCGTCCCCAGATTGAGCCGCATCCTTTTCATTGTACGGCTAACACAGAGACGGAGCAGGAAATAAAGGAGGATATCACGCGGTGGAGCCGTGCCAAGTCCGCTCCTTCCCCCTCTCTGCCAAGGATGGAGTGCTGGAGAATCCAGGGCTTATAATACCAGCGAGCTGAGGCTTTGCTCCAGTCATCATTTCCATGCTGCTTTACGCTGATTCCCTAATATCCTTAGCGCCTTGCGTAGGGATAAGCCCATCGTGCCGAAACACGGCTGTCATGCCTATAAACCGTTCACGGCTCTAAAGAATCCATTATGGCTGCTCCACAAACACGGGGACTCAAAGGGCCACTTTGCTCAAGCTCATTTACTCTTTTAAGGCGTATTTATTTACCCTTCGTGCCGTGGTGGAATCTCCAATACGGCACAATACGTCTCAGCCAGATGTGGAAACAGTGGTCATTCGCACCGTTATGATACTGATCATACGTAAATTACCGACGCCTCAATTTGCTGAGTGAAATGAATCAAAACAAGTAATGGGAAAACCTACCTGTGCAGGTTCAGGTTTCCTTCTCCTCCTTCATCCACTCTGCGTGACCTTTGCTGCCTGCGTGAGTTGGTGTGACGAACAAAAGTGATTAAAAAACAAAAGGAATGTTGCTTAGGATTTATATCTCTCAGGTGCGTGTAAAATAAAGAGAAAACAGGAAAAACAAAACCACAAACGCACACACAAACTAGCATTTGTATTGTTTCAAATGATTAGTCTTCTCATTTTTATGCCTGCTTCCGTTTCCTTCACAATTTCTATTGTTATTATTGTTCCCGTTGTTCCTGTTCCCATTTCTAATCCCATTTTCTCTGTCTCTCATTTAATTTCTTATTCCTATTCTCATTCCTTTGTGTCTCCGAAGCCGATTGCCATTCCCATTTCTACACCTGTTCCCATTTCTTGGCCTGTTCGTATCCCCATTGTACTCTCACTCCGATTCCAGTTCCTTTGTCTATTGTTGTTCCTGTATTTCCATTCGATTTCACAGCTCGAAATCCAGTTTAATTTCCTTTTCCCAGGAACGTATGTGTTATTTCCTGGCTACATAATGCTTTGTTTATATCATTTTTAGAGGAACGCTAAAAAAAAACCACGTACACACGTACAATAATTGTGAAGCGCCGCTACGGACCAAGCTAACACCCGCACAGGTATCTTAGTGTGAGGTAGACCAAGTTCAATGCCGCGGTTCGGAGCTCTGTGAGGGATTACTCATTCCTGTTCCAACGCACACACTCGCACTGATTGATTATCAACAAGCACGGCCATTGAGTGGAAATGAATTTGCCACCGGTAATGGATAGAGACATTCTGCTGAGATGCGTAAAAGCAGCTGAACTGCCAGCGATTACCTGCTGGAATCAGCCTTCATCAATATCAGGATAATTACAAAGCACTTCTGGCAGTGCGTGAAATGAACGGAGCGTGCAACAGCTTGGGCGCCGGCCATAGATGTCTGCAGATATTAGGCCTCCTCCTCCTCGGAGCGCCTCCACGGGGGAGAAGAGAGAGATACCTGAGCGGGCCGGAGCTGCTTCTGTTCAAGAGGTTTCACGTTGAAGCAGAAAAACAACTGTGACTGAATCTAATAGAAGTGCACAGTGTTGGAAAGCACAAGCGAAGGGGAGAATTAGTATTAAAATGTAGTGACTGGAACGCGAAACAGTTGGAACAAGAAAGAAAGTAGTAAAAGTGTGCGGAGCAACAAAGAGCAGAATGAAATCAAAGAAGACAACGGCCATCACCGTTATGAGGAGACTACGAGACAAAGAGGACACGCAGAAGGCTCCTACTCGCATCACATCTTTTTGTTGCATCTCTGTGTGCTTGTGTGTCATTTTGTGAACGTTTTGTTCCTTCTTCGTGCTCGCGGTGAGCCTCTTTTTGTCTCCCTACGGCTGTTCGGATCCCTTTGTTGTGGTTTGGGGTTTCTTTGTGGGCATCTTGAGCTTCTTCCTGGGTGGTTTGGGTCTCTTCGAGTGACATTCTGAAGCTGAAGGCCCGGGGGTGGGGGTGGGGGGGAGCTGGGCTTTGCCCACTGGGTCCGTTTCAGGAGCCCTCTTCGGATGTCCGGCCCCTTCTGGACCCTTTCATTGTATAAGGTCCCTCAGAATGAATGAGAGCAGACTGCCACTCAGAGTCCACCGGCGCCCCTGGAAGGTATCGGAAAGAAGGTGGGGGGGGGGCCCAGGGTGTCGATCTCCGCCTTTCCCAGACTTCCCTTCCATTTCTCACATGGAACCACTTTGGTTGCCCCCCCCCCCCGCCTCACCCACTGGCCCTCCCCGCTCCGTCCTCTCAGACGGCGGGCCGGAGTCTCGGGTTTCCTCCCCCAGCTGAGGGGTCACTTCAGTCCATCTCTGGGATGAAAAGATGACTCTTTTCCCTCCCCTTCTTCCGCCCGACTCTTTTTTCAGGTGAGAGGCTCGGGGAGGAAGGAACCCATTACATGCGGGGTGAGCCGGGGCGCTGTCGGGGAGGAAGAGGATCTGGATCCGGCGCTGGACAGGGAGAAACCCGAGATCTCAAGAAACGTCTGGGAACGACCCAAGAAAAACTTCCGCCGCCCCTCCACCATCCCGGTCTGCCCCGAGAGCGTTTCCCACGATGCCCTCGGCCTGCAGAGGCTCCCCCGTGTGTGACAGCACTCCACGCGGAGCCGCCGCAGGAACCGGCCCAGTAACGTGGAGGCTCTTATCAAGTCCTCATATCAGATTATAAATTA